CAGCTCTCTCTCTCTATTTAAGGCCACTTACAGCAATACTGGCACAATGCCACACAGAAATAGAGCAGGACTGAGAGAGGGAGAGAAATGGGTCAGTTCTGGCACTCTGCCACAATAGCCGTGTAATGATGTGCCAGATATGGCAGAGAACGGCCCATTCTCTACTGACCAACACGAGTACAGACGGTCACCTTGAACGCTTTGGAGCTGTGAGCTCCTGTGGATGTGGTCCTCCTCCATCAGTGTCTCCCTCATCTCTCGCTCTCTCCATTCCTCCACACAGACTCAGCATTCTGTTTCAGCTATGAGCTGCACAAAGACTAATACAATAGAGGTGCAAACACAAAAAAGGTGCCGTAAGTCAGTCAAAAGAACAAAACAGTTGCAGTGTGCAATAAAATTAAAGGGATAGTTCACCCTAAAATTTGAATTCTGTTATTAATTACTGTACATTCCAAACCCCTATGACTTTTTTCTTCTGTGAAATGCACACAGAAGGATACATTTTAAGGATTTAACTAGCTATTTTTCATGTTTGCAATGAAAGTGGACTGTAAGGAAAGTGGCCATATTTAAAAATAAGCCGTGAGTGTTTTTGTGCAAAGCACATTAACACAAGTTAATAACATGGCCTCCATTTTTTTTTAATCAATATCGAGATTTTCAGGCTTTTAGGACCCGCACATGTTTTTTCCAGGGCTCACAGGAAGCTGTCGCTACTTATGACGTTGTAATCTTGACTCACTGCCAGTCAAAGTGATGGATCACAATCACTGGGGCAGCTCCCACACAATACAGGGGGAGTGTCTATTAGACATGATCTCTGATTTGCTAAATGAAAGAAAGCCTTACTGGAGCCAGAGCCTCTTATGGTCAAGTGTGCATTAACATCTGTTTGAGGACGGGGGAAAGTGAGGTGACCTTATCTAGTCATTTCAAAGGGAAGTGTGTGTATTTCAGTTGTACAACAGACAAAATATCTCATAACATCTGTCCAAAACACTTAACTACCATTCAAAGGGTTGGAATAGAATCAATTTTTTTATTTTTTTGAAAGAAAGTAATACTTTTATTGAGCTTTTACTAATTAAATTGTTCAAAATATACAGTAAATACATATTAGGAACTATTTCTATTTCAAATAAATACTCTTCTTTTGAACTTTCTTTTCCTTGAAGAATTCTGAAAATCACAACAAAAAAATCTGCAAGAATATTTTCAAATGTTTTTAATGTTGACAATTCTTAAGCACCATATCAGCATATTAGAATGATTTGTAAATAATGTTATGAGAATAGAAAAAAATATAGAAGAATAGAAATATTTTACAATATTACTACTCTTTGTACTGTATTTTTGATCAAATTCAATGCAGCCTGGTGAGCATCAGAGACGTCTCTTAAAAAACAAACAAATCTTACAATCCTAGACTTTTAAACATTAACATAAACAGTAACTTTGAAATTCCCCAGCCTGTTCTCCTAGGAAATACTATTAACAAGTTAATTAAGCATGGGGCATCCCATTTGTTTTAGGCTTGAGAAGGGCATTTCGCCGCTATTGCCGTAATGAGACGAGGGACTGATTGATTGGCAGTGACAGTGATATTGAATGGCTCCTGTGTGACCGACACACACATTAACTGTTGTTAGATTGTGCTTAACTCCTATTTAGTCAGCAGAAACAGCCGTGACACTTACAATGGCCTGCAGACAGAGCAAGAATCCTCATAATACGTTATCTTTCAACAGCAGGTTGACCTTTACTTTACCTTTTACTTGCCTCTAGCAAGCTGTGTCAAATCCTGAAGGTCAGTTAGGCACCAGTTCACCTTCTGAAGTAGATAAGATCTGCATTATTGCCTGATGTGTGCCATGTGAGTGCACCTTTGAATTCTTCAGTGAAGTCTAGGACAGAATGTTGGCTCTTTTGATAACCCGAGTATGCAAATCCTGAGCCACTATACTTAATCAGTGTATCTACGATTTATTAGAATGCAGACCTTGTAAGACAGATAGAGTGATTCTTTTCTTTCACATTATGCGAGTAGGATATGTGGGCATGGTTCAGAAAGTGGATGAACAGCTTAGCCTGTCTGACCTACTTCTGCCCTGATCCTGACCACAACATCATTTCATTACACAAGCCAACAGGAGATCTTTTAACACTCTTTAGATAGCATGATTGGCATCTGCTGAGAACTAGTGCTCACTCTATCACACTGTCTCTTTCTTTCTTTCTTTCTTTCTTTCTTTCTTTCTTTCTTTCTTTCTTTCTTTCTTTCTTTCTTTCTTTCTTTCTTTCTTTCTTTCTTTCTTTCTTTCTTTCTTTCTTTCTTTCTTTCTTTCTTTCTTTCTTTCTTTCTTTTCTTTCTTTCTTGATCTTGATCTTACATAATAAAATAAAAGTCTATTAAAATAAATGTTCAAATATATAAATTCATATTATGAAGTGATTGACTGATTTTTCTTTTTTTTTTCTTTTTGTTTCTGAATATGTCTAAACTGTACCGTCCAAATTTGAGGTGTATTGTGTACACATCTGTCCTGAGCATAAATCTTCTGAAACCACAGGAGGAATTTACCATTGTTGTAATCATCTTGAGTTATTCATAAAATAATTTGTGTCTTTGGAATGTAATCAGTGGTAATTTGGCAGCATTATGGATTGGTGCCGATGTAGAATTAGTCCCATTTGAAAGGTTCACTTGTGTAAATGGAAAAGTGCTCAAGGCTTCCGTTATCAGTGAGAGTAAAGTGCTAATAGCCACACTCTCTGGACAGAGAAATAAATAATGCTTATAAATTAAAACATTGCATTCCAAGTAACAAGGTCTCCCTCTTAATTTAAACATTTTCTTTCACAAAATACTGAAAGTGGAATTTATAAAAAATCAGCAAGCTCTAAAAATGTCCCTAAAGTTAATTAATTAAATCTAATGATATATAAAATGACAAATTCAATATATTTGGATCTATCTGTTTACCACTAGGTGGTGTACTGCCTTTCTTTCTTTCTTTCTTTCTTTCTTTCTTTCTTTCTTTCTTTCTTTCTTTCTTTCTTTCTTTCTTTCTTTCTTTCTTTCTTTCTTTCTTTCTTTCTTTCTTTCTTTCTTTCTTTCTTTCTTTCTTTCTTTCTTTCTTTCTTTCTTTCTTTCTTTCTTTCTTTCTTTCTTTCTTCCTTCTTCTATAAGTGGAGTACTGCCTTTTTTGATCACTAGAGAGTGAGACACATGAGGTTAGTTGATAGCCTTAGGTATTAGGATACACTAACCCCACATGTTTGTACTCTAACCTTTGCAGATCTCTAGTCCAGAATAGCCCTCAGCCTTTATAGTAACTCCCATGTTGAGAATGAAGGCTTTTCCAAAATGCTCTGTTTTTTCATTTTGTCTTTCTCATGTGGATTTTTATTTAGCCTAAAGGAGCTCTTACAGTGTGTGTGTGTGTATATATATATATATATATATATATATATATATACAAAACTAAAACAGACTTGTCTGTATAGACAGTAATATCAAGTCAAGTCACCTGTATTTATATAGCGCTTTATACAGATTGTTTCAAAGCAGCTTTTTGGCACCATTTTGGCTGTTGTTCAGCGGAAGTCAGTTCAGTGTTGATTCAGCTACGTTGTAAATATTGTCAACTATTAAATTATTTAGTTTCATCTATACATACATTTTATTCTTAGTTTTATGGTATTAAAATAGGTCCTTGTTTTTTTCAAGGCTTGTTTTCTTTCATTTTGATGGTATTTTTGTCCGATGCACTATGCAGTTCAGTTCAGGACCATGGACAGAGACCCGTCACTTCTACAGCAAAGCATTGTTGTCTGCTTAGATAATGTCAAATCAAATTAAATGTTAGCTTTCTTGTATCCCTTCACCACACGTAACATCTTAACTTCAACTCTTTCTCTTTGTCTCATAAGCACTCTTAAATAAATACATGCGCATAGTATACCTGTCAGAGATTTTCATTAAAGATATTGCAAGACAGATTGAGAAGAGAAGTGAAGATAACTGGAGACTGATAGCGTATGACAGAGGCCATTTGATATTAATGACTTCCATCATTAAAAACCCTTTGGGAGGAGACGAATAAAAGAGCAAATTATACCCATGATTAATGAAACTATCATAATTTTAAAGATTATCCTTCTCCCCCGGCTCTTCATTTCCAAAAACCTGCAACATTGGTGTGGTGTCAACTTTCGCTATCCTTTTATGCATCTCAAGCCTGTACTTGCATTCTGTAATTATCATTAATTCTAATAGCATGCATCACATCTCAATGATGCAGTGTAAAGCTGGTTGTTTTGTTTGACTGCTCTAGGTGGTTTATAAAGCCACTGGTAGGGAAAAATCAGATCGACCAGTGTTTTCAGGCAAAGTTAATCAGCTCAGGCAAGCGGCTTTTCCTGAACCGCAGAATCCAATACATTTTGTGGGAGGAGAGAGAGAGAGAGTTCAGCTGATCTCAGGGAATTTCAGTGCCGAGCACGTCCTGCCTGGTCCAGTCTTTAAAGAGTGTGCTTTGCAGGCTATATGACTCACAACACATATACGCACACCACTCCCCCTCCACTCATACGCTCAGATGTGTGATGACATCACACATTCCCATACAAACGATTGGTTGGAGGCACAAGGGGAATCGTCCCTGCAGAGAGGTGTGTAGACAGAGATGCTGAGACCGGTGCTGCACACATGCACACATTCCCACTCTTTTTTTGTTACATAGGAAGGATATGGACAGGACATTTCCACTATGATTGCTTGTGTTGGATGGTGAGAAGGAAGTAGAGAACCTAAAAAAGAGGTGCATGAAGGCTGTCCTCTGCAACAACAAACAACGGATCAGAATATTTAGGAAGAGAACAGCAAGAGCTCCATAAGAGAGGGTGGTTGAGAGTAGTTGACCCTGTGAAAGACCTCTGACCGTCACAGGTGAATGTGCTCTTCATGGACTTAAGATCATAGAGGCACTGTGGGAATGGAAGTCAAGGGCAAAGTGACAAGACGATGGGAGGATGTAGCTGCCAAAAAGAAGTCTGGCACGTCCCTCAACTTAGTGCCAGGGGTTTATCGACACCTGCGTGGTAAGAGATTACCGTGCTTGTTTATAAATGCATCTGGTTTCAATGATAGACATGCACTTGGAAGTCATTTATAGATGTACAATAGATTTAACCTGTGCATCTATACAATGTAGACATTTTATGCTGAAACCATTTTGAATCCGAAATCACAATTAATTACAAAGAAATGGCAACACAGTGAATTCAACTTTACATTTTTAAGTAGATAGACTGAATTAATATTTTCTTGTCTTATGAACAGTGTACACGTGTTACTGTTGTGTTGTCGACTTGGAGGTATTTTTGGGAGTGACAGGGTCGTCTGTAGGGCGTCCTGTGCACACATGTAAAAATTGTTCAACCCAGCTCAGCAGGTTCTTGGATGCAGTGTGGATCCTTTCTGACTGCGCGAGAAAGACAGCCGAGGAAGTGTTGATTAATCCTGGCGGTTATTTTGGAGATTTAATTATAGAAATTAGAAGCAAAATTACACCTGGTTATAATTATAGGTACGATGGAGACATTTTGTGGGTGAATGTGTTATACAGTGAGTTTGCATCTGTGTTTCCCGCTCAAAGTCACCCTGTCCTTATGATGGTGGGCTGGGAACACACTCACACTGTAATACACACCAATGCAGTGGCAAATCTGAAAATCTATTGCCAATGCCATTTATCACACTCATCTTCTCATCCATATTTGATTGCTTTAGCTCTGAAATAGGCTTGATCGAACTATTAATTCACAAAATACAAGACTTTTAGTACAAATGGCACTGGCACATGTGGTCTGCATTATGCATGAGCCAGGTCCTCTTTTTAACGCACACACACAGACAGTGTGTGTCATAGTGACCGGCTTCAGTGTAATCCATCAGACAGTGCTTTCATTAAATACGCTGGCTCTGTGTCAGTTGTCGTCTCATGCTGATATAACAGTTAGGAGAAAGGATATTACTGTCACCTTGTAGTTCAGAATCAGGACGGAGGCTTTTGTTTAGAGAGTGACATATTTATGCTGCTTTCATTTTGCTTACAGGATGCAGTAGCAAATATCACTGTGAGGGAGCTTGTGGAAATTGGGTTTTCATTTTTGCTCACTGTGTAACGGGATGGAACTTGGTGCCCACCTATTTAATGTTGTCCTGGATCCCATGGGCTATATTTAATTATGTTTGCAACCGATATGATACTGATTATATTTATGTTTATGAGTTTGGTAACTGATATTCAAAACCAATATGCATAAATGACGTATAATTGTTGTTGACTACAACAATAATGCATTATGTATGTATTATTATTATTGTTTATGCCATTTAAGAATGAAATGTTTTGCAATTATCAATTGTTTTCTGCTATTTTGTGCATTGTGTTGCTCATATGAGGAAAACGTTTTCATATATATTAACCCTCAAACCGTATTCACTTTCTAGCCCTTAATCCTGTAATTGTGGACAAATGTGGGCACAGAGGACTTTTATTTATTATAAATGTTATATCACTGTCTTCGATAAAGTTTTGTCTATCCATTTATGGTGGTTTTTTTTTTTTTATATTTTGGGGGTATTTTTGAATTTATTTACTTCAAAAAGTACCATATTTTTTATGTAAATTATTTCTATGTAAATGAATTACTATGTAGTTTTATTTTAAATTTTTTTAACTACATTAAAATATCATTCCAATAAGTTCTTAGAGCTAAAACCTAAAGATGAAGTGACTTTGCTGTCATTTGGCTTATTTTAGAATGCTCTAAATTACAGTTTTTCCATTTCATTTCAATGGGTGCCCATTTTTGACCCAAATACAAGATTAAGGAGGTTTTTTTCACCCACTTAACATTGTAGAATTGAGTAGAAATTGAGACAAATTTTGTGTGTTCAGGAGGCAAACTTAGGAAAAGTAGCCAAGTCTTGTACCACTCAGATCAAGGGAAGTATTTAAAAAATAAATAAATCAAAACTATTTTGCCCACATTTTGTCCAGAATATGGTTTTAGGGTTAAGTGTTCATGGAATGCATAAGAAAGTTAAATTAAAGTTATATTTACTCAATTGACACAATTTTAAAGAACCAATAACCAAATAATTATAAAAGTGTAAATATTGGTAACAAATATTTGTCAAACCGATAATCAGTCTAAGGAAAATAACCAAATTTGATTGTGATTCTTGATGGATCTTACAGTAATGTCTCATGTTATGTTTAAGATTTAAGAGCTTTTCTGAAATGTGTGTTGTGTTTTGTCTTTACTTTAGATGAGCAGGAAGCTGTGCAGAAGCGAACTTTCACAAAATGGATCAACTCTCATCTGGCAAAGGTGAGCCGAGTCATGCGAAGTTTTCTGAACTAACATGCATTCATTCATGTGTTCAAGAAAATAAGCACCTGAAACCACCTCTCTCCACACTGCAGTAATCTGTCACAAGACCCGTGGCACCCATCCAGGGTCAAACATGAACATACACTTTAATCTCCTCTTTAGATTACTGTGCCTCATTTTACCGGGGTACGTTCAGTCAGTCTGCTGACAGGATTTACCTATAGACAGTTATGTAACACTACAGCATGTAATATTTCTCTTACAATAGGGCTTATTTTTGTAAGATTTTAAAACAAAAGTGTGATGGTTATAATATTATCTATAAAGACTTTTTAACTCATTAATTTGTCTGTTAAAACGTATGTCATTTGTGCTGTCATCAAGTTTGTTTTAGGGTTTATGGTGTAAGTCATGACAACAAAGTAGTAAAATTGAATATAACTTTACACAGAAAAGGTTAATAAGCTATTTTTACACACTACAATTATTGTTGGTATACTATTGAAACAGTGTACATTTTTTTTTTAAAGAAATCTTTGTGGTAAGCAATATTTTGCCACATGTAGTTTATTAAGCTTGTATTTAACCTGGAATATTCATTTAAATCATTTAAATTTCCATAATCACAACAGGGACATTATTAAAAGCTTCCAGAGAAACAGGTGCTTGTATAAACACAAGCATTTAGCCATGATATGCATGTAAGAGCCTGATTTGTGTGTAAAGACAAGAGTGACTGGTCAAGCCATTTTTAATTAGCTGCCACTCCAGATAATTCCAGTATGATCACCAAGACCTGACTTGCCTAATCTTCTGTGACGAGGAGCAGGAAATTCATTTGAAATATCAATCTGTGGGGAATACGTATTTTGTGCACACCAGCGCCTCTCCAGCGTAAAAGAGTTGACATTTGTACGTTATTTATATATCTGTTTGCTCATTATCATCTGTCATTGACATATTGGACCTCTCTGTTAGAGTTGGTGGTGAGATTCATAGCATCAGTTTGCTTGAAGATGACAGTTAGAGTTATTTCACTGACCGAAATCCTCAGGTTTAGTGTTTCCTCGCCTATTTATACAGCTTCTGCATGACAGGATGCTCTCTGAAAATTTTAAAGCATATTTACAAGGAGGTTCCATGAAGGAGGTTTTCATTTTAGTCATTATAGTACTTAAAGTTATGTATTCAAATTTTTTAAGGTACACTATGTAATTTTTTTGGCCCACTAGTGGTTAAAAAACAAAACCGCAAGCATTTTGCAAAAGAAGCTTTTTTTTGGTTGTGGTTTACCTTTGCGGATGAATATGACCCTTCACAATAGATAATGCTTTACAATTCACTTTACAATGTTAGAGAGCTACATATGAATATTTTACTGTTCAATAAAACACCTTACTCACCTGTTGAGTAATAAAAACGACCACAATCTTTTAACAATATTTCAAATCCCCCAGTTCCGGCCATCTTTGAAAAGCCAAGCCAATGTTGATTCTTGATTTATTACGAGCTCTGACGCGTTCTCTTTATGTCTGCAGACTTTCCTCTGTTCAGTATTTGTTTAAAATGGGTGATTCATGTCAACTTTTCTCTCTCATTGTGACAACTAACCTATCCCACTCCCACACCATACACATCAATGTAGCCGCAGAAAATTTTCACCATTTACAGATATGACGAGAAAGCGTTGACGAGTGACACATGTACGCAATTTCCCACAAAAAATATCGAAAATATAAACACTTATGGTATAATAGGCTTATAGTGAATCAGGACAAAAAGACACTTTAGAAGAAATATTAAAGATGTTGACTCTTGAACTTACAAAAGCTTTATTTTGCTCTATTTCGATTACTGAAAACAATTTTTAATATTTTTATAATTAGTTAACAGTAATAACTCATGTATCGAGGACTGATAGTTGAATGGTTAATTTGTAAATTGCTTTGCTTCAATAGACATGAGACTTTTTTCATGAAATGTGTGTGCAGGAAGGACAGAAACGGGGTTTGTCTCATTAAAATTGCAAATATATAACTGTTTGAACTGATTCTACAAGCGTCAGAATCAATTACATTCTGTATATCATGTAAATCCAAATAATTTGTTCAAAAGCGGAACACCATCACACCATCCTAGGCTCCCGCTGTTCCCACTTCTTTGCTAGTGCCCTTTAACCTCATCCCACTGCTGAATGATGTTGCCTTGGTGACGGCACTCTCAAGTATTTGAGGGAGAAGTTTGAGAATGCATGTGCCAAATAGGAAGAAATATGACTCTTATAATTGTTGACAGGATGAACATACAGTAGACTGATACACTGAAGTGAAAGTGTGTGTGTGTGTGCTATTTTAGTGATCACTTTTCCAGGTATTTCTGCCACCAAATCACTAATGCAAATCATCTGCAGTGATTTCCCAGCTCTATAATTCCTAGCCCAAAGGCATTGGTTTAATTCTTAGCATGTAAGATAACAGAAGGAGAATTCCACACCGTCTCTGTCTCTCCACTCATTCCTTTAGAGAAGTATCAAAAGAGGATTACGGGATGCACACACAGCTCCATGATAGATAATGAAATGTAATTAGGTGTGAACAGAGTAAATGAGGTCTGTTAGTTCCAAGTTTCAGTAGTGAGTGATTGAAATGTTGCAGTTGAGCCTCAGAGCCTTTTGTATGTTGACTTGAATGCCCACTGGCAGCTTTTCATTTTGAAGTCATTTGCAGAGTTTGCAGTTTTCGGTGAAGCATTAACCCTTGAACAGGTTCCTGCCCTCGAGTTATATAAATGGGAATATATGCTTACTATTACCATTGCTGTCTATGCTGTTTAAATGGATCAGTGAGTAATGGAGTGTGTGTATATCATTCTTAAATGAATAATTCAGCCAAAAATAAAACATTCATATTTCTCACCATGATGTAAAGTTCCCTTTTCCCGTGGAACACAATTGGGAGTGGTTTTATGAAAGAATCTTTCATTGAGCCAGATCTTTTGATCGAATCAGTTGATAATAGTGATTCATTTAAGAATCAATCTCTGGATGTCACTGGATGGATGGGATGATTGTAATTGATTAATTTCTTTTTGTTCTCATCATAATGTATTATATGACTTTGGAAGACTTGTGATATAGCTCAGTAATTATGGACCACTTTTTTAGGACACTTTAATCGGTTTTTGTGTAATTTTTGAAGCTTAAAGTATTTCAGCTCCAGTATTTCAATTTTCTTCATTTTAATTGTATAGACAATGGCATCCCGTTCTCTGTGCAAGTCTTGTGAAATTGTAAAGGTCTAAACTTCTTACAAAAGGCAAAACGATCTGCTTCGCTTCAGATCAAGGTCCTGGTTCAACCCAATGATCAATTCCGACAGAATTGATCAGCGTTGCATTAAAAGATTTACCAGAATCCTCATACTACAAACCATTCATTAAAAGATACCATCACAGGATGCACATCGCCCCAGGTCTCTTTATTCATACATGTACTTGCAAATTTGAAGGACATCAGAGAGGCAGGACTGAAGCACTAATCTGCCTAAGAGCTTCAACTTGATTAGCCACTAGAGAGAGAGAGAGATTGAGAGAGAGAGAGGGGGAATGCGATGGAAAGGAAGAGAGGCCACCCTCCATTTCAATTTTGTCAAATCCTCTCAGACAGGGTTAGGGCTTAATTATGGCATGCCCAATATTGAGGATGAGCTCATTTCTCATGTGTTTGTCAGATGGGTGAGCAGCACACAGCAGCCACCCGGACACCCTGCTGGCTGCACCTGCTTTGTCATGGGACATAAATGAACGCCCCATCAGGTTTCTCTCTGAATTATAAGATTCAGTAATCAGTGTCCAAACATTTACAATTACTGCGATTTGTAAACAGTACCCTCAATTTGGTCATTTGTACCCACAGATTCAAACCGCACCACTACTCTCTAATCTAGATTGGCCCCTCACACTCAAAAATAAGGGTTCTTTATTGGCATCGATGGTTCCATGAAGAACCTTTAACACAGTGGTTCTCAACCAGGGGGCCGGGGCCGATTAAGGGGCTCCAACAAACTTCAAAGAGGACCTCAAGATGACTTCAAATTATTTAAAAATAAGACAAAACAAGCATGAGCATAAGGTTCTTTAGATTATTAAAATGTTCTTCACACTAAGAAAAAATGGTTCTTTTTAGAACTGATCATTGAAAGATTCAAAAAATGGCTCTTCTAGCACTTTCATTTTGGAAAGCGCTATACAAATAATTCTGAATTTAATTGATTATTTTTTCAGGTCTAACATTTATGTTAATAGTAGGTAGAAAAATGTCGTTTTACACACTGATTTTTTTACTTAGGTGAATTGGCAATAAGTTAAAATTGTAACTTTAGAAACAACATTGTGGTATAATACTGTATCATTCATAAAAGGATAGTTCACCCAATATATATATATATATACTGTATATGCAAATTATTCAACACAAATTTGGGTAAAATATGGACAAACCCATGGGTTAAAAATTAAAAATGCAATTAAAAAAATTACAGTTGAAAGTGAAAGTTGAACTTGGGTTAAAAATTACATTAGAACCCAACATTTGGATTTGTCCATTTTTTACCCATATATATATATATATTTACATTTATTCATTTAGCTGACGCTTTTATCCAAAGCGACTTACAATTGCTATATATGTCAGAGGTCGCACGCCTCTGGAGCAACTAGGGGTTAAGTGTTTTGCTCAGGGACACATTGGTGTCTCACAGTGGATTCGAACCCGGGTCTCTCACACCAAAGGCATGTGTCTTATCTACTGCGCCATCACCACTCCATTCCATTCCATCTATAAAAGTCAATTCCATACAACATTGGACCCCATAAAATAAGTATATAAAATAAATCAAATTTTTAAATTTTTTTAAATTTATTTTATTTTATTGGGTGGTTTAAAAATGATTTGGTGTACAAATTGCAGTCGAACAGTATTAAGCCATGACCTACTCTCATTCCCAATTGAACCCCGTAGCTGTCTCTCTCATTTCGGACTGATATTGAAAACAGTTAGAGTGGCCCTCAGGCGTTGGTATGTATTCATGAACTTTATTTGGGTTACTCCGAACATGCATCTACCATAGCTAAACGCCGTCACTCCGCTAAATACATCAGTAGCGCCTGCCGTGACAATCTATTTCCATCAGTAATAACCAGACACAGATAATTAGTTTGTTAAGCCCTGCTGCTTGTGCATTTGTGTTTTTTTCTCTTATTTTTCATTAGTTGCATAATTACTCAAAGTGCCTCTTTTTAATGTAATATGCTATAAGGTGATTTTATCCAATTAGCTTTTGAATTATTTAAAGCTAATTGGAATATCTTAGCAATTCCTCCCCCTGCTCTCTCAAAAATGCTTCAAGAATAAGAATTAATCTTTAAAAAAATCATCACTCATTTCTCCTTTCTGCCTCTAATTAAGGTCATTCCACTGTCGCTTCTCTTGATTTTGTTCACTTTATTGACACCCGCACGCACGCATATACTTACTTTCATGTTTCATATTAATCTCCTCATGAATGACTTTGGCACCCGGCTGCTTTTTCACTCCAAATCCCAGTCATGTGACTGCTGTCTTTAGAGAAATCCTGGAATGTCTCGTCCGGGTAAAGAGGAGCTGTACTTGGATTAGTGGAGGGGCTTCATCAGGTCAGACACTCCAGAATCAGCACTTTACGCAGGCTTTCTAGATGCTTCTTAAACTCACTGTCACTGTCACAGACTGACAGCACCAATCTCCACTGGGGCTTCACCATAAAGCTTTTGATTCAAAATCACGTCATAACTATGTTCAGGATGTCAAACAAATACTAATCTATCTATTTTCTTCCATTCTAGCATTCTATCATTCACTTTAGCATTCTATCATTCTATCTATCGTTCTATCTATCATTGTAGCATTCTATCGTTCTATCTATCATGCTATCATTATATTGTACATTCTATCATTCGATCTTTCTATCATTCTATTTTTCTATCATTCTAACTCTATCACTCTATCTGTCATATATACGTAGTTCTATTTGTCTATGGTACTTAATAGATATTTAAAAGTAAAATGTTATTTTTTTTCTCCCTATGCAGTGTAATCCTCCTTTGGTGGTCTCCGATCTCTTTGAAGATGTTAAAGATGGAGTGATGTTGTTGGCTCTCCTTGAAGTCTTGTCTGGTCACAAACTGGTAAGCTAAATGTGCTTTTGCTTGTTTTGGTATTTGATTATCCTTTGTTATTTGAAGTTATTTAACAGCAGTACAAATTGCTTAAACATCATTGTGCCATTTAGATTTAAATGTCCATAATATAGTCAACATTGTTTTACTGTAATGTTGTGACATTGTTTTAATTCATAGAAAACATGATAATATAAGTCCAATAACACAGTGTATGCACTGCACATTTATAGCACATCTGAACATTCTCAGTAAACAATCCCATGGCTTGCGATGCCTCAGGTCTGTGAGTGGTGTAACAATCGATATACCAAGTGGCGCATGGTGCTTTGATCATCTATTTGATGTCATCTTGTCTCATTCTCTTTTTGTCTTTCTCTCTGTACTATATATAACTATCCTACTCACCTTCTTTCTTGCTGTCTCTTTCTGCTTTTGTGTTTGTTTTCATCTCTTTCTCCCTGTTCCTTGCTGGGTATTTTCCTCTGTCTATCACCGTTTTCCTTTTGTCTGCTGTGCTATCCTCTCCCGTCCGACAGCCATGCGAGCAGGGCCGCAAGCTGAGGAGGATCCACTGGGTAGCTAACGTGGGAAGAGCGCTCAAGTTTCTGGAAGGCAGGAGGGTAAGGCAGTCCATTCCCAGAGTGCTTTGCTCAGGTGTACAGCTCCAGGTCATAACCACTCAGTCTGACCTACACAACCTTTTCCCCCGCTCTGCTCTGATACTGCGCTCTCGGCACTGTCTCACAAGAGACAAAGAGAAGGAAAACCTAGTTCTTCATTTCATGTTTAATTCTTACTCTAAACGACAAGGAATTATGTTTCGTTCAAATCACCAACAAATGAAGGATTTACTGGCTCAACATAGATTTATGAGGTGATTTTGACACCTCAGCCTGAAATCATTTTCCTCATTGGGGGTTTAGTCCTGAGTCACCATATTATAAATCTGTCTCTGCTGCCTCACATGTAGCAATGAGCTTTCCTCACGGAGTCTCTGAAAGCTCTGAAGGTGAACAAGTGGACTAGATAATGTACAGTCAGCTATGCATTCTCACAATAAGTCCTAAAAAGGTGATCAGGACCCTGTTTTGAATCAGTCTAATGTATTAAAATTCCACAGATATAATGTATATAGAAATATAGATATACAGTACATAGTAAAACCATAGTGATTTGGAGAAATGGAGCCCATTTTTCCCCTGTATAAACAGGATATTTTTTCATATCATCTCTCTGGGGAGAAGGACATACAGTAGATATTTCATTTACTGTGTAGCTGAGCTTCAGACTTTCATTATACAGCCTGTCAGTGAATGAAGCTGAGCTAAGCCTCCCACTCCTGAGGTGGTCTGTCTGTCTGTGTATCTGATCTCTCAAGGAGCGGAGGATTCATTTCGTAAGCTACAGTCTTTCACCATCTTATCTGTCTCTGTCATCCCTCTCTCATCTCTCTCTATTCCCTGTGGAGCACAGTAGGAGAAACCAGAGTGGAGAACTCTTTTGTATTATGTCGAACTGTACTTTTACATCCAATCTGGGACACAAGTTCATGGAAATGGATGGGGTTTTTTTTGTTAAAGAAAGTGGATGTTATGATTGTGTGTGCGTGTGCGTTTTTGTGTGAATTAGTCATTCATTCAACTTGTATGTGTGGCTGGTTCTTAATGTATCTGCCTTGGCGTTTGTCTAACAATGGGTGCAATGCACACTTTGTTTGTCACTGAAGGGTTTTGGGTTATCTCAGAGCTGGGGGTCCTTATCACATGTACTTCAGTTGATGAGCCACACTTTTGTTAACAGCATGTAATGACCTCTATTCTTCTTTCTTTCTTTCTTTCTTTCTTTCTTTCTTTCTTTCTTTCTTTCTTTCTTTCTTTCTTTCTTTCTTTCTTTCTTTCTTTCTTTCTTTCTTTCTTTCTTTCTTTCTTTCTTTCTTTCTTTCTTTCTTTCTTTCTTTCTTTCTTTCTTTCTTTCTTTCTTTCTTTCTTTCTTTCTTTCTTTCTTTCGTTTTGTTTTGTCACCGTTTCAGTCGGCATACAGAGGATCTCCGGTTAGTGTGACCTTTTCTGTGACTGTCTTCAATGTCTGTGATTGACACTATCACTTTTTGAATCAGGATGTTGTTTGTGGAATAGAAAAGGTTTTGAAGACATTTTGAAAAATGTCTGAGCTGTTCTTTTCTATACGATGAAAGCAGGGATCAGTGTTATTTTAGTATTTATATATACAATTATAGTTTTTCAATTATGCTTTGATATTTTGAATTGGCTTTTATTTTTATATTTTATATTAACTTTTTAGCTTAATTTTTTTGTAATTTTGCAATTTTGTAATTTTGAAATATTTCTATTTAACTTTAATTTCTATTTATTTCAGGTTTAGTTCTTGTTAGTACTTAAACTTTAGTAGTACAGTTAGGTGTCAAGGTAACATTTTGTCATCAGTTACTGACTCTCATGTTGTTCCAGACCTGTTTCCTTCCTCTGAACACAAAATAAGATATTTTAAAGAACATTGGTACCCAGACAGTTGACTGTTGGCATTGACTTCCTTAGTATTTTTTTTCCTACCATGGAAGTCCTACAATTGCTATCATCAACTGTCTGGTTACCAACATTTTTTTAAAGGGGTGATGAACTGAGAAATCAAATTTTCCTAGAGCTTTTGACATCTAAGAGGTCAACATATTATAAGAATATCCTGTAAGTTTCAGAACTGAAAACCTCCTTGTTAGTCCAATAAAAGCTTTTATTGACATCAGGCTCAGCAAATGACTCGTTTTTTAAAGTGGGGAACTATGACGTCAAAGAGGATAAAACACCACCCCCGCAGAAGAAGATCAATGCCTATTTCACCACGGCCGGTTTAGCCCCGCCCACCGATTCGCACATTACAAGCATAGCTAAAGAACATAGAGTTCTACCTCAAGATGAAAAACTGGATCAGCTACAGAACAATACAAAATATTGTGCAGTGCCTGCCTGGTTGTGGAAGAAGACAGTCGCTGCATAAGCCAGTGAGTCGAAACTCATTATAATATGCAAAACTGTTCTCCACTCACAGTAGTGGGCGATTACTTCCAAGTCTTCAATGCGAGACGCCCATAAAAACAGAGCGTTTTTGAACTAGGCTCGGTAGAAAATAGCCTATTACTTATTCATAGTGATGTTTTTTTTATGTAAAAACCAAGTGAACGTCATAAGCTGATCTCAGACAACAATATAAAAAAGTTAAAAGGCCAGTTCATACCCCTTTAAATATCTTCTTTTGTGTTCAACAGAAAAAAATGCACTCATACATGTTTGGATCAAAGGGTTAGTGAGTGATGACAAAATTTTCATTCTGGTTGAACTAAATCTGTTACAATAACAAGATTGACAGGGTTCAGTATGACCTCTGTGCTTTATTCATCTGAAGCCATACAGTCCAATAGCTTGTTAGTATTCACTAAAAATCTTGCTTGACAACCATGGTCACTATTCACTTTCAATGTATGGAAACATTAAACCAGAAGAATGGCATTTTTATTGTTTTGAAATGACATGAGTGTAAGTGTTTTTCTTTTCTTTCTATTTTTCTGGATGAAATGTGTATTTAAATATAATGGTTTGAGGTTTTTATTGTTTAACAGATTAAGCTAGTTAACATCAACACAACAGATGTTGTTGATGGGAGGCCTTCTATAGTTCTGGGGCTGATATGGACCATCATCTTATATTTCCAGGTAAAAAAAGGAGAGGAAACATTTCAAACCCTCTTTATAATTTAAAGTTTCTACCATTTCAGTAGCTATATATAAAATCTCCTCTCCATCTTCTTGTGCAGATAGAGGAGTTGACCAGTCATCTACCAGCCCTACAACCTCAATCTAGCAGTAACTCATCAGTGGAAAGCTCTAACAGTACTGAGACCAGCAGCTCGCCCGTCAAACGCAAGCCCCGCCTTTCTTTTCAGGGCGGGGCCAAGAGAGCCCTGCTCAAATGGGTCCAGACAACTGCAACAAAGTAAGAACTGTATTGTTAATATGTGCCTGTGCAAGGCCTTGAATGAATATATTGTTCTCTGCTCTTGTAATCCCGTTTCCCTAAGTAAAGCATATGACTGCATTCTTCCATGGTTTCGACATAATGTACGTACTTACGCATGTGTTTACAGGAGATTGGGTCTCGATGTGAAGGATTTTGGCCCCAGCTGGCGCACAGGGGTAGCTTTTCATGCTGTTATCTTTGCTTTGCGACCCCATCTGGTTGACATGGAACGTGTTTGGAGGAGACCTAACAGGGATAACCTTGAAGAGGCCTTCTCATTGGCTGAGAGAGAACTGGGCATCCCACGAATACTTGACCCTGAAGGTGATACCAATCAAATGCTTTTTTATTAAAATCAAAGGCAATATTCATACTTTGTAGTCATGTAACTACCATGGATGCCTGGCGGGCAACAAACGGGTATTTTCAACGTAGAGTCCTGTAGTTCCAGGCCTTTTTAGTCGCTATCAAGTCTGTTAGCGAGCTAGCTGCATAACTATGGACTAGGATTAACTCCAAGGTGGTTGTTAAATTGAGTAAAGCAGACAAGGTTATTTTAGATAACCAAGCAGTAATAATTTCTCCGTAAATAATCTCGCTCTAGCTGTTCTCATTGAAAGCCATAGATATCACAAACCTCAAAACAACCTATCACACACTTTTGTTGTTGTTAGCAAAATACGACATGCTGCTTTACACCGCCACTGGCAATAGTGCCCAGAAATCATTCATTTTTCAATTAGTTTTGCCTCTCTCGCGGTGGCGGTGTGAACGTACATTAGCCTCATAACACAAACAGCTGACTCGCCGAACCAGCTGGTGGCATTGATTGACGAAACTACAGGTTACAGTAACTTACAGTAAAGACACGATTAATTCCATGATCATACACCCATTGTATTCAAACAAATGTTGAAATTACCTTTTATGGAGTGATGGAATGATCACTGCATAGACGTGTAACGTTATACTGTGAAGGTATCTCATCTGGTTAGTGGAACCAATTGCACAACAACTATCTGGCAAGTCATTTCCACGTCAAAACACCAAGTTTTTAATAAAAACTGGCAACATCCTTGACTAGTTTACTGGGTTTCGATGCTGGAGAACGGCGTTCTTGCCCGCCAGCCAGTACTTGTGACGTCACATGCAAAGTATGAGTATAGAAGCTTGCAGCTTTTGGTCGCTTGAGAAGGATCCAATCCAATTCATGACTAGATTTTTGATGCAGAGTCTATTTTTGATGTAAACCCTGGAAAAAAGATGGAATGTGTATATATAAATATACAAATGTGTTTTTTTGGACTGTGTACATTCAAGGTGTGTTGCACGAGTCTCTAAACGCCAAATGCTTAAATTCTAATTAGCAGCACGCCACTCACAGAGGATGTGATTGATTAATTTTTAATGGAGGGGTTAAGTCTTAGACCTCCTAGACGCCATCTGAGCTTTCTCATGCTTCCTACCACGAGTCTGACAAATTAAGTTTGACATTTGAACGATTAGTGGCCCATTAGACATGGTAAAGCTGACTGAACAAATAGTAAACGGTGAGTCAAGGGACATTGTCAACCATGGATCTTTTGTAAGAACCACCAGTGAAGCCTCTGCCAGACAATGTCGACTTTATATTCCTGTTTTCTAGATATTGCACCTTGAATAAGGTTCTTAAGATTGAATCAGTTTCCACAAAAATATTAAGCAGAACAACTGTTTTCAACACTGATAATAATAAGTTTCTTAAGTACCAAATCAGCATATTATAATTATTTTTGAAGGATCAAAATTTAGCTTTGGCATCCCAGGAATAAATAACATTTTAAAATAGTAAAGTGAATGGAAATTATAAATATACGGTGGTATTTTTACAGACCTAAAATATATATTCAAAGATTCATACTGTGACAAAGTTTTTAGAATGTATATGTATTTAAAACAAAGAATTGTCACAATGTAAATGCACTGTTTTTTGGTCTTGACAGACCAGTGTACTAGCATTATAAAAAACAAGTTGCAATTACTGGTGGAGATAATTTTAAAATACCCAAAAGAACATATTGTGCATATGATCTTTAAAATTTTAATAGGTAATTTTATGGTGTGTTATGCTAAATTATGATACATGGATGCACAAAAACAGGAAACAGGAGGTAAAGCTAAAAGAAAATGACTGTGACCGAAAAAAAAAAAATCAATTAAATCAAATTTGCCACAGAGCAATGAATCACAATGAGTGGGTACAAATTTAAACAAAAGAAGCTGGCAAACCTTCATTTTGCGAAGAAAGGTAGCGTTTGAATGGCTTCATCTGAACACAGGGTTTCATTGCAGAAGTTGCTGCAACTTGTCAAATGGCTGTAAATGTAAATCTTGATTGTGATTTAGATGTGGATGTGGATAAGCCAGATGAGAAGTCCATCATGACATATGTGGCACAGTTCCTGAAACACCACCCAGACCGCCAAGAGACAGAGATTGGCCGACAGCAAGAAGAGGTACGACACTATAATATTTCTCATCCAACAACCAAACTTCAACCAGCTCTCCTTTCACTATATGTTTCATGGTTAAATGCCTATTCTCTTTACTCTGTTTCTTAAATAATCACTATCAACAATCTGTCTTATTTGTGAAGTCACATCTCTCTACTCACCATTTTCTTACACTAAATCTCTCTCTTTATTGTCCACCCTCTGTTTTGTCCTCTAATGTCTTTTTGTTTACATGCATTCCTTTTTTGTCTCAAGTTTTATCTTGCTCCTCGAGCCATTGAGGAATTGTTAGAGGTACGTTTGTTCATATGAAACACATTATGCCTGCTTTGACTGCTCTGCCACTATTTCCACCTGCTGCTCCTGCGCCATGTAGTTTGAGATCCTTTCATTAGTATTTTGCCTTCCTTTTCATCATGAGCGGTTCGATACTGCGTGGATCAGGTTTAATAATCCAGGGCGTTGTACGGCTTTAATATGTCCCATATAATTTTACTCCCTTCACTATTACATTTGCATTACAACTGGAACTTTTTGGGGACATTAACATGACAATAATTACCTTTGGCTTTTTCTTTTCTTTTTTTTTTTTGCTTTGCTTTGACACCGATAGCCTGATGATTAGCATTAGAAGCCGTCTTTAAAGAATAATAATGGTTCATAATCAAGTTGAAGCAGTGAATTAATCCTGTCACCACCTGGTTCTTTTGTAGAAACCGCATGCCACGGTCTGCGAGTGTTTCAGAGTCACTGTCATTTGAACCATTTTGCCTCTCTGTTATACATTTAAACTAAGACAATTTTAGCTTTTAATATTCCAGGCCATCGCATGCCTGTGACAGTATTCGTTTCTGGGAGGTAGGGGGGAAATCATGCAGCAGACGTTGCCAAGGTCATAATATAATCATTTTGATGACCCAAAGGCATTGCCTCGTTGAAGATGCCAAAATGTAAGATGAGCGCTGGAAGAATAGACTTAATTTCATTAGAATTAGCTGAACACTGCTCTCACTTTCTCGCTCTTGTTCCTAATTCATAATAGGGAGGGTAAATGTGTGTAAAATGATTAGTATCGCCCCCGCAGAGCTGATTTCTTGCTCCCCCGTGGAGAGGTTTGGGGCAGATCTGCACAATGGAGGAGAAGAACTCAGCAAGCAGCAGGAACACAAAGTCTGTGTTAGATTTAGAAATGTGGCATTAGTGATGCATGTTTGAACAGCAAAATTGTATTGAGTCGGGGGTTTAAAGTGCATTCATTTTTTTTAGGTATGGAAATGATGAGCGTAGACCTCCCCAAGGGGCTGAAATCTTCACAAATGTTTGCTTTTTGTCTTGTTTCTACAATCCTCACTAACTCAGCACTCTTTTTTTCTCTCAGAGGGAGCAGCGTAAGACACTGAGGGAGCTGAAAGCGTGGGCAGATCAGTTGGAGAGAGACTGTGCTCAAGCCCAGAGGGATGGAGGAAATTTTGGTTCGAAGTACCAGGTGAGCTCAGGGTCTCACTCAGTCATCATGTAGACCACATACGATATCAATTGGATACCTGAATAAAACTTTAGCCCCTGGGACAAGCCTTAAGCTAGTCCCAGGCTAAAATGTATGTTTGATCTGTTTTAACTGAAATAAACTTACATATATCTTAAAATATGAGTACCGTACAATATCAGTGCTATTATTTTGTCTCAGATGCACACCAGTAATGTTTTTTTCTAAGGCACGTTTATAAAAGCTACTAATTGATCTAAGGCCTAATCCTAGTTTAATCTAAGCCCTGTCTGTGAAACCAGGTCTAGGAATCTTGATTTCGGTTTTTAAATGCCCACTGTTAATACCAAAGTCCAAGAAAGCAGTGTGGATGTTGGTCGAAGTAATACTGCTATACAGTGGGTCCCAAAGTCTCAACTACCAGTGAAAATGCTTCTGTTTTGTATTTTTGAAACTTGATAGAACTGTTTTCATTATAAATAATGAAATCAGCCATTGGAAACTAAATAACTTGAAAATTCTTACAGAGATCCAGACCATGACTAAAATGGTCACAAATGACTCTGATTAAATGAAACAGATTTATTCAGTCAGTGAATCATGCTTCTGAACAGCCATCGTAATGAATCGATTCTGTTATTCTGTTTCATTTCAGGAGCCAATGGCATCCTTTTTTGTCCTGCCTTAGTGGCCTATATAGCATTTAGCCCCTTTGTTTTGATGACAGCAACACTTTAGCTACAAGTACATGAACTCACTCCACAGTTTCATGCAAATTTTGATACTTTATACAACCATTTAAATATCTGGGGTCAGCAGGACTTTGAATACTTTGAGTAAGAATGCATTAAATTGATCAAAAGTGACAAAAAATACCTTAATATAGAAAAATATATATTTCCAATAAATGCTGTTCTTTTGAACTATCTATTGAATCCTTAAAAAATATCATAGTTTCCACATTAATATTAATCAGTGCAGCTGTTTTCAGCAAATCAGCAATTATTTTTGAAGGATCATGTGACACTGATGACTGGAGTAATGATGCCGAAAATTCAGCTGTGTTTTTGATCAAATAATGCAGCTTTGGTGAGCTTTAAGAGACTTGTTTAAAAAATCTTACCAATCTGCATGCATGGGATTTCAGATTTTCAGTGCAGTCTCAGACTTTTGGACACCACTGTGTGTATGCTAATATTATTCTGTGAGAAAAATAAAAAATAATGGTAGATCCCAGACAAAACATATGTTGCTCAAAACATTGAAACACACACCCACATATGCATACAGACAACGCTAATATACATTACAGCTGAGAGCTCTAGTTGCTTTCATAATCATGGGCACTACACACCAGTGAAGCGACGTCTGTAGCGCCCACGGATATGTTCCATATTCAGAAGAGTCAGAGCTCTAGCAGGGACCGCATGGGTAGAGAGAAAGTGGAAAATTGGAGCCCATTATTGCATGAATACATGCATGTGCAATTTGGCTGTTTAAATTTCTTTTTCAGCTTTTGGTATGCGTCTCTTTCTCCCTTTCTCTTGCTTTGTCATATTTTTGATAGGTTGTGCTATTTTGCTGTCTCTCTCCTATTAGCATTACATTGGGCATTATTTGAATATTTAACATTTAAATAATTTAATTACCTGTAGTTCTCTCATTCATTCATTCATTCACTTTCTCTTTCTTTCACTCAGACGTTCAAGCGTTGTCGTGTACAGTTTGAGGTGCAGAGAAAAAAAGTGGAGACATGTTTTCAGTCTACTCAGAAGGACGGCAAGCTGACTGCAGATCAGGCTCTGCTCAAACAGGCCTGGGAGAGGCTGTCTGCAAGGGTCAGATACACCATACATTTTAATTATTATTAATTTTTTTTATAGGAAACCAATTAGAATACATTAGTAACCCTAATCCAATAGTCTATTTGAGGACATTCATGGTAGATTTAGCTGATTTTATTTTACTTATTAAAAGTAAAAGACAGATATAATATAATATAATATAATATAATATAATATAATATAATATAATATAATATAATATAATATAATATAATATAATATAATATAATATAATATAATATAATATAATATAATATAATAATATATAATATACAGTTATTTTTTTCTTGCCTGCAGCTTTTGGATTGGCATCTACAGCTGGATAGTGGTTTACCGCATCCTCTGGGTGAAGTTGGTATGTATTTACATCAAGCAGAGAAGATCCTACGAGAGGAGTTGGTCCCTCAGCAAGCCCATGATGAGACTGCAAAAGCCATTCACAAAAAGCGACTACACGACCAGGTAAAACAGAATGAGAAAGTTTGTGTTGGTCTGTATGACGTATTGAAGAATGGATGAAGGAGAATCTATTAATGAGTAACAAGACTAGCAGAACCTTCACTTTATCATCAAACATGAGTACTGGATCTTACATTTTTCTGTATTTGGTTGTGCAGGAGATCTTAAGGCTTCTTGAAAGACACAAGCAGACCTTGCAGTTAATCCACAGAGACAGATGTGTTAATAATGTCCCGATTCCCATGGAACAACTGCAAGACATGGCAGAGAGGTAAAAACCATGACAGATAACCTCAAAGATTAATGAAGAGATCAATTTATAATTGCAATTATAATTCAATTCAATTTTTTTTTATAATAAATTGTATTATAATATAATATATTATTAACCTGTTTTTATGTAACTGCTTTCAGATTAAACTACATATCTACCTCCTCACACATTCACTTGAGCAAACTGGAATTCTGGGAAACGAAATATGGTATGCTGGCATTTTTGACACTAGCTGAGTCCAAGCTGAAATCCTGGATCATTAAATATGGCCGACTGGAGTCAATGGAGCTTCTGCTGCAAAGCTATGGTGTAAGTTTACAAACTAGATGGTGTTGTGGGAAAAATCCTGTCAAATATATCATCATCACTGCGTAAGAGACACTCAGAGTCCATCTCCTACCAGAGAAATGTTGGTTTGCTTTCTTTTGATTCCAGTGGAGCTTCTCCTGGACCCGATAGCGGTCGGCCCCTCAAGCTTACGAGGTAGAGCTGGATCTACTCAGTCCAGGTGGCCAAACACCGTTCGCTCTCGGGTCCAGAAGGCACTTCCAAGGAATCCCACTATTCTGACACCAAATTGTTGTGGCAAAAATCCTGTTAAATTTCATCACTGCGTAAGAGACACTCAGAGTCAAATTAATAAAGAAAGAGAAGTATTTATTCTTGCAAAAATAGGCCCAGTCACCAACACAGCAGTTAAACTGTGGAGTGTGAGATGCCCTCAGGGAGACATGAGACAGCTTTTATATTCTTTTCAAGGTTCATCTTCACCTGCTGTACCTTTCACCCACCCAGATAAGGTCCTTACTGCTGTTTAGTCTCTACTTAAGGACACAAACTGGTACTGAAATAAACTGGCCAAAACTGGTGTCCATGTCCTGTCCCATGTGTTCCTGAAACGTCACCCACAACCACGTAGACATCTATATTTTACTCATGGAATAGGTTCAATGGAAACACATGGCTCAGACTACCTAGTAATCTTCTTTAATGATTAAAATTCCCACAACAATGGGTTACTTTCATTTAGCATTGTTTCAGCTCCTTCATTGCCTAACCATACAAACATGTTTTCATACACAGTCATATTTGAGGCCATCCCATCAAATGCAGTATAGCCTAAGATCTGTTGAAGATACCAATTACTCTGATTGCACAATCAAATGATCTGATCTTTATTTTTGTTTATTCTCTGCATCTCCAGTCATTTGTGGAGGGACAGCAGTTCTTTGAGAAGTATGAAAGTAGCCACCAGGCTCTGATACAAGCTGCTGAGCTCTACATTAAAGCTGACAGCTCAGGTATGCTTCAAATTCTGAATCTTTTTCTATTTTATATGCCTATGTGACTGCTAAATGATAGTTTGGTAACAGCAGTACAACTTTCAAGCTGGGATTTTCATTCTGGTGTTTTACTGTGCAATTATTTCTTTCTCTCATCACTTTATATGAGAATCATCAAATATAAAATGTAGTATTATTTTTTAATATAGAGGATACGGGTAAGGGGGGGCAACCCATGAAGATTTTGATCCTGTCCGAAGTAAATTTCGTTTGGTGTTGAGTGAACCAACAAATATATTTGTAATGTGCAAATCATATCATGGCTGGGCAGATAAAGGCAGTTTTTTTTAAATCTCGGTGTCCAGAGGGTAGAATGATAGCAGCTCACCTTGTTTCACCCTCAGTGAGTTTAATCCTTGTGGACTCAGAAGTCAATCAGTCTGTGCCTGTAGCATCTTCCTGCTGTCTCTGTCTCTCGCTCGTTCTCCCTCTCTGTGTTTCATTCTTGCTCTTTTCCGTTTGCTTTTTCTTTCTCTTTCTCTTTCTACGCTCATTCCTCTCTCCTCGGGCTACTGGTAAATGAGGTTTTCCCAGGCAAAGAACTCAAAAGGGAATTCCAGTCCATTAGTGCAGATACTGCATTCTAATTGGGTTTCTCTGGGCGATAGACTCCCAACATGTTGCTTTGTCCGTGCCTAAGGCAACCTCAACATAGGGGTGGTCTTTGTCTGAAGTGTGATTGGAAGATCACAAAATAGGTCTTCCAGAAGCCAATCACATTTTATTACGATGATTTATTGCAGCACTACTCAACTGGTTGGTTGTAAATCAAAAATGGGTCATTGGTATGTTCTTAAAGTGTTGTAGACATTATATTATATTATATTATATTATATTATATTATATTATATTATATTATATTATATTATATTATATTATATTATATTATATTATATTATATTATATTATATTATATTATATTATATTATTGCATTAATGAAGCTGAAATAAAATAAAATTTAAATATTAAATGAAAGATTTTATGAAAATTAGAAATGTTGCTTTGGCACCTAACTGAAATAAAGCAAGCTTAGGTTGTAAACTTCAGTGTAGTAATTTTAGTACTTAGTACTTAAAAAACACATGTGCTAAAATGTCTAAAATCGAAAGAAAAGTAATTTGAAGCTAAACAGAAATATGAAAACAAAACAAAAAAATAATAAAAATGCCAAAACAACAAAATTACAACAAATTTTTTATAATTCAAATTTTTTATAATTCTGTTTAGCTTCAAATAATTTTTATAAGCTATATTATATAATTCTGTTTAGCTTAATAAAAATGAAATTTAAAAAAATGAATGCGGACTCAAAATATTGAAAAAAATACTTTAATAGAATACTAAAAATACTACAAAACTGTATAAAAGGGGGAAACAATGCTAAACGCACAAATCATATGAACTAACTATAAAATCTTATGGTTATGATATAAGATGGCAATTAATAATCAAGATAGCAAAAATAAACAGGTTACAAACATTTAAAAGGTAAGGATAATGATTGTGGTTGACATTAAGGATGTATTAGCATTTATTTATTAGTAAATACTAGTAATAGTATTAGCGTACTAATACTAGCATCAGTGTTAGTTTTAGCTTCTAGTCTAGTCTAGATTTATCAGTATGTATTTATTAGTACATTCATGAATCTGCTCTGCTTTTGTGTGTTCATGTTTTGACATTTCAGCTGAGGGAGGGGTAAAGCTCTTGCTGCGAGAGGTGTCTGATCAGTGGAGGAGTCTGTCGGTGGAGGTGCGAAGCGTAAGGTCCATGTTGGAGGAGGTGCAGTGTAATTGGTTGAGGTACAACAGCTGCGTGGCCTTATTGCAGGCCTGGCTAGAGGATGCTCAGGAGGCTCTCAGACAACCTGAGAACACTAAGCGGGTAAGACAACCACATACATGTAGCCATGTCTCTGAAAATAACTAGTAGGCGTGTTTACGATACAGTACATTCTTACTCCGTTGTTTTTTCAGGAGTTTTTTCGCAACCTTCCGCACTGGATGGACCAGCACGCTGCTATGAACGATGCAGGAAACTTCCTGATCGAGACCTGTGATGAAACAGTGACACGTGATGTAAAACATCAGCTTCTGCTTCTCAATGGAAGATGGAGGGAGCTGTTTTTGAAGGTCAAACAGGTAAGCAAACTTTCACACTCTCTCACATCTTAAAGAATAAAGTCCCAAGGACAAGCAACTGGACAGATAGCCTGACTAGATATCAGGTAGTAGGCCTCACTAGGCCTCCCTGTGAGTGGTTTCCCAGCAATGTTGGGTTTGGGCAACTAGTGGCCGCTTGCTATCAGTTCAGCTGGCCTTAGCAGGCAGCTTCTGAAGGCGAGCTTGCGCCCTGGGTCGACTAAAGTATTCATTCTTTGCTACTGGTTCTTTCCATGAACCTCTTTTTATTCTGCCTATAGCCAGACTCCTGAGTCTGGTCAGACGGTGTAGGCCTCTCGTGAGGCCTCCCAGTTAGATCAGCCCTTAGGCCATCTCAGGCCTCCTCAGTGTTTTGAAACACAAATGCTGGGTAGATCCATGGATCAAGCAGAGAAACTCCCCTCGCTGGCAAGGGTTGTAAGCAATATGCTGAGTCATGCTCTCCGGGATACCCTGTCCCTGAGATCTGGGCCAAGTGGGCCAACTGACAGCTTTGCAGTCCCTCGGGTTGGTTGCCTTATCTAAAGGCAAGTGTCCAGAAGCTCTGTTGCTGGACAGACAGGAAGTTGGCCAGGATGAAAGTATCGTAATCGTTATCCCTTTATTGTCATTGTAATCTGTACAATGAAATTACAAGCACCAACCAGTTGGTTCATCAATAAAATCAATAATAATAAAAAAAAATCCAATGTAAGTGACGCCAGGTCAGGTCTTCCTGGTGGTATTTCGGGTGAGTATGTTCCCTGAATAAGTGATTGGTTGGGACTCCTTCGGGTTACCTAGCCACATTCCCTAGAAGGGACCCCTTCTAATTTGAAGGTGTGGTTCCAAGCCCTTGAGCAGGCCCAGGTAGGCCTTTGGGTAAACTATGTTTATGGAAGTTTTCCTGTGAGGATTATAGCTTGGGTTATGACCGTAGGGAATGCTGTCACTGACAGCCCAGTGTGACCTGAGGGTGGGTGGTTCTAGCGTTTCATTTCAATTGGCTGGTTCTGTCGGTTGTCAAAGCCACTTGGCATGCACACCCCTTAGCATGGTGGCATTGGTATATTGTTCCTCAATGCGTTTCGATTCAGTGCGAGTTTCATTTTGAAAGGGAATGTCTAGGTTTCGACTGTAACCTCTGTTCCCTAAGAACAGGGAACAAGACACTGCATCTCCTTGCCATTCCTTCGGGGCCTGTGTCCCTTCAGACAATAAGGTGTTTGTCATGTTTGCAAGGCACCCCTTTTATATTTCCAGGTCGTGTGATGATGACATCATGGGCTGTTGCCGGCCAATAGGATAGCCATGATTCTATAGCAGTTTCATACACCTGTCACGCCTGAGGCATTTCCCCAATGCATTGTGATGCAGTGTCTCATTCCCTGTTCTCAGGGAACAGAAGTTACAGACGTTTTTTGGCTTCAAAATATCAGTTACTATTCTCTCCCATTATAAAGCTTGGAAAAGCCAGGATATTTTGAATAAAACTCCGATTGTGTTTGGCTGAAAGAAGAAAGTCATATACACCTATTTTAGATGAGTAAATTATGAGATAATTGTACATTTTTGGGTGAACTAACCCAAAACTTACTGACTAAAGTGAACCATTTCTTTAATTATAAAAATTGTAAAAAGTCTGTTTTTCTCTTTTCACAGTACTCTCGTCTTCCTGAGACTCATACAGTAAGGACACACCAGGATGTCAGCACAGACATACAAGAGTTTCTGGATACTTCCATTAACAAACTTACCTCACCGCTTCAAGTGTCGTTGTTGGATGTCAAAGCCTTTATGCTGGATGTTGAGGTAAAAAGGTTTCAACATTCGATGTATTGTTTAATCTTTTTCTCTGTATGTAAGATTGGCCTCTCAGAAATGATAAATGCCAATTTTGTCTATCTAAGTTTCCTCTAAGCATTCTGATTTAATTTTCTCACATATTGCAGGACATCAAGCACAGGCTACCTGCTGTGGAAGCACAACATAAAGTGGCTGCTCACTCTGCTCAGCTTCTGGCTAAAGACTCTGGTGCTGGTGGAGCTAAAGCACTTTCTACTATAACAACGACCGAAGCACAGCTCCACCAGGTTTGTGCAATGTTTGCTAACTTATATTATATTATTAATGATATCATTTTTATCTGAAAAAACTTATAATGAAAAGGAATAGTAACCACAGGCATTATAAAAGCATTATAAATATGATAAAAGCATCAGGAAATATGACATAATTTGTATGGGTGCAGATGACTTTTAATGCAAGTCATTTGGATCATTTTATTTTACACACTTTTTGCTACTATTTTTGAACCCTGACAGCCTCTGGTCACCATTCACTTACATTATAAAATGTCAGCTTCTGTGTTTTGCAAAACAAAACAAAAAAACAAACAAAATATGTTTGGAATGATGTAATTTACTGTATATCAGATCACATATGTCTGGGAATAAATTATGTAATTATTTGTTTGTATCCTTACAGCTGAAAGAAAATTGTCCTTTAATTTTGAGGGAGTGCCAGGCTCTATTTCCTCTGTTAGAAGAGCTAGAGAAACAAATCTCAACTTTCTACCAGACAGCGGAGCACGCTGGACACATCATCACCCAGCAACACAACCAGGAAATGTGTCAGGTCAGTACAGACCACTGGGAGGAAAAGATTATCAGACCATGAAGAATACAGTGTGGAGAAACAGTAAAGATGCGACAAATAATGAGTGGCTGTCTTTGTAATAAATAAACCTGCCTGTATCTGTGTCAACTACTGTATAATTGTTCTATGTGTTAATTGATGTTTTATTAAAAAAAAAAATTGCAGGAGCTACAAACACAGCAGCAGACCTGTAAGCGTTGTGTTTGTGCTATGGAGCGCAGTTACCTGTCTCTACAGAGGGCGCTGTGCTGTGCAAAATCCCTACAGAATTTTGACATGTCTCTTCTGCAGAACAGAGTGACGGAGATTCAGACCACCACACAGGTCAGACTAAGAAAAAATAACTATTCGATAAAGAGATATAGTTTGAATTTTTCCATCAAATGCAGAGCTGTTCTGACAGTGTTGTGCTCTGATCAGGCTTTGATGCAGGAGGCTTTGGAGTGGAGGCAGGTGGCAGAGACTAACGGCAACCTCATGCGGAGGTTTGAGGAGTCTCGTGCTGACCTGGAGAAGGCGCTGCGTGTGGGCCAAGCCTGTTTAAAGGAAAGGGGAGACCCAGATGAGCTGTTCCGCAAACACAATGTACGTCATTGATGTCTTAATCGGCGAACCCTTCAAACATATTTATCTTGTCTTGTTCTTCTAATTAAGTGTGTAATTATTTGCTCAGGAGTTCTTTGGGCGACTAGACCAGCACATTTTAAGTGCTTATTTAAAGGCTTGTGATGACCTCACTGATATCATCTCCGAGGAAGACCAACGGAGTCTGCGAGAGACGGTCAGAAGACTGCACAAGCAATGGAAGGTCAGTTGGAAGATCAAAAATGGTGAAAAGTTAGACAACTTATCAGGAACAGGAAGCTACACTGTAAAAAAAACAATAAAAAACATTGTTGGTTTAACTTAAAAAAGTAAGCCACCTGCCTTAATTTTGAGTTCATTGAAATAAATTGTTTTAATTTTATAAAATTCGAATTTTAAGATTGGTTTAATGAATAGTGAACTTAAAATGAACTTAAAATCTTGTAAATGACATTAATTATCTGAGTTGAATTGACAAAAGATGAAAAGTTGTGACTACAAATCATGAAACATAATTTTTCATCTTGATGCATTTTCCTCCTCCCAGGACATTCAAGCCGAGGCTCCATTCCATCTGCTCAGACTCCGGGTGGAAACAGAGAGGCGTTTGGTGATGACCACATTACAGGAGTGTAGGATAGAGCTGAAAAGGGAGGACAAATCCTTGCTCACAGCCGGCAGTGAAAGAACGATCAAAGAACACAGGGTGAGATAGAGCCGATAGAAAAAAGATCATGGAATTCTCATAACCTGAGAATTATCTATCTAATTATCTATTTATGTATCATTATAGGGCTTTTTCAGACATAAAAACACACTTTCTGCATGTGAGAAGCGACTAAAGACAATGGAGCATCTCTGTCAGGATCTTCCAGAAAATGACCAAGGCTATAAAACACTGGAGCAAACCAGAGATCATCTTTCAGAGGTCAGGGGTTTAATAGAGCGAACGCACTTGAAACTACAGCAGCACATGGATAAATGGAGAGAGTGGCATGCCAGGTGAGATGCAAATACTGAGTGACAAAAGGAGACACGCTGGACAAATTCTGTCAATGCTATGATTTTCAAAAGATTTTTCTCTAGAATGGTGTAAAATGTTTGGGAATGAAACATTGAAACATTTAAAATGAAACATTTAAATGTAACATTGAATAACACACTACAGTTAAAATTATAGGAAAATACGTTACATTTCCTTTAGCTTGTTATTCGGCACATCAAAATAAGTGTGCTTATTTAAAGCTTGACAAAATTCTTTAAAACAAGGATTTAAAATGTACTTCAAAGTAAACGTTTAATTTGACATTAAACGTGTATTAAGAAAGTGATAAAATGGTACTCTCTTTAATCACATTTTAAACAGCCCTTTATTTATGCTTTTTTTTATTTAAATTTAATTTAATTTTAGTTTTTTTTTAAATATGCTTATAAGTACACATTCAATACATTTCAGCACTTTTCTTTTCGACATAAGACGACATATGTGCAGGTTGTGTGAGAATTTCTTTTTTTATGTTTTTGTTTTTTTGTGCTGTGCTCCAGGTTCAGTGAGCTGTCTGGATGGCTTCTCTCCCAGCAGGAAATGCAAAGTGCTGCTGAAATCTCGTCTCTCCAGGTGAGCTCACCCCAAATGGATGTGACTTATGCTCATCTGCAAACAGTATACTGCATGTGTGTTCAGACCACTGTCTGTTATGTGACTTCAGCTGACCTCCCTCTGCTTCCCTTTGCAGATGCAGCGTCGGGCGGTAAAGGCTCAGGGCGAGACTCTGGACTGGCTCAAAGCTCGTCTCGCTGTTCTGGAGGAGATAAGTCCTGAGAGTGAAGTTCGCACACAGAGGGCTGCTTTTGATAAACTCTCACAGCAGTTTTCTGCACTGCTGCTGTCTCTGTCTGAGGTGAAGAGTGGTCCTCATGTCTTAGGTTTAATGCAAGTTGTACTGCTGCAAATGTCATGTGCCATGTTTACTTTGGAAAGAAAATGTCTGCCTACAATTCTCCATGTGCATATTTGTATATCATCTGCAGGAACATTTTTTTAATATTTTGCATGGTTAAACTATTTTACTGTTTTGTCAGGATTGTCCTGTTGCAGTGGCCAATGAAGGGAACATAAAGACTAGAGAGGAGGTGAAGGAGGAGGAGGATGCGATTCAGACACAGGGCCACAGACGAATACTGAATGCAGAGAATATTACAGAAGCCAAACAGCTGCTCCTTATTCACCTGGTAGGGACTGTAGAATTCATTTTTGTTGACACATATAATGCAATAGACATGATGAATCATGTTGATTTTATTTGCTAATCTGATTGCTGTGAATAAGTGATTCTTTCTCATGCATAATATTCCAAGGGGTGAATCTCAGGATCATTTATTTCTTTTTTTCCCCCTCGTTTCTACTTTTCTCTTTTTCTTTCTTCTCTGTCACCCTGTCATGGTGTTTAATCAGCAAAATATGAAGACACAGGAAGCAAAAGAGACAGATGTGAGATCTCAAGGTAAAGATGACTGGGCAGCTCAGGAGAAACACCTGCAGGTAACACTTTCAGTCAAATGATATTTACACATGCCATATTATAATTCAGTTAAATCCCCTTAAAGTGTCTGTAAAAAATGGTTTGGATCTCTGTATGTTAGATCATAGCAATTTAGCTTCATAGGCAGTATCCTAACTGTTATTAAATCTCATAAATCTCATGGCTGCCTTTCAGTGATGCAACAAATAGCACTCCTCATTTTAGACTCGACTCTCAATCAATTTCAGTCAATTAACTCGAGTTACATAATCAGATTACTTTTTCTGAGTAACTATTGAAAGAGCGCATTACTTTTAAATTTAAAACAAAATATCTGAATAAAGTTTTTGGAGTAAGTAGTAAGTGCAGAGGTGTTGTGTGCGCTGTGTAAATATGACGTTTATTGTTGTTGTAGACTGCTGTAAATGTGAGCATGCATTTACTCATCTCACTTAAATAAAAACAGATTCAGTATTCCTGAAAATAAAAACAGTGAAATGCAAAATCAGAATATTAAGCTATCCTGCTATAATTAAATTGGACAAATATACTTTATGAATTTAATCTCACTTTATTAACCTGATCCAATTCATACTAATACGTTTTTGTGTTTCATATTTTGTAATATTTTGAAAGCCGTCTACTGTACCGGTGTAAATATCCTTCAGCAAATTTCCCAACAATGGTAGACTCATTTTAAAATTAATTCAAAATTAGAGTAGGGTCCAATTCTCACTATTAACTTCGACTTTTGCATTAATAAACTCCTAATTACTGCTTATTCATAGTTAGTAAGGTTGTTGTTAAGTTTAGGTGTTGGGTATAAGAGATGTAGAATATGGTCTAGTAATATGCATGCAAATAAGCTACTATAGTTAATAGTGAGAATTGGACCCTAAACTAAAGTGTTACCAAAATTCCTTATCCAGACAATCACAAACAAATGTAAAAGTAATGTGGACCTTTAATATTGTTGTGAACAATTGCGGGCCTCAAGACCTTAGAATGCCCCTCTCTTCAGAAGTCCAAGCTTGTTTCAAGAAGTTAAACATTGTGTAACCTTACATTTTGAGAATAAAATGTAACCCAATAATGCAACATGAATAATCCGAAAGAAATGCAATCACTTACTTTACTTGCAGTTGGTAATGTCATTCTCATTGCTCTTTAGGTCACTGTGAATGCATGGCAGGAGTTTGATTTGGAGAGAGAGGCCATCTGGCAGTTTGTGTGTCTTGTCAGTCCTGTCCTGCAGAGGGAGCTTATCTTCAGCAGCCTGGACAACCTCAAGACTGAAATGAAAAATGTTAAAGTGAGAGCAAAGATATAAAAAAAAAGTTGTTAAATGTTTATTGAACTTTGGACTGAAAATAATATTCATATCTGTGTGTTTGTTTAGGAGCTTCATGAGCAGGGCAACACATTTGCTGAACGAGCTGAGTCCCTGTTGAAGAAGGCAGCAGGTATTAAACTTGGTTCTCACAATCAGTCTTTACTACAGGATCAGGCCCAATCCACAAAAGAAAGACTGCAGGAGATACAAGCCAGCCTCAGGAAAATGTAAGACAGCTTTAAGTCAAAATGCCTGTATCTACTGTGCAGACATATACTGCACAATTCACATTACGTACCTTGTTTCTTGTCGCAACCTACTGTAAATGCCAGTAAACCTTACTGAAATAGAGAGAATAGTCTGCTGCAATAATCTACTTTCAGATACTATAATATTGGTTAAATAAAAGGCCACTTAAGTGTACACTCTGTAAAAGAATATTATTTAAAAGTACAGTATTTCCATAATAAGTACTCTTTTAATGAGAACTATTTTTCTTTCCTGCTTGTATCTGTTCCAATAGAGTGTCAGATCTGGAGATGATGCACAGATGGTGGCAAAGTTTCAGTCGTGAGTCTGAGGCTTTCTTCTCCTGGGTCTGTGATAGTAAGAGGGAGCTTGAAGCTTTCAGCGGATCCTCTGCCAACCTGGATGAGCAGATTCACACGGTGGAGGTAAACAGAGATAATGACCTGGATCAGAAGACTGTAACTTAATAAACATAACCAAATCAACCAGACAACATGACAGGTTTCATTTAGCGCTCAGTGAATGATGTCTCCTCATTGTTTACCCTCTTAGATGTTAAAGGAGGCCTTAGAGGAGAAGATGGACAACTTTAGCCGATTGGAGACAGAGTTTAAATCTTTAATTCATTTCATTGCACCGAATGAGGCTGGGCGAATTAAAGCACGTCTGATGCAGATTGAAAGATACCGGGAAGAGTTTAAAAACAGTGTGGAGGAACGAGAGGCAGAGCTTCACTCTAGTTTGAGAAATACTAAGCAATTTACTCAAGATCTCAATGAGGTAACACTATATACATGGCTATCTGTGCTACTCTGGTCTGATATATTATTCAAGTCATGTTGGATGTGTGTGTGTTGCTCAATGTTTTCACTCATCTTAGGTTGAAGGTTTGCTGAATGGACTACAGGAAAAACTGAACACACCAGTTACTTCATGTACATCCGCATCAAGAACATATAAAACTCTCCATGAACATATGGTTCGTATTATATGTGTTGGTTTGAAACAGACAACGTAAAAACCTAAATAAATAAATTTCCATACCATACTGTATATATTATCTACCAGGGGTGTAAAACTCAAATTGGGGGCCTCTATACCAGTATATACAGTATACAATCATCACAATTGTAATGATCAAAAGTTATTTAAATGAAGAACAACTGAAATAAATAAAAATCAGTTCACATGTGCAGTATGATATTTATAAATATTACATTTTATTTCAAATTTGACATTTTACTACATTTTATTTCAAATTAAGTGACTGGATTAATTGCCGTCACCTAGGATACAGGTTCAGTTTTGTTTTTATGCTTTAGGGCTGATATAATAAGCCCTGTGGAGAAATATATTGACTGCTGTTTAATAATCCTTAAGAGAACTGCGGAGTAACGAAGACCAGACCAAAATGCAGAAAGTAAAAATCAATTTGCAGACCGGATTAAAGGATAAACTATTTACACTTGAAGGGCTGCATTAAATAATCCACACAGTCAGCCAGAGGGCCATTATTACAAGAGGCCCTACTGTATGTCACATGAACAAACAGGGAAACAGGTCTCATTGCATCCACATCCGCAATGAGAAAAGTGTTGTTGGTGTTTTATGCGATTTAAATATCTAGATGTTTGTAAGAAGAAAATAATAAAAACTTCTAGACCTCAATTTATGCTCATCTTTGCTCACTCCTTAAATTTAACGTCTATATATTTGTCAAAGTACATACAAAAGACCTGAAACGGTAGCAATGCAACCTGTTTTACTGAACATTGTGCATAACCCCTATTATAGACCATATGCTAAAATTTTCACTTAACTGTTGACTTTGAAAATATGATTATATAGAAGGCATTTGAGGCTGCTAGAGTAACATTTATTTCCTTCATTCTCAGGATGTAGTGCAGCGTTTACAGCAGCTCGGGCCCAGGCTAATGTCTCTGAGTCTGGGCTGGAGGAGGCTGTCTGATGGGGGACGGATGGAGAAAGCTGTGGCTGACCTTCAGCAAGCTCACAAATTATATACCCAGCAAGCCACTGAAAAACAATCAAAACTGGAGAACCTGTTGACTCTGTGGCAAAGGCATGTGTTTACATATTTATTTGATACATAATACGTGTTGACTGGAATGAAGGTGATTTTTGTTAATTAAATAAAAGATTGTAATATAAAAAGCAATGTTTTGGCTGTCTGCTTTTTTAGATGTGAGAGAGATCTCTCACTTCTGCAGTCCTGGTTGAACAGGTGTGAAAATCTATGCAGTTCAGATTCTCCCTACCTGACCATAGACAATGTGAAGCTACAGAGCCAGCTTCAGATGCTGCAGGTGAGTGCGAAGTCTTTTCCACAAAGTGTTTTTGTTTTCCACATCCATGGTTCTTTATCTTTAATGATGATTGTTTGGATTACCATCACTCATTTAAAACTCTCAAAAACAATTCGGGACACTATGACTTTAATGGCAAGGAACCAATAAAATCTTTTTTTTTTATAACGTATCAGGACATGCAGTCAGAAGTTCCCTCTCAGGAGTCTTTGTTGGAAAGTTTGGAGACCCGAGCCGAGTCTCTGTACTCCTCAGCCTCCGAGGAAAGGATGGCAGAGCTTAGAGATCTTCATTGTAGCATGGAAGAGAGGTGGTGTTCTCTCAGTACTAATATACCACTCAGGTAATACTAATTTATATTTTTGTCCCTGTCATTTGTTTGATTATGTGCTCCTAAAATATACACATTCAAATGTTCTCTTTCTCTCTCAGAAATTTTACCAAAAATATCAATGACTCATCTAAGGGGCATATTCAAACTTTCATGCAATCAAAATTAGTCTAGAATTGGTTTGCTTAAGACAAAAACACTGCTTGTAAGACGGATTCACGATCGCTCATACAGTGTAGAAAGTTACAGTGTACCTTTACCTTGAGGAGTAAGTGATGACGTTTAATTTTGTATTTTCAGGATTCAGGAATTTCAGTCCCATCTTGCTCAGTTGGAGCAGTTCAGTCAGGTCTCGCTTGATCTGACTCAGTGGACTGAGAACTTCCTCAGGCACATTCAAAGCACATGCAAAGTCAGCATCACTGATCTCCAGTCTGCTGAATTCAAAACCAAGGTACAATATGTCATTACATTTTATCTTCCAATCATCAGTCGTTTATTAATGTATTAATTGAAAATATACTGTATGTAATTATCTGGTTTCTCCAATGGTCTAAAGGAGGACAAGACGTCCCTTCAGTCACAAGGAAAGTTACTGGAGTCCTTACAGCCACAACTAGATGCCCTCAGCCCGTCTATATCCCCAAAAGACCTGCAGCACCTCCAGACCAGGAAGGAGGACTGCCTTCAACACTTCAGTGAAGCACAAAGTTTAGTAGAGCATCGAGATGAAGCACTACTCAAACTAAAAGACTTCTGTAAGACTTATAATAAAGCCAGAACCTCTTTACAGACATTCCAGGAAGAAGTTGAAGGAAGAGAGAGCTGGGATGACTCCAAAGTCAGGGACATAAATCAGGAACTTGGGGACCTTGCCAAGGAGTTAGCATCTCTAGAGGTGCATGCCATTAGCCTGGATATCATCCTAAACAAGGCACACTTTCATTTACAAGGGGCAGAGGAGGAAAGAACGTCTTGCAGAGGGCTAGTGGATGATGTTGCGTTGAGCGTGCAGGTGCTTCAGAGGAGCATTGGGACAAAGCAGAGTGAGGCAGAGGCACTAGCCACCATGTGGAGTTCATTTAGGGGACGGAAGGAGCTGCTACTCGGGAGTCTGGCAAAGCTGGAGTACAGAGCCAATATACCATGGCCTGCAGAGGCTAGCACACAGGCCTTTCAACAGAGGTACAGGCACTTGTGTTTTATTTACCATACTGATGTGACATATTATAAATGTTAACACTGTGCTGTGGTTATTTTGGTATGATAGTTGTATGTTGTGTTTTGGTATGATGGTATGTTTTACGTGCCAAAAAATGTGGACCTGATATTGAGGTGTTGTTTACTTTGGATAAATGTGTGAGTTTTGTAAATTTTCTGTAATGATGGCAAACCTATATTTTGTGCTATGCTGTTTTAATCATATCCGATGTGTTTGTCAGGTTGTGGTTGCTGAAGCAGTTGGAAGAAGAGCTACAGGCCCTACAGCACAGTCAGCTGTGGTTGGGGGAAAAAGGAGAACAACTGGCCCACAGAGACTCTGAGCTGGCAGGGGAAGTCAAACGGGACATAGCCGTGGTCCACTCCACCTGGGAGAGGATTAGGGGGATTATTGTGGAGGAGTGAGTATATTACTACGGTTCCCAAGTCTTAGACTGTACACTTAGTTTTCATTGGAACTTGGTGTGTGTTTGGATAGATGAATGGTGTGTCAAATTGAACTTGATATGGATGACTTATGGGAGGGAGAGGCTGGACTGGGCCAGTGGGTTGATGGATGGATGTTTTGACAGGTTGCGTCTGTTGCCATGTTTAAATGCAATTTAAATGGGGTTTATTTTCTGTGCGCTGTTTGATGGATATGTGGGTGAATCTCTAAATAGATTATGCTTTAGATTAAAGAAACTGAAGAAAGGGGAGAGTGTTTTGAGCTATTGTCATGACTGCAGTGTGTGTTCGCGTATTTCTATTGATACTATTGATGTCACTCACTTTTAGCGTAAAATCTAAGACTTCGCTGCTCGTGTTTGTTCCCATAAAGCCATGACCTTTGTGTAAACCTGCTGGAGCTCTGTAGGGAATACCAGACCCTGAGAACCAGGATCAGCTCGGTCATTGAGAGAGCTCATGCCATCACTGTGGCCCAGTCGGACCCACATAACCCTGAGGACATCCGTAGAGCTCTGTCACGGGTTAGTGCCTCAGTGTGTGCCACATTTTAAACATCAGATTACATTTATGATTGCAAGCACACAGGTAATATTGTTATCTCTGTTTGCACAGCTGGAAGCAGTGAGGCCGGAGCTGGCGACCACTAAGGAGGACCTGAATAAGCTCATTGGTTCAGGCAAACTCCTCACCGTTGTGTTAAAGAAGCTTCCAGATGAAAGCATTCAGAGTGAAAATGTCACAACGGAGATGGATGCCATTGTTGATCGGTGGCTGGATGTGAGTGCATTTAATGCTTTTGATTAGATGTCTTAGGCGTCATTTATTTGGCATGTTTGGTTTAGTCCCAAACACTTTATGAAATAACTTGAGCAGGGATTTATCTAACAAGAGGAAGCATTTCCTATTGTCAAGCATGTAAACATGCTCATTGTGTACTGGAATTTATCATTAACAATGATTGCTCCTACAAATGACTGTTACAAGTTAAAGATAACTGATTTTATGTCAGAATGTGATATGGAAATTAATTAAAATCTTTGTTTATATATTTATTAACTTTTTTAAAAATATTTTTCCTGTTGTATTTCCCTTTATTTTTTAACAAATGCAAATGTATAATATTGACCATCATTGGTTACCATATAATTATTGTATTTTTTTTTTTTTTTATGTATGTATGATTTATTCATTTTCTTGACTTATTCAGGCTGGGAAAAGACAAAAGGAACAATTCAGGGAGGTTGTGATAAAAATCAACAAAAACAAATAAATAAAGCACTAAAATGTAAAAGATAAACAAAGTAGTATGTGACCTAAGTGAAATCAAAAGTCTGTATCGTGAGGATGGTGATTTAGAAGTATGAGATACAGTCATTACACCATTAGAATAAGGGATGCCTGGTCTTTCAACTGTGGTCGTCTTATTATTCACACCATATTATGCACATGATGCACTTATGGCCAGTGTTGATTATTGTGCAGATCTCTGAGAGTATGGATGCAGACATCAGTCGGTACACCCGCTCTCTTGAGCTGTGGAATGACATTAATAAAATGGCCAATGATATAGAGTGTTGGAGTGCTGTCTCTGTCTGTGAGCTCAGTGAAGGAGCTGCCAGTCTCCTCTCCACTCAAGACATGGAGGAGCACCTCTCTGACTTCAAGGTGAGATCCATTTAGCCAAGACAAATCTAACCTGGTAAAGGAAACATGATAAAATACCAAAATATGTAATTCTCTTCATTTCTGTGTTTGTACAGTTGGAGTTGGACAATAAGGAGGACGAACTGAAGACCTTGCAAGAGAAGATGACAGAGCTACATGAACTGATAAAAACCCAAAACACACACACTGAACTTCAGGTAATCATTAGCAGTAGCTGTGACATTTGTTGTGATAAGTGATGTAACATCACATATGTAAAGAGAATAACATGCACTGCTAGTCACAGTGACTGGTAAATCTAGAATTTGTTTTTGGCCTTTTGAGGTGATGGCTGCAGATCTGAGAAAGCAGATTTCCCATGCTTTAGAGGTGTACGAACAGACCAGAGGCATGTATAAAGACTTCACCTCCCAGAGGCAGCAGCTTCAAGACCTAATTTCCCAGATTTCAGAGCAGCTGAAGACCTCTGAGGACTCACTATCAGAGTTTTCAACATCCCTTGACCCAGAGAATTTTGTTAAAATCAAGGTTAGTGAATTGACTGAATATGACTTAAATTTAGCGGTAGGATTCTACAAAGTGAGAATAAATGTAGTCTAATCACGTGCAATCTGGTACACAATCCACAAGCCAAATACTGTGATGAAATTTTGGATGGAAATATATCCAACCAAGTTCATTTCACATGGGGGACTTTATTACCATTTAAAACCAATTAAAAACTTAATGCCCTGTATATTCCACCCTGGTCGTTTAGGAGGTTGAGAAGTCACAGAGACAGCTGGAGGTGAGTTTGGACGTTGCAAGTGAGTCTCTCAGGGCACTGTGTAGAGCGTACCCAACTCAGCACCTGACCCTGTTGGGTGAAGCTGTCTCCAACCTGGTCAAGAGGAATGAGGAAGTGACACAACGCCGCAGCCAGATCCTGGGGTCACTTCAGGATGCTTTACTGCAGCGCTTCAATGGTGAGTGAATTTAAATTAATTCATTTAATTCATTTAGAGTTCAGTGAGTTATATATTTTTGAAAGAAGTCTCTTATACTCGCCAAGGCTGCATTTATTTGATCAAAAGCACAGTAAAACTGTATTAAAAAATAAAATAAATGTTTTAATATATTATAAAATGCAATTTTTTCCTGTGATGGGAAAGCTGAATTTTCAGCATCATTACTCCAGTCTCCAGTATCACATGATCCTTCAGAAATCCTTCTAACATGCTAATTTGGTGCTTAAGAAACATTCATTTATTGTTATAAATGTTGAAAACAGTTGTGGTGCTTAGTATTTTTGTGAAATTCACATGTCGTCTATAGATAGAAAATTAGATTTTTTTGATAAATATAAAATTATCTTTTAATGTGCCATACTGAATAAAAGCATTAATTTCTTTCTTAATAAATAAATAAATCAATCATTATTGACCCCTGACTTTTGAACATAAGTGTAGGTGTCAGTTATGAGCAAAACTAGATGGAAGTTTAAAGCCACTTACCATTCAAGTGGCTCATGAATAGTTGATAATAGATATTTTATTTATTTATGTTTGTTTGAAATGATTCTGCACGGCACTCCCTAAAAGCGTGACTGCCACACACCTGTGCCTCAGATGCTCCCTCTCCCTCTGACATTATGACAGATCCCGGTGGAATTGGTTGAGGCTGGTTACTAAGACAACAGAGAGCTGTTCCATACACTCCTACGGTCCATCTGGCCGCATGCAGCAGCAGCTCACATACATTTCTTCTTATGGACTGTCATTCTCTCTCTGTCTTTCCTTCTACTAGAGAAAGCACATGCTTTTCACTGTTGGCTCTCTGAGGTAAGGGCTGGAATTGAGGACTGCTTTGAGCAAACAGGAGATGCTGTCGCGATTTCATCCAAGCAACAAAAACTCAAGGTAGCGTCATGCAACAAATGACTCAGCCATGTAATGAAACATTGCACCAGAGCAAAGCAATAAGGCTCCTACTTATCAGTAGTAAAACAATGAAGAAGCATTTCAGACCTCAATCTAATAGGGGATTATTCTGGATTTGAAATTTGGGATTAAGAGCCATTTAACATTATTAATAACAGTGGCTCATTGTGTCCCTCGTGTAATACGATTCGATTCATTTATCCCCTCATTATTAGACTGCAGTAGAGGAAGTCATGGATGGAGATGAGCGCTTGTCCCAGGTTTGTGAGGATGGAGAGAGACTCCTGTTGCATCTCACTAAAGGTGGGACTGGAGGCATACAGGAGCAACTGGACTCTTGTCAGTATGCTTTGGGTGCATTTGTTATGGAATGCAGACAGCGCATGCAGTCCCTGGAAGAAAGTGCCACCCTTTTAAATGGGTAAGTAGTGCTTTCAAGTCTACACTCTAAGCTTAGGCACGATTGAAACTTTATTCATAATAACTAGATCATTTACAAAATGGGAAAAAAACAGACTGTCCTACAGGATGGAGCCTTAGAGGATGGACAAAAATTTGCGGTCACATGTACTGTTGCTCAGGGAAATTTCAATGGGAATAGTCACGATCAAGTATTTCCGGTTTCCCTGTGTGAATTGTGTTGGGTTCAAGTTTGGTGAACTTTAATACACACATTTGCTGCACTTGTCAATAGCAAGCCTCCACCTCTGTGTTGGTGGAGATTTGTAAATTGGCAACAATGCAGAACTGATGAAGATCCACATTATATATCCAGTTTTGTATAAGACTACTTCAATTATTATTCAGGACTGGTTCATTTGCTAGCTGAAAAAATAGTTTATTTCATCATTATTCCTGTATCATTATTGTATTGTCACATCCAATCCCACAAATTTCACAAAGCAATGGTAAATGGGAGAAAAAGAAACCCCTCCAATAGTTATTAATAAATAATCAATCAGTGGCTCATGTTAGGAGTGTGTGCCACCTGTGCAAATGGTAAGAAATTGTAACATCTGCTCAAATCAGAGTAGTGAAATAATTATAAATTGTGTTCACTTAATTATGATATTATGTTGAGATTATGATATTATGTTTTAAATCTATTTTAGATAGATTGACTCCAAGATCCACCTTTGTCCAAGATGATATTCAAAAGTTGAAATGTACCTCTGGTCCTTCTGTTGTAATGAACTCAATAACATGATGTCAGTTTAATGTTGTACATCTTTATTTTCAGTGTGCTTTTTAATTATGATTATGTTAGTATATAACTAAATTTAAATAATTGTAAAACTTACTGGGTCCCTTTGGAAGTTTGGTTGAGAATTCCCTGTTTAAGAAAGACTGTATTAGGCAATTTACTGTATTAAGACATACAATGGGCACATGGAAATATACTGCATTGTAAGAATGATCCTTTAACATAACATCAACAAGACGTTTACAGTTACCTCTATCACAGTACCGTAGCTTACAATGTAGTCAGATTTTAGGGTACATTTAGTGAATTTGATCTTATTAAGGTATGAAACTCGTGTGGTGGAGCTGAGCGACTGGCTGCAACAGCTGGAGGTGAGACTGAAGACAGATGTTCCTCTGTGGGGTGAGAGTCAGTCTGCAGTCCCCGACTGTTCAGAAGAGCTGAGAAGAGTGGAGGAAATCCACAGAGAGCTGCTGATGAGGAGGTACATATGGACAGTCTGTCTCTGTGTTTATGAAGTACCATGTGTAACAGCATGTGAGAATGTTCACAATGTAAGTCATGATTAAATGTAAGCTAGCTGTATGTTTTCTGTCACAGGGCATCACTTGAACGTCTGTGTCAGTCCTCTCTCACTGTAACAGAGGGAAGATCTAGATCAGGGAGTAGTGTGGCAGCAAAGTTGCTCTCAAACCACGAGGCTTTGCTACAAGGGGCCAGAAGTCGACTCCGCAGACTACAGGAGTACCAGGCGTTCGAGGAGGCGCTGAAGGCAGTGGAAATCTGGCTGAAGGATGTCGAGGGAAAGCTAGAGAAACTAGAGAACACAGAGGGGAGTAAAAAGGAGGTGGAAGAGAAACTTGAGCAAGCACAGGTACATGCAAAAAAATCATAGAAAACAACGTCTGTGAAAATCTGCATGTTTTGTGATTTAGAACAGCGAAGAGACAAACAGAGATTCATGTGCTGTTTTTTTTTTATTTAATCATTTATTATAATTTTGTATTTTATTGTTATGTATTGTAAAATTACAAACTGTATTTTTCTGTCACTCCTTATCCTCTTTTATTGGTGGCTATTTTCACCTTCTCATCTATGTAACATTCAACGGACATTTCCCTAATACTGTTTATAGGGGGAAATAATATTTTTAGAATGGCTATTCTGTATCTGTGCAGTAGCTGTAACTTGTGTTTGTTTCCTCTTATCCAGGATATCCTGCTTATGAAGGGAGAGGGCGAGGTAAAGCTCAACATGGCTGCTGGGAAAGCAGAGCTGGTCATCAAGAGCAGCGGGGAAGTGGAACGAGGAGTGATTTGCTCGAAGCATCAGGAAGCTGAGGATGCATGGGCGGCACTGCTCTTGAGAGCCATGAGCTGCCACAGGTGACCTGGCTATAAAAGCTTAACTTATAAATGACTGTCATTGCAGAAGATTGGGTCAATTGATAGTTGGTTTTGAATGATAATTAACTACGACAATGGACACATCAATAGGAATATATAATTACCGGGACCATTAAAGTATTATGGTTCAAGAGAGATAATAGTGGGAGCATAGTGATTTGTTTTTTAATTGGCAAGTGTGCTTGACTGCAGGTGCCAGCCTCCTGGGCTTTTATTCAATTAAACTAATCATCACTATGGCAACCAAGTTATTATCTATCTATCTATCTATCTATCTATCTATCTATCTATCTATCTATCTATCTATCTATCTATCTATCTATCTATCTATCTATCTATCTATCTATCTATCTATCTATCTATCTATCTATCTATCTATCTATCTATCTATCTATCTATCTATCTCTGTCTGTCTGTCTGTCTGTCTGTCTGTCTGTCTGTCTGTCTGTCTGTCTGAATACTCATCTGCTCTATCTATCTATCTATCTATCTATCTATCTATCTATCTATCTATCTATCTATCTATCTATCTATCTATCTATCTATCTATCTATCTATCTATCTATCTATCTATCTATCTATCTATCTATCTATCTATCTATCTATCTATCTATCTATCTATCTATCTATCTATCTATCTATCTATCTATCTATCCATCCATCTATCCATCCATCTATCCATCCATCTATCCATCCATCCATCTATCTATCTGACTGTATACTCATCTGCTCTATCTATCTATCTGACTATATAGTTATCTGCTCTATCTATCTGTCTATATACTCATCTGCTGGATACAAAAAAGCAAAATCTAATTGATATCTTCCTCTTATCTGTGCTTTCTGTTTTAGCCGATTAGAGTGGACCGTTAATCAGTGGGATTTGTTTGTGGAGTCTCGTGCACAGCTGCAGAAGTGGCTGGAGGGTGTAGGGCTGGAGGTTAAGGGTCCTCTTGAGCCCCAGCTTGGGCTCAGGGAGAAACGAAAGCAATTGGAGAGACTGCACTTGCTGTCATCAGATGTGGAAGACCACCAGGGAGCACTGTGCTATCTGGAGGAGAGTGCGACCGAACTTTACAAACGCACTGGTGACCCCGTCTTTGACGAGGAAGAAATGGTTCTCCTTAGAGCACATTTTGAGGATGTCAAAGCTGCAGCCGAGGTGAAATATTGTCAGTGTCAAGTGGATAGTTAAAGTGTAATAGTGAACGAGAGTGTTCATATTAAAATTTAAATGCTATTTATGTTTGATCTCATTTAGGAGAGAGTCAGACTGTCAGAGGACGTTGTAATCGAGCATAAGAAGTACATGGAAACAATCAGGGAGCTCACCGATTGGCTAATGGTGGTAGGGGAGGAACTTCAGCAATGCTCTGATCCATCTGGTGACTCTCACACCTTAAGTCGGAAGTTGACTGAAGTCCGGGTAAGAAAATGAAAATATTGCCTTTTTGTTGACACAGAAAAATGTTAATTTTAAATTTAATTTTTTAATTTTTTCTAAAATTATTTTATGTCAATTGCTCATTTTCAATATCATTGTTTAATAAAGTCTTCATCTGTCTAAAATAAGCATGCAATTATATTTTATTCACTTTCATAATTCATAATTCATTAAAGCATTTACACATTAATTAGATGTACCATTTCTTGTAATCAAGCTTGTTTTCTCTCTAAGGGTTTCTTGACCGCCTCTGTGGAAAATGATAGAGAGAACCTGCATTTTTTTTTCTCATTTACAAATATCATATTTCATTGTAAATGGTGTGAAATGATAAGAACAAATCTATTCTTTAAAGCAGATGAGATGGTGTAAGATTGCACGTCAAATGAGACACTGATGATATGAATGCATAATTGCATTTCATCTGCACATACGATTATGAAAGTGTGGGTGTATAAATAGATAGATCAGTATTTTTATTAACCCCATGAGGGAAATTATACTGCAACAGCTGGGCACAGAATATAACGGCAGTATACACGTACACAATTTAAATTTAAATCAATATTTCAAAAATATTCAAAAAAAAGTTTAAGAGTGTTTTTTTTTTTTTCTGAAAGAGTGGATTTAAAAGTGCACTACCAATTGTGAGTTATCATAAATGTGCACAAAAGAGTCTTTAGATGTTTCTTGACAGAAACAATGTACTCGGCTTGCTTTGCATGGTACAAAGGAATACAGAATATTAAAAATATACAAAAAGGTAATGTGCAGAATAAACAAAATACCCAAGTGTATTAAAATATTTAAATGGAGCATTTGTTTGTTAAACTCTGTGTGTGGTTGAAACATTTATTTGAGTGTGGGAAGAGAAGCATGTACATTTCTTTCCAAGGTCAATGTCTCTGTACTATATGCTCTCACAGGACTACAAATCAATGGATGCAGGTGCTTAGATTTGACTATTTTTATGGATCTGCAATATTTCTGTGCTGATTAGCTCATTATACTGTCTGCTTTCCTCCATAACAATTTGTCCGTGTGTTTGATGAGAAAGAAAATCTTCATAACATGGGGCTTGTGTTTGATGAGAAAGAAAATGAGAGAAAAGTACCAGAGGCACCGAGAGAGCAATAAGAGGCGTTAAGAAAGGGGGAGAATGGGCGAAAATTGGTGGGAAATTTCTATGCTGTTTGCACATTTCTCCCTGGATAATCAATTCCAGTCAGAGAGAATGCGTGAGTGGTAGGGATAACGGATAATAAGACACAGCAGCACTTTAAATAAATTATATTCAAATAAATTCTTCCATCCATTTACCTTTGAAGCTAGTTTATTTGTCAGGGATCATTCATTTTTTAATCGCATTAAAATCTGTTAACTGAACAGTCAACTTAGCCAGTTTTTTAATTAATCTATCATAATATTTTTGTGATTGATAACTAAAATAAAAAAAAATTAATAAATTATTATTTGATATTTTATATATTTTTAATGACTTGCTTAATTAATATTACACGTATTTATTTATTTTTGCAAATGCCATTTACTCACACTAGCCTATTTTATTTATTTTATTTCATTTTATTAGGTTTATTTATTAATAACACTTTATTTATCAATAAAACATTTAATTGCACAATTACAATTTATTTTACACTAGATAATTGTCACTGAATGAATGAGTGAATGAATGAATGAATTTCTAATTCCATGTAGGAAAGTGGATATGTATGAAAATTATGATAATTTAGATTGATGAAAAAGGAGGTAAGAGATGGGAGCGTTCATCCTCTGAAGCGCGAGGAACTGATCCGATGAGAGTTTTTTTCAGTCAGTCAGTTTCACCGTCGTGAGAATCAAGCGGCGCCACTATTTGGATAACAAGCAGCCACTGATGCCGCAGTTTCCGTAGCAACTTTACCCTCCCTCTCTCCTTCTCACTCTCTCTCCCTCCCTTCCTCCTTCAGGAGCTGCTGGAGCGCGGCGCGTGCGAGGGGCGCGAGCGGCTGCGGCGCGTGCGGCTGAGCGCGGAGAGAGCAGGAAGGCACACAGCGGCGGCTGGCTGCGAGCTGATGGATGGAGAGGTGGCGGCACTGGCTCGAGCGCTGCACCAGTGGGAGGGAGCTTCGCTACGAGCTCGCGACGCTCTCGAGACGGCCGTAGCCGCGGCGACAGGGGCCGAGCGGGAGCAGACACGGCTGACAGCGCAGTTGGAGGAAGAGATGGAGAAGCTGGAGGGCCAGCTGAAGGAGTGGAGCGAGGGACTGAGCAGCGCCGAGCGGAGGAATTGCGGAGCTGCGGCGGTGGAAGGATGGATGGTCGCCAAGGTAATTGAGTAGGAGAGAGATGGAGAGGGAAGGGTTAGTGTATAAGGTAATGCTACTTAATTACAGCGTACATGTAAGCTCTCACACAGACATGCACTGTTTGGAAAATCAACACAGTTTGGGAAAGAATTGTATCGTTCTTAAAGCAACAAACTAGTTTACAAGGTTAAATCCAGAAAAGCATCTAGTCTAGAGCAGGGGTTGGCAATCTTTTAGATGAAAGTCCACCTGGATATGATCTTAAAATTTAAAAGGCATATATATACGTATATACTGTATATATACAGTTTCTTGTAATTTGTCTATTTATTATAATAAATTACTGTTAGATACATTAATTTATTTACTCATGTATTGTTTGATTAAATATACTTATTTTAAACTCATTTTTTTTATTATTATTAATTTTTACATTTTTTTTTCCCTCAAAACTTTTCCATGACCCCCTAGACGGCCCCTGCGGACCCCAGTTTGAAAACTCTACTGTTGTAGAGCATCTTTCTTTTTCCTTCCCTTTCTTGTCTTGTTTTCTCTCTGTCTGGCTCTTTCTCATAAACAGTGGGTCATAATATGTTTTCCTGCTGCTGAGGTTGTTTATACTTTCATCTACCGCTTTCTGCTCAGATAATTGAAAAGGGATTGCAGATTTTCCCTCTTTTATTTCTTCATTTTTTTTCCTCAAGTCCCTCAATATTTCCTTCTCTCTATTTTACTTTCTCTCATCTGGTGTTTCCGGTGTCCAGACTTGTTTGTGTTACACGCTCGTTTGCACGGCTCCAGCTCCTCAACATCTGACAGCTGACTCCCACCGGGAGAGGGAGAGGGAGAGGGAGAGAGGAGAGGAGGCGGGAAGAATGTGAAAGGGAGGGAAAGAGAAAGAGTGAGAAAGCAAACGAGAGAACTTGTCAAAGGTGGGGAGGAGTGAACGAGAGCTGCCAAAGAGTGTGAAAGAGAGGGAAAACCACGGCCTGTGAAGTGGAAGACAGGGAGGAGTGCGAGAAGGAAGAGGAGGAGAGCGATTACAGGAGGAAGTGTTCTATAGGGGGAAGTCAGGGAAGCATTTCCCTCTTGTTTTTAAAGAGAGGGTCAGGGGGAGGGTGGAAGCACAGAGAAAGAGGCACCACTTCGGCTCTGTACAATCTCGGGCATGTTTGGAGAAGTGGGAAGGCTTCCTGGACTCGCTGAAGAACAGAAATGCTTTTGTAAGAAGCCTTGTATTGGAGTTGAATAGAGCTGTGTTAATGCTCAAATGTGTGTGCGCAACTGTGCATGAAGAAGCATCAAGCCGATAAATGGGATTTTAGGTGTCAAGGGTGGCCTGTGCATTGAAACTCACCCCTGCTGTATGTGTGTGTGTGTGTGTGTGTGTCCATAAGGGTGTTCTGGAGGGGCTTCAGACAGCTGAAGTTATGGAGGAGAAGCTGAAGGCGCAGCTCAATGAGCTGTGTGGGTTTTCCAGTGATCTGGGTCCGCAGACGGACAGAGTCAGTGCTCTCATCAAGCTACACAACAGGTGAGTGCTGGAGCACACATGCATGAGGTTAAATGGTCACCACCTGGTTTTGTTTAGCAGTCTATTCCCTGCAAGTTTGTTTAGCCGTTGTAGACATGTACTGTAGAAGGTGGATGTTTCTTACAGAGCTTCCTGTAAATATATAAGAAAATTATTTCAAATAATGTACATAATATCATAATTTATACAAATTAATAAAGTATAACTATTTATTTGTTTATATTTCATTAATATGGTGTAATATTTATTTAATTTAATGTGTTATGAGTACTGTGATGAATAAATAGAATAAATTAATACAAAAAAATTGCATTGTAATATTTAATTGTTTTGTTGGTTTGTACTTTCATACATGTTGTATTTAATTGATGGAATTCATTAACACATAAATTCAGTGCACTGAGCTGAATGAAGGGTTGTGATATATTGCACTTCATAGCGCTGCATCTAAAGTGAGCGTTTCAGCTGAGAGCACCTGTCATGACAGCAGGCTTTGCCTCGTTAGCATGCTTTTCAGGTATAGCAGCAAATAAAAAAATGCTTATCTTCTCTCCACTGTCCACTTTATCCTCGTCTGCATTCGTGTGTGTACCTGTGTGCTGTGCAGATATGCCACTGTATTCTTGTGTGTGCTGGTTCTGCTGCGTTTTCACTTTCTGATTTCCAAACTCTCCCTCTGAGAGAGCCTGTCATTGAAACAGATGTCTGCTCACCTTACGCTATCACCCCCCTATGTTCACACATTTTAACCCCCATCCCCCCTTTTTTTACCCTCTCTTTTTCTAATGCCTCTGTGCATCTTTCTCTCTAGTCTGAGCCTGCGAGCCTCCCGGGAATGTCAGAATAAGGAGAAACTGCTGGAACAACGCTTCCGTTCTTCTCTGCATGACTTCCGGCAGTGGATGGTCAATGCCAACATCTCCACCGCAAAATGCTTTGACTCCCCTCATAGCATCCAGGACGCCTCTGTCGCCCTCCAGCAGATCCAGGTGAGTGGAATGGTTGTGGACGGTACTCAATGTCAACGAGGGCTCATACTAAACAGCAAAATTCAGGATTCTTGGAACATAGCCATAGCCTGGCCACAGCAGGTTGTCTCTATCCCTGTCATGTAAGAGTAGCCAGGATTTGATAAAGTGATTGCCCATTCTCATGTCCCATGGGCCTGTTTATGGGGCCACCATTTAGCCAAGGATGTGCCATACTGGGCTATTTATGACTTCAATTAGCACTGTAGAAAACCTGTGAGAGCACAGGGAAAATGCACAGTATAGCTGTGATGAAAGAGACATGGCTTGATGTGGATGAAAATGTGCAATTTCTTTTTGTTCAAATATTTTGGCTTTCTATTTCTGGCTTTGAAATAATAGTGTAATTGCCAGTGGTTCTCAACTGCTCAGTTCTGACCCAAAAATGTGTCACAGGTCTATTCTGATTACCTTTTTTTTTTTTTTTAGTAAATTTAGTAGTTACGATACAAAATAAACAGGTTGTCAGCCTTTAAAAGGGAGTTCACCAAGCAATTCTGTCATTATTTACTTACCCTCAAGTTGTTCCAGACCTTAGTTTTTTTCTTCTGTTGAACATAAACTAGGTTATTATAAAGAATGTGGTTAATCAATCAAAACTTGTATATTGAATGTTTATAGTATCTTTTGTTATGGATATCAGAGACTTCTCATTCCATTGTGCCTGAAATTAATCTTTCACAGCTAGTCATATTAGGCAGATGCAAACATGGATAGGTTACATGACAGACTCGATTACTTTAAATACGCTCTCTTGAAAATGGTACACATGATTTGTGTTGACCACTGTGTGGAAATTTTAACTAGTGAGAGCATGAAACCATTAAAATTCAATTTTGTATGCTAATTTTGGCCTGTATTGTGTTGCCACTTGATGTCCAATGAAAAAATCTGGGTCTTGAAGCGAAACCAGTTCAGGCTCTGTTTAACATTTGTCACATGCATAAATTCATTCTTCAAAATACTGCAGATTTTACCCCACAATCAGCAGAGAACAAGGCAAAGATCAGCACAGATTCTGTGTAGGACTAGATGTTGCATAGCATATGTACAATAAAAAGGGAGAGATATGAAGAACAGGGTTACTAAGAACAGAAAGATGGTAAATAAAAAATGAGCAGCGTTGTTTCCATCAAATACATCTCAAATGTGGAACAATGTTTCCGCATGGCTTACTGCCCTGAACCACCAACACAGAGACAGACATGCTTTAGGTCATACATAATTGCATCTGTACCATTTGAGTGGAGAAATACGGCAAAAAGAGTGCACGTCTCACAGATGGTGGGAGATCCCTGCTGGGTGCCTGTCAATGTCTGGACGTGACTCATTGCACTTGCTGCCCTCTGCTCTGTGATAGTCCACTTGTGTCTGTGCGGCTGACGTCTTGCTCATTCTGCACCACAGGAGTTCATGAGTGACAAGGACCAGGGCCAGGCCAGGCTTAGTGCTGTCCTGACGTATGGAGAGCAGCTCAGTAGCGTGATGGCTGCCGATAGAGTGGAGGCCATCAGGACCAAAGCGAACGTAGCCAAAGATGACTGGAAGAGCCTGGTGGACAGCTTAAAGCGAAGAGAGATGGCCTTGCAGGTAGAGATGAGTGAATTCTTTTTTTTTTACTATGCATATTACTATTTTATATGATGTATTTAAAATTGTTTTAATATTCTGTTCACTTTACATAAAAAATACTACATCACTAGTGTTTAACACTGTATCCATCCATGTGTGACAAGCTTTTTTAAATAAAAACATCTTTGCACATTGCTATTTTATTTGTTTGTAATGTAACTTCGCTCAAATACGGGGAATGTATAATTAATAATTAATAATTCACTATTAATAACTGGTCATACGGGTTATAAGACAATATTAATAATAGATTGATTCTAAGGACAATTCCCCATGGAGGCATGCAAACAGGAAAGGAAAGCAAGGTTACATTCATTAAAATTACACTAAAATGAAAATAAAACACATGGGTATGTAGGAGTATATCGTATTCTTACCAGAATTAGTTAAATTATAGATTTCAATAAAGGAATGTCTGTTTGCGTGTGTGCGTTTTGGAGTGAGCTTTTCTTGGCCACCTGGCATTGCTCTGAGGAGATACTGATCTCTTTGAGGCTCGAACCCATGACTGTGTGTAAACATTTGCATGCCATAAAGGTGTTAATAGCAATTTTAACGCAGACCCGGTGGTGCCAGAAGAGAGAGTTACGGATAAGAGTCAAAGGGTTAAAAGCATTCTCACATGTAAAACTGAATGAGTCAAACTGGCACAGTCCAGGTACACTACATATTTATTGTTTTATTTATTTATATATATATACACATTATCCTGTTCCATCCATGTGTGCAAACTTTTCAAACAAACATATCTTTGCATATTACTGTTTTATTTTATTTTATCCTTTTCACTGTACATCAAAAATACAACATGGCTAGTGTTTAACACTGTGTTCTAACAAGCGTGAGACTGTCTCTACACATTTTTTTTTTTTAATAAGTAAAAACCACATACAGTCTGAGGTACATATGTGATGTGAATATGTGCTCTCAGGTCTTGCAGTCTCAGATGCAGGACTTTGAGGCAAGTGTGGAGCCTCTACAAGACTGGCTGAACAGGACTGAGATCAGTGTACAGGAGAGCAGCGCTCGCCTCCATGACCTACCTGCCAAGAGACTAGAGCTCTCCAAACTTCAGGTACACACTGTTAGTCTTATTGAATTCATAATTATTCATTAGAGCTAATGATTTCAATCACTACTGCTGAGATTCCATTCCTCACATGCTATACCTTGGAAATCCATGTAATGTAATTCATTGACAGGCGAACATTTGATTTATGATTAATAGATTATGCATTAAAAATTTGTACAGTATAAAAAGATTTTTTTTCTTCTTTTTATGTATTTTTAATATTACTAGCTAATTGAACATGTAATTAAATGATCAGATGAAATCAGCTAACTGTGTCAGTGTATTGTGCTGTACTTAAGCTCAATTAAATGAGTTAAACAGAAGTAGGATGTGCTGGAGATAATGAAATAAACCCTGTCTGTCAACGATGGTTCTGCTGAGTCGAGCTTTTAGCCACTTTTGAGGATTATGCTGAGAAGATGCAATTAATTTTTTCGCTCTACGAATGCACTCAAAGAACAAAACCTCAATATACAAACTCATAATAATATGAACGTAGAATAGAGGTTGAAAAGATAAACATTTCTATTTTTGCCTTATCACGAGATCTTTCATCTCTATTTTTGTATTGCTTGTTCGCCTGCTGGGTGCTTTTGTCTGCTCTGTTGGCAATTACATTTCCAACAGTGTATCTGTATAGTGTGTAGAGGTCCTCTGAGTGATTACCCATCCCCTCCCCTCCCATCTCCCCTTCCCCTGCTTTTACCCACTTTCCCTCTTAATCCCTTTATCCCCAGAGTGCACCCAACATGATAGACTCTATTATCATGAACTGTGTCTGCCTAACTGACAATTTCACAGTCTGTTTTTTTTTCCATCCAAAGAAAAGAAGCAAGAAATTAGCTTGTGGTGGTCTTTTGTGCCCTGGTGTATTAAGTACTGTATGTTTAGTAAAAGTTATTTTGGTGTTTGGAGAATGTGACCTGTCCACCTCATTAGATGTGTCCGAAAGCTCATGTTTGTTTTTAGGGTGGTCTTTCATTGCATGACCATTCATCTTTATTCTCCTGCTTGCCCCTCCTTGCCTTTTGACCCCTGGCGGCACCCCCTCAGACGTTGCTGGAGGAGATGAGCTCCAGAGAGTCTGAACTGGCAGGACTGAGAGGGCGAGCACATGGGCTTTGGGATGGTCAGGGTGCTGGGAAAAGCTTTGTGCATCGCGTCTGCCAGCTAGCTGCATGCTTCCTGGCCCTGAGCAACCTGATTAAGGTAAGTTCCTCTACCTGTCTGTTTACCCCATCATTCTTGTGCTTTCTGGTCCATTATTACGACTGATTGTGATTGATAATGAGCTCAATATCAATGGCCTGATTAGTTTCTTAAAGCTCTGCTCTAAAAAGGCAACAATGTCATTATTCAGCTTAAGCCAGTTCACTGTTGATTCAGTTAAAAGTGTAAAGATAATCAATTATGAAATAAGTTCAATTTAGATATAAAGCAGCTCTGGAGAAAAAAATCCAGCTCTGGTCTTCATCCAGCTCAGTTCAGTTCAGTTCAGTTCATTCGAATCAATAATATTACTGGCCCCAAGTAAGTAAGCCAAACTCCATCAGGTGACAGAATGGAGAGAAAAAAAGAAATGTATATATTTCTATTGATAAGCTTTGAATTTTGGAGAGGGAGTTGTGTGTTGCATTTGTACAAGTTTTGTCTCCTTTCTCTGAGTTTTGTTTGATTTATTGCTGATTTGATTTATTGTTTGATTTATTAAAAGCATGTTGTATACTGATTTATATAATGAGGGTTGTGTTGATTTTAAAATTCGGACCGACACTGATAATAATTTTCATGCTATGGCCAATGATTGATAAATGTCCAATATTCAAATTATATACTTTATCTAAATATATTAAAAATAAAACTACAATCAATATTTTTAAAAATGCTTCAAATGAATGTAGGCATCACAATATTTTAATCTACAGTATGAAAATGCTATATACATTTGCTAAATATTACATTTAACAGTGTTATTCAATTGTTAGTGTTTTTAAAGATGTGAGTATTAGATGACGACAAAGGTAATCTAAATGTAGAAACAGAAAGAAAATTAGCAGCACAATTAAATATCCAGCTAAGAAAATCTCTAATATTGACTGATAACCAATATTGCATCAATATATTGTGTATTCCTAAATGTACTTATCACCTATTATTTCTCTTGCCCGCCTCCTGCAGGAGAAAGTGTCAAGGGTAGAACGAGTGGTGGGGGAGCATCAGCTATTTTCACAGGGCCTTCAGGAACTTCAGAACTGGGTTTCGGAGTCCCAACAGGTCCTCAAGACCTGCAGATGCCCCACATCTGACAAGAATGTGCTTATATCCAGAATGAGCCAGCTCGAGGTACTTTGTCGTTTATATATATATTATAGGACAGTTTTGCAGATGTTGATATTTCTAAGGACAACCTTCTAAGGAATTATGGCTCATAATTTAGCATGGATGTTGTACATGTTTGGTGGGTAACAGTATTTCTGATTGATTCCAGGCTTTACTGACAGCTTGTCAGGGAAGAGAAATCCAACTGAAGATGCTCATCACCAGAGGGGAATCTGTCCAGAGGAACACATCAGCTGAGGGAGTACCAGTGGTTCGCAAGCAAATTCAGGACCTCAAAGACTCCTGGGAATCACTCTTATCAACATCCATACAGTGCAAAAGGTCCGAGAGCTTTCTCTCCACCAGTCTTTGTATATTTATCCTCTGTTATACCTCAAGTCAGTTCTTTTATACCTCAGGTATTTCATGAGGTATTTGCTCTTCAGATGTCTGTGTGGAAGTTGTAGATGTCTTGTTTATGTGTTGCATTTACAGCCAGCTGGAAGGTGCCTTGTCACACTGGACCAGTTACCAAGAGGACGTCAGTCAGTTTGAGTGCTGGATGCAGCATGTAGAAGAGAGCCTTGGAAACACAGACAAACACTATGCTGAAATGAGGGACAAGACAGCCAATCTGGGCCGTGCCAAGGCAAACTGATACTTTTCATAGGATTTATTTAGCTCAGAGAATTACATACTTAGGCTATATTACAATATACTATAATAAAATGTAATATTATATAATATAATATAATACTGGATTTATTCATTACGTAACAGTTGTATATTCTTGCAGTTAACAGAAATTGTAATCTCAAAGTATTAATTGCTTTGTTCTGTTACAGCTTCTCTATGAGGAAGTTCTTAGCCACTCTAGCCCTTTACAGACCATTGCTACCAAAGGTTCCAACATGACTGAACATACAGCCACTCAACAGGAGATCCAGAAACTCAGTGAGAGATATACAACCGTCAAAGATAAAGCCAAGGTATGAAAGTCAAACTGTAGACTAGTGAGTGAGAGAAATTGATTTTTTACAATAACATAAATCTTTTAAGACAAGAGCTCTGATGATATACGTTTATGTAGAAGCCATACAACAGTATGATTTCAGCTTTATTTTAAAAAAAAATGTTTTAAAAGCCAAATTCCCTGTGAAGTGCTACAACATCTATTACCCTTAAAAGATCTTTCAACAATCAGATAAGCTGTTGTTACCATGGAAACAGAGTCCAAAGAGCTCAGCAGTGACCTCCCACTCGAATTAAGCACATTAACTGTATATGTGAACTATATTATTGTCTCAATTTAGTCCAGATGATGATGATCAAGACAAGACCAAAATGGTTCCAGTGAACAAAAGGTTTATTAATTAAAACAAACTCGGGTAATCCACATTGAATGAGACAAAGTAACAGCCAATAAATTGCCAATACCCGACATTGAATTAAAAATAAGGAGGAGCTTAAATACACAATGATAACAAATTAAATGACAAACAGGTCTATTGATGGCATGAGTGTCAATAGTAGCAAATGGGTGGTGGGAAACTACAATAAAGGGAACAGGTAACTGTAGAGAAATAAACTAAAAGTTTACACAGAACGTGACAATTATATGAATCATAAATGAATATTTTCCAATAAATTAAACTTAAAATATAATTGTTTAAAATTGTACTCTTGTTGTTTCTTATTCACTGATATAATTCACAATATTCGTGGTCTCACTTTTCTTACTTAAATCTAAGTTTGTAACGTAATTGTGGATCTAGTTGGTGTGGTCTATTACTCAAAACCCTTTGAAATTCCAAAACAGGAAATTAATAGAAAAAATACATCCAGAAACCAACCTTCTTTTGGGTAACTTTCGAAATAATATACTCTACTGGTGTTTCAGGCTTCTGTCAGTAAGGCTGAAGAATTGGTTCTTCTCCATCAAGAGTATCAGCGAGGGCTGCACATGTTTGAAGACTGGCTAGAGCAAGAGCAGAGCAGTTTGGCTCTCCTCTCACCCCTAGATGAAGATGTAAATGCTCTGGAGAACACATTAAAAGAACTGCAGGTTATTATAATGTGATATTGTGATATTTTCTGAATTTAATATTATTGGCAAAAATATTCAGCACTACCTAATCTTTAACTTTCATTCTTTCTGTCTTACAACATTACCAGATGCTCCAGTCTCATTGCCCTAAGGGACATAACTTGCTCAGTTCAGTCCTTGCCAGTCGGGAAAGAGTCATACCTTGGGGTGCCCCTCAAATTGAGGATCGGGCCCTGGAAACAGCACAAACAGAGTGGCAGGGGTACCAAGATCGCCTCGGGGAGACCAAAGTCAGGTTGAGCAGGCCCTCACAAGAGTTCAGAAACTAGAAAGTTTATTCCAAAGCTTTGACCAGTGGCTGGTTGACATTGAGCTCAAAGTTAAGGTGAGAAACCACCGTCGATCTGATGTCAGTGCAAAGGAGGCCCAGCTACAACACCTGAAGGTACGTTGTATTATAAGTATGTCTGATGAATACAGAAACACTGCACTCTGGTTTCATGTACTCTACACAGTTGACATTTTCCTTTCATTCCCTCTTTTCAGCGGTGGCAGACTGAGGCTGCTCACCGTCAGGCCGAGGTGGAAGGTCTAAGTGCTCTTGCACAGAAAGTCGTAGAGAACGCTCATGTCAGTGGCCGGATCAGTACCAGGGTTACCCAACTCACTGCTCGCTATCATGCCTTGCTCCTACAGATACAGGCAAGTCACCCTTATATATTAACAATTCTTATATACTTGATGATTATTATGCAATAATGCAGCATCATGTGAAATCATGTGAAAAAGTCAATAGACAGACATGCAGTCTTATGATCTGGCCCCCAATTTTCCATGGATTGAATTTATTCCACTGGTTTACGCTGGGATCTTGTGTTTATTTCCACAAATCCTCTCCCAGTGTTATTCTTGTTAAACTAAAACTATTAAAACAATAAATAAAAATAATAATAATAATAAAAATGACAAACATTTATTAAATTAATAAAACAATCTAATTAAACAAAAGTAAAATGAAAACTGAAAATATAAGAATATAAGCTAATTCAAAATATGAATAAATACTCTAATAGTATATAAATATTACTAAAATAACAAATATATTAATCTGGGCATTTACAAACTATATTTTCTCCATTTTTCTTCCATTCTAATAATTAACCTAAAAATTATTGCAATTATTTATTATTATTATTAATAAACAGAAAGACAATAATACGATAATACTAGTAATTGAACCAAAATGAAAAATAAAGTCCACTAATAATAATAATAATAATAATAATTTATTTATGTATTCTTTTTAAAATTCAGTAATGGTAATTTTTTATTCAGTTAAATATAATTTTTTTTCATATTCGTTCTCTACAATTATGTTTGTTTTAGTAGAACCTGGCGTCATTGGCTCACTCACTTTGCTGTCAGAGCACACTGATGAGTCTAATCTCTCAGCCGTCAAAACATTGGAAGCTATCCAGCCTAGTAAACCAGCTCCTGTGACCCTCTGTGATGGCAAAAAAAACTGGAAAAATCAATGTCTCGCCCACATTGAGACCTTAGCTTGTAATTAAACAATATTGGATCCAATCTTGCCCATCAATCGGTGATGCTGCTTCTGTGGCAGGAACCGAATTGTTTTTAACACTTGCTGTAACACCTCTCCTTCCTGCCCACTTCTCTCTAACATGCACACACACCCTGGCTGCGACACTGAAGAGAGCGTGTAATTATTCTGTGAGAAACAACAGGCCACCACATGTACTGCAGTCAAGAGCTATTACATCTCTGCAGATAGGTGTGCGCGCAGCACAGCGCAAAGGCGTTAATTGGTGCCACGTGCAATGAGGGATCTGAATGTCAAGAGAAGAATGCGGCAAAATAGCTTAGCCTCAAGCCCCCAGCAGTGAATGCTAGCGAGTGTGCGGCATTAGATCAATCAAAACCCTTCATGCTGATGAATTGCAGAATTGCAAGCATTCTTGACAATGAGTCTTTTGATTCATCCTTCCGTCATTTAGGAGACCCTCAAACAGCTCCAGGAAGAGATGCAGAAAATCACAGAGGCTCAAAATGCCCTCAGGATCTTCTCTGATTGGCTAAGTGCAGCAAGGAAGAATTTTAAAATCATTACCGAAAGGACAGAAGCTCTCGATCGCATCACAATGGAAAAAAAGATGAAGAGGCTAGAGGTATGGCATGATGATGAAACACACACATTAGCATGTTCACAAATATATATATATACATACATTCTGCAAATTTAAACACTTAAAATTGAAGGAACAGATAAAACTGCCAACCCTTTTTATCCAGTGGTTTAACAGCTATTGATTTGGCCTGTTAAATTGCACAGACGCACACCACAGACTAGGACTCTCAGTGGGCCTGGCACAGTTTTGCACTCATATTTGAGATCACAAGAGTCAATCTTTGTGTATTTGTGTGCACATGTACAAGTCTCTTTGTCATCTTAAGGATATGATCAATATGTCTACTACACAAAGCAAAAGAAAGCTTTAGTGCGATCGCACCCTACGTGCAAGCGCCGCGCACACACACACACACACACACACACACACACACAGCCACTTCACACACTCCCCCCACTGTGATAGCTGAGATGAAGGAGCGGCCTGTCTGTGGAACCTGCTGGCACAGACTGTGTAATTGATGCAATGCCCTTGCAGCTTCAACATCACATAAAACTCTCTTCCTTCTCACACATGTATACATATCTACAGTATACAACTCATTTGGTTTGTTTAATCAACGTTGAGATCAATGGTGACACTAATAGAAAATTGGCATGGAGAACCTGTCTGTGTTGTGTACTTTGTACACCCACTCCATTAAACGACAGCAGTATTAGGCGCATGTATTTGTGAATTAATAAACAGCCAATTAAGTGTGTGCTTCTCTGGCCAGATCATATTTCTTGGCCCAATTATCCTTTCATCCTACATCTCTCTGCATCACTAGCTTCTCATTTCCTTATTTGTGTGAGGAGATCATCATTAAAACACTGGGGCTTCTTTGCCTGTCAGTACCGCAGCAGTAGCTCCAGATCCTGCTGGACAGCCAGGGGTCTTTTTAGAGACAACAGGCTGATATCATATAGAGAAGCTTCCCGCTTAAAGGTAAAGGAGTAGGAGGGGTTGAGTGCAGTCGTTGCCTGGGAAACCCCGCTGCGGCAGACCCATTTAAGGTCTGCGTAATTGGGTCTTCCTCTCATATCTCTGTCCGGGGCCTCACCGGGTCTCCACACACAGGTGTCAGGAGCCCAACAGGCTTCAAAGTACCCATCAGAAAAGTCCACTTCAGAGGAGCGCTGAAGCTCTACATGAGTACAGGGATCAGAAGCTGTCAGGAACAGGAAATACTGTACATGTCTTGGTTGCACACTGGGAAGGCATAAACATCTTTCCTGTGGCTCATTAAATTATTGATTTTTGTTTGTTATTGTCGTTCTTTTTGTATCCTTTCATTTGTTGTTTAAAAGATTCTCTCACCCCGCAGTCTCTACAGGGGGAGATGGATCAAGGTCACAGCTTGCTTAAAACACTTCGAGAGACAACAGAGCAGGCCGTTTCCTTCTTGGATGACCCTGGAGCATCCAGGCTAGAGAGGGAAGTGCAAACGGGGCGATCACAGCTCGAAGAGCTTATTCTGGGGCTACGGGAGGAGCATGCAAACCTGGAAAGGAGCATTGTGCTCTATAAAGATTTCCAAGAGCGCTACAAGGGCCAAATGCAGTGGCTTAGGGAGACCCGAGCTCTGCTCAGCTCGACTGTTGAACCTAAAGCAGAACTGTACCAGAGAAAAGCCCAGCTGGCCAAGTACAAGGTGGGTGAATTGTTTTACAGTCTTCAACCTAAATGAAATGTGTAGTTGTGACTAGCTCCATCAACTAAGTGACATTTTTGTATCTTTTTCAAAATCTACCAGCAGCATTGTCAATGAATAATGCAGTCAGTTTTTTATTTATACTTTTTCATATTATATAAATATATATATTAACACATTTGATTGAAAATACAGTTAAACAGTAATATTGTGAAATATTATTACAATTTAAAATAAATATTTTCTATTTCAATATACTTTAAAATGTAATTTATTCCTGTGATGGCAAAGCTGAATTTTCAGTATCATTACTCCAGTCTTCAGTGCCACTTGATCCTGCAGAAATTTTTCTAATATGGTGATTTGTGCTCAGGAAACATTTACTATCAGTATCAATGTTGAAAACTGTTGTGCCACCTTTTTTTCACATATTTTTTTCATTCATTGTTTGATAAATAGAAAGTTCAAAAGAAAAACATTTATTTGAAATAGAAATCTTTTGTTACTATGCAAAAGTCTGTTTTAATCGTGTACTTGCTGAATAAAAGTATTAAAATCAGACCCCTCAGACTGTGCAGTGTATATCTCTGTATCTCTATTCAATGTTCTTTTGTGTCCAGGCTGTGGAGCTTTTATTGGTATCCCGTGATTCTGCCGTGAGCTTTGTGCTAGAGAAAGGAGAAAGTCTCCTGACCCTCCTTCACTCCCCTTCCATCACAGACAACATGACCAGATTACAGGCAGACTACAAGGAGCTGTGTGGCTCAGCAAGGGTGAGCTTATAATGACTACAAAATACTACAATCATTTAAATGCAACATAACATGAAAATGCAATGATTTCAGGGCATCATGACCTGCCACATTTACATATCAATGCTTGTTTTCAGCAATTCGGAAGGATAACAGTCATATATATATATATATATATATATATATATACTCTGGACACCATTTACTACACACAATAGGCTTTTTTTCTCTGATTTCAAAAACTCTTCACGATCTTAAAATGCTTCCAAGATTGACTTGTCGACCGCGATCGACGGTATAGTGATTCCTGTTACATACTGTTTTACGGTCAATGACAAGAGTACTAATCAGCTTTTTCACGAATGTAACCAGCACATTTAACCCCACATAGCAAAGACACAACACATCGATGTAGAAGAACTAAGTTACACAAAATAGTCCAACTACATTTTTTACACCACTGACAAGGAAAAAGTAGTGACGCTCTCTGTAGCGCTGTTTGTTCGCTGTTGGCTATAGTAGAAACATGATGTCACAATATGTTGACCTTTATAGAACGGGCTGCCCGCGGTTATGTAGATATAAATGTCTCATTCTAAGGTAATAAAAACATTACGGTTTATTAAGTAAGTTCTTTATACACTACTGAAAACATAGTTATGGGTGTCATTGCATTTCTGTTAATAGATACTCAAAATTTTTACACATTGCACCTTAAATAATTTGAATATGTTTGGAGGCTTTAATGTGCTATTTTCTCAAAAATTGCATCCATTAACCCTGCAATCAGTGCCATGAATACTCACTTTCAAATAATTCATCTCATGCTTGCAGCTGTCAGAAGCTCTTTATTGTGCAAGAGGGTTTCCAGCTGTGTGTTTATTTAGGTGCTTTAATTTGAGTGCTTAAAAATGTCTTGATAATTTATGTGATTTAAATATATTTCCTTAGACCCATGTTCACAGATTGGAGGGCCAGGTGAAGAAACAGGAAGCTTACCACAAAGATCTACAGGAAATTGAGCGTTGGCTGTTACAGATGTCCAGCAGGATGGTGACTCCCGACCCGTCATCAAGCGGTGGCCTGGAAGCTGCCACTCAGCAGCTAGCCAGACACAAGGTGACAAATCATAAAGCTTCACAGAAAAGCAAAACCCCTTAAACATCCAATAAGACATACGTTGTTTACACGCATTGAAAATCATAACGTCAAGAGTTTCCAAGTATATTTAAAGGGATACTCCACTTTTTTTGGAAATAGGCTCATTTTACAACTCCCTTAGAGTTAAACAGTTGGGTTTTACCGTTTTCGAATCCATTCAGCTGATTTTCTGATATTTAGAAGAATATCAGTAACCAGACAGTTTCTGGTCTCATTGACTTCCATAGTATATCCTACTATGGAAGTCAATGAGACCAAAAACTGTCTGGTTACTGATATTCTTCTAAATATCAGAAAATCGACTGAATGGATTTGAAAATTTTAAACTCAAACGTTTAACTCTGAGGGACTTGTAAAATGAGCCTATTTCCAAAAAAAGTGGAGAATCCCTTTAATGCTACTACTATCTTTTTTGTTAAATTTATGTGTCATCTTAGGCTATTATGGAGGAGATAGCAGGTTTTGAGGAGCGTTTGTCTACACTAAAGGAAAAGGGAGAAGAGCTGTTGTCCGGCTGCAGTGAGCGCCTCCAGGCACGGCTTCGCCAGCAAATTCAGAACCACCAGCAGGGAGCAAGAGACAGCTACTCTGCCATCTGCAGCACTGCCCAGCGTGTGAGTTTACTTGGCCACACAAAAGTACAAGACCAGCGTTGTGCCGATGTTTACTGTGCATTGAGTCTTATACCATTATATAAAGACCCACAGTTTATATTGGTTGGAGTATATTTATGTGTCTTTTAGTGATGACCACTACACTGATGCAACGGTATTGGCCTGTAAATGTGCCTGCAAACTGCAAATCAACTAGTTGTTTAAAAGCAGCCGATTATGTCTCGTCAATGACAAAAAGTCAAAATGGAGTGGAAAAGACTGTTTAAGAACTGAAATGAATTGAAAATTAATTTAAGAAGAAATGACAGCAGAGTTACATTGTTTATTTAAATGTTAAACAAACTCTGCAAACAGCATAAACATTATTTACAAACAAATAATATATATATAGTTAGAAATTTCTGCCATTTTTGCAATGATTTCCATTCATTGTGGTAGTGCCGCTGTGTGTTGTCACTCTGCTCTCGTCAAAATATTGTTCAAGCAGCTTGCTCAAGAGTGGCAACTTTTTTCCAGAACCTCTTGATTATTTTAATCCACCCTGCCTGGCTTCCTAGTTGCACAGGACCAACTAAAGTGCTGACAAAATTCTCCTTTCAGTGCACTTGTCTTTTAAATCAGATTAAACAACCCTTACCAGGCAGTCAATAAACCTGATGTCTGGCAAAAAATCTGCTTGCCATTTTGACTTCTGCATGCCAGTGTCATTACAAGTAGACACATCAGGAGGCACCAAGTAATCATTTCTCCATGAAAGCATATCATTAAAGCCCACGGCAATGAAAGTGAGCACATACCCCTTTGCAAATCACCATTTCCCCCCTACTCCAGCTCTTGCAGTATCCCACCAAAAGCTGCCACCTGCTTTCCTCTAAGAACCCTAATCACACACACCCCTAATATGGCAACCACTCTCAGTGCCATCTGACACATTGCCTGCTCAGTCACTCTCTGAGCAAACCACCCAGTCTATTAATACCTCGGCCCTTTCCCCGTGCCAGTTTTATTTAGCCCATCAAGTCCAATTCCGTCAAAACAAGCCGAGGCATTGATAAAACCCTTCCCTTCTGGTTGGCTAGCTTTTACCCTGTACCATTTTGTGCCAACCTTGCCAGAACAATACCATCTGGTAAATCCTGCCACCTGGCAATCTGGTCAATGAGTCCCATAGTCTGCTTGCACTCTGCCAACTCCTGTCGTCTGCCAAAGCAAGCCTGTCGTTGCTTGCCCCCCGCAAGGACTTGTGAATTAAGAATGTCAATCAGCGTCAGCTTTTCTGCTCATGGAATTAGGGATGCCAGAGCATTCAACACCTGTCAAATGGACTTTACTTTACGTTGACCCGATTTAGCATGGTTAACTGTATGCCCCACCCATGTCAGTATTCGTTTTACTCCTCAAATATGTCAGTGTCATGCTGTTCCTGTTTTATGCAGTTAAGGATTGCTTTAAAAACCCTTTGTTGTCCATAATTTAAATGTTTTTTTTTTGAATTGTCTCAGTTTTACATAATTACTTTTGGTCACTAGATACAGTGTGGTTATTTTAAAGCAAAACTCTTCTGTCTGTTTGTGCAGGTCTATCAGAGTCTGGACCGCGAACTTCAGAAGCACGTAAGTCTGCGGGATACGTTGCAACAGTGTCAGAAATGGGTTTCAAATGTACAAGAGGAGATACAGCTTCCTGCACATGCACCACACTGCCTACAGGAGGCGCTAGCACAGGTATAGGTTTTTATGTTTCTTTGTGTATCTACAGCTTTTGCAATCAGAAAGCCTGCGTCTATGTATAATCAAATCTACCTTATTTGTTTTTATTTGGGGGGTCTCTTAAATGTATCATTAGATGAAGCAGGATCGAACTCTGCAGGAGCAGGCTAGTACCTATTTGCAGCTGGTGTGCTCTACCTGTGATCTTTCTGATGAAAAAGTACGAGAGACGGCTGCTGAAATACAGCAGGTCAAACTTCAGGTGAGTAACTCGTATAAATACATTAACGTTTCTAATGTTCTAACTTCAGATTTGAGTTTTTTCTTCTACTATGGCCACTTTTATGTACAGAACCCTTAAAGGGATATGTTGATAGGAGAATATTAAAAATATTAAAATCCATCATAAACATTGGATTTGGTCAGAAAATATTTAGAGATGTTTTCTGCCTAACACAGATTGAGGAGAGGATGCTGGAATCTCAAGAACTAACAGAAAACTGGAGAGAGATCAAGGACTTACGTTCCAACCTTGAATGTCATCTTCTTGAGGCTGAACAACTCCTCCAGAGCATGTTGAGGAGGCCAGCTGAGCTCGAGCCAAAGGTTGCTCAGAACCAGCTGGACCAGGCTCAGGTAAGTGACAGCTTTGTTTCCAGATGAAATAATCCATTTGAAGACCGCAAAATGATTACCCATTTTTATGAAACAAGGGTTATATGAGATTGTACTGAAACACTACTGCAAATTTAATATTACTTTTTTTTACCTATGCACAAGTTTTGTACGATATCTATCAGTTAATCAGATACAGTCTATTATGTATTGCTGAAAGCTCTGGTGATCTTTGGCCTCTGTTACATTTCCTGGCAGAAAGCTTCATTCATTAATAAAGATTTCTCCCCAGATTACTCGTCTGAGTGTAATTATGGATGTGTGAATTGATTTGTCAGTGCCTGTAATAACAGCGTCCAGGCAGACCCCTTCATTGTGTATGAAAAATAGCACATATTACCATCTCTGGATGTGCTGAGAATTGTCAACAATAGATTGAATGAAAACCCCAATTACCTCAAAGCTCACTCTCTGCCAGTGACAGAGGGCGTCATCCAGAGCTGTCCATTTGGTAGGATATCAAATAAAGACAGGCAGCATTTATTAATAACACCCCATCTTTCATTTCACAAAGGACTTTATCCAGGAGATGCGTGCCAGGCAGGTTGAGCTGACCCAGCTGAGAGAAAGCATTAATAGGCTAACGGCTGGTCAGGAGTCCCCCGAGCTCATGGAAGTTGGGCGCCTGCGCTGTGCTTGGCTGGATCTGGGCAGACAAGCTGCACAGCTGCTGGAACAGAAAGAGGAGGATCTGCAGAGAAGTGGAGACTATCATGACTGCATTTGTATGGTGGAGGAGTTGTTTGACCAGCTGTCCAAGAAATGGGATCAATTGGCCAGGCATGCAACATTCCCTTTCAGATATGGCACAACATACTCATGTTTGATAGTTACCATGTGTTGTTCTTAAGACAAAAACACTTCTTCTTTGTTCACAAAAATACTGATTCTTTTCCAGGGGAGATATTGAGAGCACAGCTGAGTGTCTGGATGCCTTAAAGAAGTTGTCCACAGACTTGCAGGACCAGAGATGTGTGCTCGATGACCTGAGAAATAATAGGCACGGAATCCTGCCTCGTCTGAGCTTAGAAGACAGAGACCTGGTTAAAGAGCAGGTTGGTTACCTTGAGCAACGTTGGACCCAGGTGGAGTCGCTTGTCCAGAAGAAAATTCAAGATTCAGCCCAAACACTGGAAGAATTGAGTCAAATTGAGGACCATTTGCGGGAGGCACAAGAATGGGCTGAGTTGCAGCAACCATCCCTCTCTGAGGTTCTTAAGACCAGTCCCCCTCCAGATTTGGCCCAAAGCTTTCTGTTTGATCACTTGAGCTTTTGTGCAGAACTGGAGGCCAAGCAAAAGCTTCTGGCAGAGGTTGTGACAGATGCTAACAGCCTTTCTTTTCGCCTAGGACTTAACGAAAGGAGGAAACTCCAGACTTTCGTTCAGGAAGCACAGGCAGAAGTAGAATTACTTGGAACTAAGGCAGCTCAATATCGTAAAAGCCTCAGTAAAGTGTTTACAGAACGAACACAGTTCCTACAAGCCCTCGACAGGGCAGCTGAATGGATCCGGAAGCAAGAGCAGAGGGCTCTTGCAGATGATCATGTGGCGCTCCTACCAAATGTTCTGCACAAGCAGGTGTCAACTTGTAAGAATTTTACCAGCAGTCTAAGAGCATATCAGGTGGAGCTCACGTCACTTTGGACACAGGGACGAGATTTAGTAAAGGATGCAACCGAGGAGGAAAAGAAGGTGACCCTTCAGAAGCTGGAGGAGTTGCAAGTCACCTTCGAAGCGTCCTTGCAAAAGAGCATGGAGCATCTGCAGAATCTAGAGAAAGCACTAGTCATTCGGAAGTACTTTAAAGTAGACCTTGATAGGATCTCTGAGTGGCTAAAACAAGCAGAAGTAGCTACATTTCCAATTATTGACCTGAGCGGGAATGACGAAGACCTTCAGAACCAGTTGACCGAATACCAACAGCTTCTTGATCATGCTTCAGAGTATGAAAATCTTTTGCTTATTGTCCAAAGGGCAGGACAGGAGATTCTTCCCACCTTAAATGAGGTTGACCACTGCTACCTAGATGAGAAACTCAATGGCCTTCCACAACAGTACAATGACATGCTGTTGTTGATTAGAGAGAAACGCGACAGGATCCAACAAGTGCTTTTGGAGCGCAGGGAGTTTGAGTCCCTCGTTGATGTCACACGAAAAGCTTTGCTGGAACTTCAGGAGAAATGTGACAGTTTAGAGATATCAGCCAACCAAAGTCTAGAAGAGGGAGAAAGATTGCACAACAATTATGAAGTTCTCCTGAAAGGTCTTGCAAATCTCTTTCAGGGAATGAAAGATCTCAGAGGTAAAACTCAGGATTTCCATAGCATGGGTCAGCCATATGCTCCCGAAGTCACTGACCAGTTAGTTTATCTCCACAGCAGTCTTAACCAGCAGATAGAGTGTAGGATGAAAGATTTACAGAAAACGTTGAAGATATTAAATGACCACCAAGCAGTTATCGAGAAAATGGACTATAGCATCACTAGATTAAAGGAACAGCTTGACAAACTTGACTCAGATGAGGAGGTAGATGTCACAGAGAGATTATCTACTCTATACAACCTTTCAAAATGTCTTGAAGTGGTTAGTTCCTATCCAGAGGGTCTCAAAGCACAAACCGATGACCTCAATCAGCACTTTGATTTAGAGACCCTTAAGACTCAGGTAATCTTTAGGGAGGAGCAACTTCTTTCTTTAAAGCAAAGGATTAATGCACACATAGAAGAATGTGAGAGAGGTTTTTTAGGAAAAAAGGATCATCAAAGTGATATTAAAGTATCAATAGACTGGCTCAAGAGTCTTTGGGATCAATTGAGATGTCCATTAATATTTAAAGAAGCAAAAATTGAGATTGTGCAGGAGGAGGTCAGATCACTGTCAGCACTTCAAGAAGAAATGAAATCTAGGTTTAGATTATTAGAAGGTCTAACTAATGAAGAGAAAGAGACGTGCATCAGTGACCAAAAGCCATTTCCGACACTCTTTGAAACCAATTTGATGGATATTCCAAAGCTGAAGGATGATCTTCAACAAGCTTTTAGCACTAAACAGGTACGATTATATTAATTCGTGACAGTTAGCCTGTGTTTTCTGACTTTGTTAGGTGAGCTAAATGTTTCCTTTAACTGTTTACCCTTAGGTGGCCTTGCAGTCTGTTCTGTCCCTGCTCCAGAGATACCACCACTTCTTTCAATCCATCCAGCAGTGGTTTGAGGAAGCTGGTTCTCTACTTGAGCAGGCCCCACATGATGTAGACCTGGAGAAAATTTCAGACTGTCTCAAGGACTTAGAAAATATAACAGGCCGGGAACAAACTGTCAAGTGTACGAGGCAAGAAATGCAAGATCTAATCCCTCAAATGGCTGACTTTTTGAGCCCTACTGTATTTAAGCAAATCCAGCAGCATTGTGTGGAGTCTCATCACAAGGGCACAGAGGTCTTTGAGGAGCTAAAACAACGAAGAGACAACTTGGAACGGTAATTCTAATGAGGTTTTGGCATCTAAATACTTTTAAATATTGCACACAAGACCCAAACTTGCATTGCCTTGTTCATATTAACAATATGATGATTAATAACAAGCATTGAAGTTTATACTTTTTTTTACAACTGGATTTGAAATCACACACATTCACTTGATTTGTTTGTTAGAAGCATAACTCAGTGGAGATCCTTCCAAGATGAAACAGATAAAGTTATCAGGCAGATGAATGAAGTTGAGAAGAAGATGACTGAGTTTACAACTGCCAGAGCAAACTCTGAGCAAGAAGCTGAAGACAAGCTTTCTTTATACCAGGTCGTGACTATGCATTTCTTTCCTTGCCTAACTCCTTAAACATTGACTTTGATATGAGTGTTATAGTTATTCTAAATATCTCCTATTGCTTCCAATTCTGTCTACAGAGAATTATGTTACAAGTTCAGGCTCTTGAAGACACACTCAATGAACTGAAAGAAAAAGCAGCACAGTTTGATCAGCCTGCAATAAAAGACACTACTTCTCAGTCTGTCCATTCACTGAGCCAACGGTGTACTCGGTTGTACAGTGTTGCTAGAGCTCAGGCGAAAGCCCTTCAAGACTCTGCAGATAACTGGAGATGCACCAGGGAGAAGGTAAGGAAACTTCATGAGTAGATTCTCACTAAGATTCTCTTTAAATTTAGAGAATGTAATAAAACTCATGCAAATCAGATACAAAAAAACCCATAAAAGAATAGTTAGGTGCCCAAATATTTTTTAACTAAATAAACAAACATTATTTCCTATTAACTGTGGAGAAATTCTAACCAATGATGCCATATGCATGAGTTATGATGAAGTAGAAGCAGTTATTCTGTTGTAGATCTGAGATCAGACCAGAGCATCAGATGCCGACAGTGGCCTGGGAATGATGTAATGCTTGGCAATGATAGTCCATACAAAAATAGCCCAACATGGAAGTTGGCAACTCATTTCTCCCATAATTCTCTGCTGGAATCACAGCAATGTTAGCAGTACCTTGTCTTGTTTATTTTTGGCAGCGCACACTAATTCTGCATTGTTTCTTTGTGACCTAAGCCTGTTTCATTGTTCCGCTGAGGATAAGACATCACTCAGTAAGAAAGAGTCATAGTTTTTGCAGAACTTTGTTGCACAGAGAGAGGGGAGCTAAAAACCACAAAGAGCTGTTTTCATCTGTTTCATGACTAATTCATTATTTAGAGTTCTTTGATGTCCTGATTGCTTCAACTGTAAATGCAGTTGCTGATGTTTTAACCTGCTTCTGCAATGCAATACAATACAAATATATATTTTTTGAGATTCAGTTAAAAGTGAAACAGTCATTAAGAATTAATGGAGTGTAATTTATCCCCAATTTTACATTTATTAAATGAAAGAAGGAGTTAACCCATCTGGAGTTGGCTAACGCGCCGCCGCGATGGGCTCACATTTTTTCTTATCAGTGCAAAAATACTCAAAATACACAGTATAGTAGCTTATGGGATGTTTTGTCAAAAAATAAAGTAGGTATATTGAAGTATCAAATAAGATGTTGTTAAAGTATTTGTTCCAATATTTAAACTAATGAATCCTTACCGTTGAAATAAGTATGATAAAATATATACTTTTTACAAAGAAAGATTACACTTAAAATATTAGTAAAATTGCAATGGTTGTTGTAACTGTAACTTTTTAGGGTTTTATTAGTGACAATTTTGGGGAGAGGATACATATTCCAAAACTTTCTGAAAATACAGGATGAGAATCAATAACAAGAAATGTTTACCTTATATTATACAATTTGCTTGCATAAAAAATTTGTGGAAAAAGACCAACTCTAACTTTGAACCAATTCTATAGAATTATATGTATCTCACAATAAAATGAAGGCTATAGTATGATAGTAGCACTTATTAAAAGGACACAGGAGTAAAATTTGTTGAAGTAACCCATCCCGCATCTCTCTCTGATTAGCTGGAGAAAATGCGAGCTGTCTGTGAGGACCTGCACAGTCGCGTTCCTGACAGCATGGTGGAAAAAGCCTCCAGTATGGCAGCCCTACATAGTCTTCTGGAGTACCACGACTCCTTCAGTCGAGAGGTGGAGAGAGAGAGCAGCTCCCTGACCCTCATCAGACACCACGTGCTCAACCTGTTTCTCCATCCTCACGTCACTGCACCCTCCACACCCAGCAAACACCAAAACCAAGAGAACCCTTGTCTGCTGGAGATTCAGAGCATTCAGGAGAAATATGACAAGTATGTCTGTCTATCTATCTATTTGTCCATCTGTCCGTCTGTCCATGAAATTGTTGCTATGTTTAGGTTACCTTTTCAGATCTCTGTCATTTTATCATTCTGTCTGTGCTTGAAAGTAGATATAAAATCCAATTGTTTAGATTTGAATTGACAGAGCAGAGACAAGACTATTCCAGTTCCATGTCATGAAAACCATTCCAGTCATTTTTGAAAAATTTCCAACCCTACTTTTCTGTCATTTGCTTTTACATCTTCAGCCATTTGCATAATATGTATTTGCTGTTTCCTTTTTCTCCTTCAGTCTGTTGCAGCAGGTGTGCGCTAGCCGGCAGCAGGTGCAGGTGGAGCTGCTGGAGAGAGAGGAAGTGGTGAGGGAGTTGGGTCTGCTGAAAGGCTGGATTCAGGACACCCAGGGACTGCTGCTGAGTCCCACTGCAGACCTGGATAACCTGCTCACTGACCTGGAGGTACTGCAGAACACCACTCTCTACAGTGGAGAGATGCATTCTTAAATCCTACAACCCGATTTACTTTACTCATGATAAGTATGGTTTGTTTTTATGGTTTTTGCTAGACGGCTCATGGTGGCATGCAGTCTCATCGCCAGAGCCTTGAGCTGATTGCAGATCGTCAGCAGATGAAATATCAGGACCTCCACGTCACTCTTCCTTCTGAGATCAGCACCCAGCTGGCAGAGATCACACTGGCTCTGGGTTCTGCAGAAGATCAGGTACCTTAATTCAAAATTCAAAAATACAGGTACCAAACTAATTCTGGTGAGGAATTAATGTAAACTCAGTTTGTAAATGTAATCAGGAATTGTGTCAAAATATAAGCTCTGTGCGTTAGACTTATGCAGCCTAATTGACCAACAAAAAAAACAGTAAATGGTATTGATTTTGACTACTGAAAGTTTAAGCAATATCTCTTTATCACTTATCTATTTTTTTTTCTGTTGTGCTCAGGTGCAGGCACGGGAAAGAGAGATCCAGCATAGCAGAGATACTAAAGAAGACTTTAACTCCAGGCTTCAGGATATCTCAAAGAAAGTTAAACTCATCTCTTTGAAACTCAAGCAGAAGGCCATGGATGTTGAGGAGGCTAAAGAGGAGACAGAGGTACAGCATGAATACAGAACTGCATTGGAAGCTGTGGTACAGACTTGCCCTAATTAGTGAAGTGCACACTATAAATAATGACATGCGTGTACTCCAAAATAACTTCCTCGCAACCTGATTTCTAAATATATCAGAGTGAGTGTAGTTTACAAGGCATTTTAGTAGTAATTTTATATTTTCAGTATTGATTTTAGTTTAAGTTTTAGTAATTTTAGTTGTTAAGTTTTCATCTAATATTTGTACTTTCTTTTAATTGAGTTTATTTCAATTTCTAAAATATATATATATATTTTTTTTTATTTTTAGTTAACAACAACACCACTGCAACAAGGCGGCCTGTCATTTCTTACAACACTTTTTATCATTGCATATTAACTTTAAACAGTGTGTTTTTTTTATCCTGCCATTTGTTTGTATTGTTTTTTTCTCTCTTAATCCAGACTCTATTTGAGGAACTAGAGGAGTGTGGCCGTGCTCTGTCTGAGTTAGATGTGGCAGTGCAGGAGTTTGGAGAGCAGAACCCTCTCCTAGCTAAACAGCTAGGCTCCAGCCTGAGTAAACTGACTGAGCTTCATGCTCAGACCAGCAGACTGGCGGAGGGAAGGACCACATGCCTTCAGAAGGTCAGCTTTGCAGAAAAACCTTTTTGGAAACAGTCATTCTGTTTGTTGATGCTAGTGGCACAGAAATTACACACTTCATCTTTAAATGTGAAATCTTTTTTTCTATAAAGTGTGTTCAACGAATCGGCCCTTTTCTCTGTTTTAGGCGGAGAAGAACTTTGAAGAATTTAATGAAATGCTTACGCTAACGCTCAACTGGACAGAAAAAGCAGAGACGGTTGTCTCAGCCGACATGATGTGGAGTCCAGCCTCTCAGATGCAGGAGCAAATTAGAACCCATCAGGTTTTGACGCCCGCTTTATTCAGATCACATTTTCTCAGGATTTTCAGTAACTGTTGGGGCAGAAATCTAATGATATTTTGTGATATATCTCAATCAGGCCTTATTACAACAGTGGCAAGACCTCCAAGGAGAGTTTGAGGGTCTGGTGGAGAAGGTGGGTCTGCTGGATGAGGTGGTCCAGACAGATGCTCTCCACCAGCAGGTGGCGGATCTGAGCAGACATGCTGAAGAGTTGCAGCAGAGAGCCAAAACACGACTCCTGACACTACAGGATGCAGCCAAGGTAATTCACAACAATATGTCACACACACTACTACATAAAAATTAATAAAGAAAGAGAACTTTGCAATGGTCAGTGCATGTGGCCATTTGGGTTTGTAGTGTGCTGTGACGTGTCATGCTGAATGGAGTTATAGTCAAGTCTCAGTGTCTTGTATTCAGCTGTAAATAACACTAGTATTTATAATTCGTTTTAAATCCATTTTATTTTAATGTAATTTTGTTAAAAACACTGCAATATCCCTATTCTAGTTTACTTCAAACTTGAAGTCTGCGGTAAATTTAGAAAGGCATTGCCATCTAGTGGCAAAATAGATAAGTAGTATAATTCCTCATCATTCTGTATCTTCTTTGATAGACTGAATTAGTCTGTTTATTAAATTGGTGTATGCTATTCCTTACCACAGAGAATTACATTAACAAATTAAAAAACAAAAACAAACACTGACATCAATCCTGCATTTATACAATCATAAAAAATATGAATGAAGAGATGTATCCTTAGGTTAATAAAAAATATTACAAATGAGCAAATTTAAGTGGTGTATTCTTCACAGAATTCAGTAGAGGATCCCAGTTTTATCAAATGTGTCAGTGGAACGTTAAAAAAATAAATAACATATATATATATATATATATATGAAGTTCAGATGCAAAAGCCTCTAAGTGCCATTCTTTCATTTCCTTTCTCTGTTATTTTTTTCTGTCATTCTCAGTTTCAATAGTGGGATTATCTGTTTCATTTCATTCTGCCCAGTGGCAGCCTGGGAAAGTGTTTTGAATCCTATTTAAAAAGGGTAATTCTTTTTGCAGTCCAGTTTCATGCAACATGAAATGACAAACTTTAGCATGAAATCAACTATTTCTACAGTGTTAACAAGGATAGATGGATGTAATTCTTGCTAAATAATAAATGAAATATTAAAAAATATTACAGATATTTGTCTCTGTAAAGCAACATGTTCAATTGGGATGAACATAATGATCCTACTGTGTGTCTTTCTCTGTGTAGGACCTGGGAAGACTGGAGAGTGATGTGAAGAGCCTCCATCTGTCCATAGAGAGAGTCCAGGAGACTCTGGCCTCCCCTGATCTGGCTCGCCTCAGCCTCAGAGAACAGCTAGCTCAGAGACAGGTACACCGATCACTCTTACTAACTTCTACTAACACATTTTTTTCCATTCCTCTGATTTATCTTTTGTATATGTTATGTACAAATTATATAATATGTTTCCTAAGTAAAAAAGGTTAGAAATTAAATAATACAAAAATAATAATTAAGAAAGACATTCTGATTTTATCACTGGTACCATCAAACTAATGATGACTATTGTATTGCTCAGCTCCTGTTGTCAGAGATGGAGGGTCTCAAGCAGCAGGTGCAGGCTATGCAGATGTGTCAGAGCGCCCTCCGGCTGCCAGAGGATGTAATGGCTGCATTACCGTTATGTGTTACTGCACAGAGTCTTCAGCATGAAAGCAGTCATCTCCAACACAATACCATTCAACAGTGCAATATATTACAGGTATTTAGTATACACACAGATTGCAACATATTCTGAGATGAAGATGTACCAATATTGATTTTTCAATTCAAGCTTTCACTCAAATGATATATACTGATATATAAAAAAGTTAGTTAGATCAGTAGTCTTTTTGACCCCATGTCTTAAATGTACAGTAGCATTAACCTATTTAATCCTAAAACTAAATTATGATTGTTTTTAATGCAAGAAACCCTAACTGATATTTTCAGGAGTAGATATAAAACGCTACAGAAGTGTTCACTTCAGTGTATGGCCACTTCAGTGTATCTGCATGGTTTCATATAGCACAGTCATGGGATTCATCTGTTTTTAATGGCTCATTTATTATCTCTCTTACATTCCCCCAGGAGGCCATGGTGCAGTATGAGCAATACGAACAGGAAGTCAAGAATCTACAGAGACTTATTGAAGAGGCACACCGTGTCATTCAGGACCGCCCTGTTGCCACAGGAAACATACATGAGCTTCAGACACAGATACAACATCATGAGGTGAGGACGAAGAACATCATTCTTTCATACTTTTATTACTTTTATAGATTCTTAAGCCATCATTTTTATTTTTTAAATACAGTTTATTCACAAAAGCACTGGAATCTGTAATGATCATTCTTGCTTTGTGCATCAGTCAGTCAATCTCACAGTTCATTGCAGACATGTTGTCTTAGCTATTACTCACCTCGTTGCTATGCTAGTTTATCTACATTGGACTGGAATGAGTCAGGCCATAAATTCCTAGTGTCCTCAATGGGTGTAAGGTAGTTCTGCGATCTATGACCTCTGTCTGTTTTGTCCTGAGAAACATCCGATTATTTCTTTCTCTCACGCCCTTTTGCCCTGTCTCTTTACATTTACATACACAAACACATTCACACACACACATGAAGGCAAGTACGGTCGGCTACACTAATAATCAAATTGATAAATGGCTTTGTGCGATCAAATCACGAAGGTTGCGATTGTTAAGCAGCTCGGTTCGCAGTAAATGCTGCTCCACACTAACTCATCTGGGCATCTGCTTTGAGTTATTACATGGTTTTCTGCCAACACAAAAGCTTGATGGGTTAACATTTGAAAATGAAGAAATGAAGACCTCCATAAATATTAGTATTGTAATTTTACAGTTGTAATGATTTTTTATTATTATATTATTTTCTTAAATACTCCTTTTTTACAGTAAAATTTTATATAATTTTTTGTTTAATATTTTTTTTAGGAATAATAATTTTAATAATTATTATTATCTATCTATCTATTCAAACAGCTTGTCTCTGTAGAGTCCCGGAATGCTGTAGCCTATAATAATAATAATAGTAATAGTAATTTTTTATTATTGTTGTTATTTTTTATTAATATATATATATATATATATATATATATATATATTAGGGCTGTGCAAAAGTTAATTGCGATTAATCGCATCCAAAATAAAAGTCTGTGTTTACATAATATATTTGTGTGTGCTGTATATAATTATTTTGTATATATAAATACCTATGCATGCATGTATATATTTAAGAATTATTTGTGCTTAAATTCTGTATATATTTATAAATACATAATCTATATTATATAAATATAAATATTTTAGATATGAATAACACATTTTCTTAAATATATACATGCATGTGTGTGTATTTATATATACAAAATAATTATATACAGCACACACAAATATATTATGTAAACACAGACTTTTATTTTGAATGCGATTAATCACAATTAATTTTTGCACAGCCCTAATATATATATATATATATATATATATATATAGTCTTTTTTATTTTTTAAAAATCACAATTCTATTTTTTCCTCCATACCTGTGCAGCCCTAAAGACAAGAGCGTTTAAACACACCAAATAAAAATAAACCTAAACCTGTACTGAGTCTCACGTCTCCAAGTTTTATTAGCACAGCTTGTTTTAGTTGGGGCGGCAGCTGTGGCTTTATTACCCAGGGTTATTTTCCTCTGCAGAGCTGAGTGTTACAGCTGCAGCTTTCTCCCACATGACCTCATTATTAGAGACTGGCCTGTGTGTTCGCAAAAGAATGACAGCTAGAGAGACAGAGAGAGGTGGGGGTGGCTCTGCAGGCCATACAAAATCTGCAATGTGAGCCCCCTTCCTCCCCTCTAAGTCTCTCGCTCGCACCCAGTTCTTTTGTTTGTCAGGAAAACAGCTTCGGGATTGGTGGAAAGAGAGGAAGTGAAGGGAAGGAAGAAAAAAGCCCTCAATTCCTGTTCCCGTGGTCTTTGTGTGTGAGTTGGCCGGTTAGGGGGAGGAAGTGTTCTTCCTGGTTCTACTCCCCTCCTTCTCTCTCCAGTTGGTCTAGCTCTGTGCCAATCACGTTCACCGTTACCCGAAGGCTTGGCTTGTCAGGCTTCTCTTACCGCTCTCTGATTGGCTGCTAGCTCAAAATGCCTCTGACTGAGCTATTGCTCGGCTGTGCTGTTTTTTTATACTGCAAACAGACACAGAGGGGGAATTTCTCAGCTCAGCTCGCCGGTGCCGCTCTCTGCGTTAACCCCCTTTTCACTCCTCATCTATGGGACTTAATCCAGGAACCATGTTTGGACATAACCCAGCTGCATGGACCTCAGTGGAATAATAATGTAATGTGTCATTGTGACAGGAACTGGCCCTGAAGATAAAAGGCTACCAGGAGCAGATCTCGGCCTTGAACTCCAAGTGTAAAATGTTGACTCTGAAAGCCAAGCATGCTACCATGCTGTTGACGGTCAGCGAGGTTGACGGCCTCTCAGACGGATTAGAGGAGCTGGAGGATGAGGAGGAAGAGATGCCCAAACACCCACCAACACACCCCTCTGTTGTCATGGTGAGTGATTTACACTTGTACACACGTTAGGACTGGGGCATCATGGGTCTCTAGTTTCTCCCACAGGGTTGTATGTGCCTTTGCATTGTGTATCCCTGCTGTTGTTTGTTACTAAAACAGGAAACAGGATGAGGGTGTTAGTTGGCCTTGACTTTGTCAACAGTATTAAGAAATTTAAGTTGCCCTGCGTTGCATCAGTCATGATCAGGGCCGGATTCCACATTAACTCGCCAATAGTTCAACTCACGCTCCAGCTATGTTGCTCAGTCCTTACAGACTTGCAGAGAAAGGAGTGTAGCTTTGCGGTACTTCAGCAGTCATTGGAGCTAGATCTAAATTTAGTCTAATGTTGGAGTGCTCCAGTGGTTCAGATTACTTTAGTCCACTCTGGCAAGCACAATTCATTATCTTATGCCATTGTATTGTATTTTTACAGTGAGTCTGTGCATATCCTCTGCCCCATTTCCTGACCCGGTTCATTCCTTTATCATGACGAGAGGTCTGTGAAGGGCTTAGTCATGGCTACTCTTAACAAATGTGGTCTCACTGTAATTCGCTGGTGCTGCTTTGCAGGGTCTTATTCAGCTTTTCTGCTTGAATCATTGCTTCCTGTCAGATCTGGAGGGAATATACATTACTGCAGAAGTTTTGGGTCAAGAAATTCAGGATTTCTGTTTCAAATACATAATGAACTTTCTCACAGTCTTCACAATTTTATTAAACAGCACAACTGTTTTCAACATTGATGATAATAAGAAATGATTATTGAGCACTAAATCAGCATATAAGAATCATTTCTGGAAGATCACATGACATGAATTACCAGGAATTAATGAAATATCACGATATTACAGTTTTTACTATATATGAGACTTTAAATCTTGCTGACCCCAAACGTTTTGAATGATAGTATACTTTTTCCAACTCTTATATTCTTCCTCTGGGTTTTTTTCCCTTCACCCTTTGGTGCTATACTCCTGTTCACTGTGGATGTATCTTTCTTTCTCTTTCTTCCTCTCTCTCTTTGGCTCTTTAATGATCAGATGACGGCAGGCCGTTGTCATACTCTCCTCTCCCCGGTCACAGAGGAGTCTGGTGAGGAGGGCACTAACAGCGAAGTCTCCTCTCCCCCCGCCTGCAGATCACCCTCACCTGGGCCTAACGCTGACACCTCTCAGGTATCCCCTGTGGCTCTAACCCATACCTCACTAACACCTGCCAACCTTATCACATTTAATCAACTTATCCCAGATCAGCCACTAACCCACTTTAACTCAGTTTGAACTTGACCAGTTGATTTCTTACAGCAGCCACTGTTCTCTTCTTGATTTAAATATGAATCTGGCTTTTCACACTGTGCTTAAACTCGGGTTAACGTCATTCTAATCACCGCTTGTAACCCTGGGTAAATTAATGTTCAACACTTTCAAACGTATGAATTTTAGTGTATGAATACCCAGGAGTAATTGTTTATCTCTGGTGAATTATGAGCAGTGTAAAACATGATTCTCTTCGCTCAGGGTTAAGAATGTATTTCAAGTGTGAAAAGCCCAAATGTTAGTCTGAAGTCTCTCAAGATCATGGAAAACCTGCAAATATCTGGGAATGTGAAAAACGGGACATTTCTGTTTGAGCTTTCCAATCAAACCGAAACACTAGCATTGAATAATGAAAGGAGTACCTTATATATTTGTCCAACTAAAAGATCTGCTATGCTCACTTCTTTTTCATTCTTCACTTTGGGGTAAAAAAGATGTATGAAATTTATGAGCAGTGTTATACTGTTAGCGAACATGCTCGGACAACCGCACACACCGCATCATAGCGGACACTGCACACGCTAATGAGAATATGTAAATATCCATGCTTTCCTTTCAATACAATAATCACACAGCAAAAATGACAGCAATGGGAAAACAAAAAAGAAAGAAATCTGATTATAGCGATGTGGATGTTTGCACAAGCTAGTCTGTGAGGGGCTGCCATTTACTTTCGTTTTATTGTTTGTTTATTTTGTCATTAAATTTATGTTTAACGATCACTGGTTCTCGCCTCCTTCTTCCCCGAACTTGAATTTTTTTCGCAGTGGGACTCTCTATTCTTCAGTTGACTTTCTTGAGGAACTTAATCTCTGATTTCATTCTAACTGTTTGTATAAACATACATCAGCCATGTAATGAACAGAGTTGACACACATTTGAACATGGCCTCAGGGAGTGACAACGATGCTTTGGTTAGCACAGATTTTTGATGTGTTTAAGCATGGTTGTGTGACAGTGTGTGAAAAAGGGGCATAATATTGTTACTAGGTACATGTGCAACATCTGTAAAATGCATACACAAGAATTAGTATCACTAATGTTTTCTTGTATTTTAATTGAACCAACACAGTTTGGTTTATTATTCATGCATGCATGCACACACTCTCAGACACACTCTTTGACGTAATTTTACGTCTTTTTTAGGGTTCAGGACGAGCTCCTTTATGTAGAGCTCCATTACAGGAGCTGTATGACCCCTCCATGGAGTCAGCTTCCTCAGCAAACCTGGACGACCTACAACGCTCATGGGAGACTTTGAAGAATGTGGTAAATATCCATAGATGTATCTCACAATACAAAATCCAAATCACTTCTTCATACGTTGCCTAGCATATATATATATATATATATTTTTTTACAGATCAGTGAGAAGCAGAAGAGCCTATATGAAGCTCTGGAGAGACAGCAGCACTATCAGGAGACCCTGCAATCTGTCTCAACAAAGATGGAGTCCATTGAGACCGCACTAAATGAGGGCTTAGAGCCAAGCAAGAGTCCTGAGAGCCAGATGGCCGCCCACCAGGTGAGAGAGACAGAGGATCAGATGAAGCAAGATGACCGCACTAAAGCTAGATCACATAAAAACTCGAGCCTACTGCTGGACTAGCGAGAGGACAGAGTTACTCTCTAGATTACCAACTTCTCCTATGTCTAAAACTAATCTCTTATCTAGAAGTATCTTCCTTTCTCTGGCATGTAGCCTTTAATGTAACTTTATTGTTTACAACTAGATCAAATCAATGTACTAATGAAACCAGAGATTAATAGAAGCAATTTTATGATTGATGGTTGTTCTTCAGGCTCTGATGGATGAGATCCTAATGCTCCAGGATGAGATCAGTGCTCTGCAGGCCTGCTTCTCCCGCGAGCTGCAGATGGATGAGGACAGTTTGGAGGCAGATGCTGGAGACCAGCTGGCCCTACAGTCAACCCTCACTGTACTGGGAGAGCGCATGGCCACCATCCACATGAAAGCCTCCGGAAAGCGACAACTTCTGGAGGTTAGCAGGAGTAATATCATGCAAAGAATTGGCGACGCCAAAAATTCTGCATTGTCTGTTAAAAAAGGATTGTATCAGATTATTCTGGTCATTTTACGCACTGTTGTTAAGCACATACTGGTCATTTTAAATTGTCATATGTGTCCTAGTAGTGATTATTTTAGTCTTTTGATTTAAAGCTACACTGTTTAACTCTTTTAGTTTATTCTTAGCTAAAAACACTTAGTTCTTTCAAAAATATATGTGCTCGTTAATGTATATTTACTTTGTTCAAGTAATAAAGTATTCTCGTGAGTGTATAATATGCCATTGAAAATAAATACGGGTAAGGGGTTCTAATGTCATCGCCATGTTGCCCCTCCATCTTGAAAGTACATTAGCCAAAGAGGGACATACCCGTTAATTCAAGCTTCGCCTTTCGCGTTTAAGTTTGAGTTAACACTCATGGACGAGGTCGAACTGGAAACCATGTTAATCTTGGACTACATTGGCCACCGTAGGAGTTAAAACGAAATTGGAATTGAGAGGAACAGAAACTAATATTCACTGGATGGTCATATACCTTTTCACCGCTAGATGGGGGTAAAAACCACACAGTGTAGCTTTAACTAGCACCATATCTCTGATTAAAACCACTAATTACAGATCATAAACCAAATGACAGGCAAGCCTAAACCAGGAAACATAATTAAAGAGATAAAGAATACTGACACTTTTCACACTTGTTTTTGAGCAATGGCAATAGAGTTTTGTCTGCTTTAGAAAATATGATTAGAAAGCTTCTCCCACTTTACACTGACTAATTTGGCTTGAGAAGAACCAACAAGAAACAATTTATTACATACCCTTGCTTTTAGCTTATTCAATGCTGTGCATTTTCTGACCCGCAGGAGCGATTGAATGAGCAGTTAGAAGAACAGAGGCAGGAACAAGCGCTACAGCGTTACCATAGTGAAGCAGAGGAGCTTGACAACTGGCTGCTCAGCACACGTGCCACACTGACCTCCACTCTTCAGCCACAACCACAGGACATGGACATGGAGGAACAGCTGATCGACTGCCAGGTGAGAGACTAGGGGTGGAAAATAGAAGAAAAAAAAAAACATGCCACAGTATTCCTAAATTTTGGTTGATAACGGTATGCATCATGATATAGATTTTTTAATGGGAAAATTAATTGAAATTAAATGATTAAACTGAAAAATGATTGTTCTTTTGACCTTATTGTTCTTTGGACACTTTTTTGTTTATGTTACAGAAAAGTCATGTGGACTGCAAAGAAACAACAATATATTGTATATTGTTGTGTTGTGACGCACATAGGCTTCACACGATCATGCGCTTCAATCCGTCACAAAACATAATGTACAAAAAACGTGTCCCTGCTTGAGATACAACCACTAATAAACAATCGGTTTTGATGAGGAAAATAAACTATACAACTAGAAGGAATTATAACCTCTGACACACTTGGCAAAAGTTCTGCCTCTGGACCATTAAAGTTCATGGGGATAATTGTCAATCTATGTATTTATATCAATATACAAATAATTATAAAGAGACTGATTATTTGTTTAATCTGTCCTATAGTGTATTTTCAGTGCAAACAATGAGGCTTCATTCTTGGGTTTCATTTCAGATAACCAATTTCATAGTTTCAGAACACTGGATTTTTAGAAAAGCCAGAACTGAGTTATGGCAAAATTTGAGTTGTGTAAAATTCATTATAGATTTTCTCTAGCATGTAAATGACCAATTTATCCAATTCCGGTGGCTAATCATCTCTGGAATCACTAGAGTGGGCAGCAGTAAATCTGCTTAGCTGTGTCGGTTTTGTCCCATTCTGTTGGTCATTAGGATTAGGGGCTTCTTCTTCCCTGCAGTCTTTGGACATCCCACAGTGCATGTCTGCATTTCTTCAAGGAGACACACATACACACACACGTCTTTTGTGTTGTAATTAGAGGGCTGTAGAGATCAAGTTAACCTTTAACCTGAACGTCAGACTCTTTGTGATAAGTCAGGCTGGCCCTGACCTTTAGCTTACTGCAGTGAATGTTTGCTCATTTCTCACTAGTGAATGCCACAGACTGTCTCCACTATTGACCAGCATTCAGTTCCAGCTACCCTGCAGGCCCATCCCTATCTATTCAAAATGTAGATTTGTAAAAATGTCTTTTATTCTTTCAATTGTTAGCAGTACACTCATTTCTGTGGAGTAGTGTGCATGTAGTATGGTAGAGATATAGATGTCGGAAGACTCGGTTAAGCAGCTTAAGAAGATTATCAGTCACTGCTTACATGTCTCCTGTTTACGTATTTTTTTACACACCTTCTGTTGTGTTTTTTGCATGCGAGGTGTTTGACCCATATCTGACACATATCTTTATGGTCAACTCTTGAAAGTTTTGTTACTTGAATTTACAATGGTAGCACCTAAAATTGAACTTGTCTTAAAACATGTGGTTCTGAATCAAACAACAATCTAAAAATATATTTTACCAAATTTAATGTGATTAATGTTTAATTACATTTAATTGAAGGTGTTTGACTTAATGTTAATAGCACAACCAATCCAAAAATATCATCATCATTATCTTACCGGTTCTCTAACCGAATCTTTTGTTCCTGATCTAGAACATGTTACTGGAGATCGAGCAGAAGGTGCTGTGTCTGTCTGAGCTGTCAGTGCACAGTGAGAGTTTACTGATGGAAGGGAAGGCCGGTACACGGGGTGACGCTGAGCAGCTCTCCCTCAAACTATACTGCCTCAAATCCAGCCTGCTGGAGCTACAGCGCATCCTCCAAGACAAACAGACCCACATCCAGGTGAGGGATATGCTACAATTTCTCAAAGTAATATTTAGTGACAGAAGAGCTGCCCAAGAACAGAAGTAAATCTGTAAGTGAGAAGAATTAAAGAAAATGCCAACCGTCTGAATACTTAGAACAGGTCACTGGCGTCAGTCAGTACTTTTGCCCACACATAAAAACACATCCTCGCCTCAATGGATGCATTGTGAACAGCGGTACAGAAGAATGCCAAGCGCTGTTCATTGTTGTGAAAGATGTTCCACTGCTCTCCAGAAACATCCATTTGAGACAAAGACCTTTAACAAATTGGGGGGGAGGTCTGGAATTTTCACCCAGCTCTTGTAAATGAGACTTGTTGGTGATATGTAAAAGCCTGTTGCAAAGCTGATTTGGCTTAGCTATTGACAATCAATCACCTATTGACAGTCATGACTGACCTTTAACCTCTACTTACTGAAAAGATGTTTTAATTTACCTTTTAGTGTGCGTGTTTGTATGTATGCGTTTCCAATAAATTGTGTCAATGAATCTAGGTTAATTGTTTGGACACGTTTTATAAAATAATTTGTATCTGATATAATATTTTTGTGCAGAAAATAATCTAATCACAGCTTTTATAATTTATAAATTGTATAAATGTCAATACTTATAAAATAAACTACAAATTTCATTGCCAGCCACTTTGCCATACATTAGCATCTCTAACTGACTTGTATGTCTTTATTTAAGGGGTCACTTCAGGAGCAGGACGACACTGAATCAGACTCGTCTCTGTCTCAGAGCCCCAATATGATGGACTGGCTCATTCAGGCGCGATCCACACGCAACCAGCAGCATCAAGACACAGTGCAAAGACAGAGGGTAGACAAACAAACAACGAATGTTGAGCAATAACATGATATCAGTAAACTTAACTAGCAAATCATATGCTGATATTTACATGGTCTTTAGAACATTCTAGTTGCATTTGAATGGGCGGGAATGGATTTAGATTTTTGACATCAGCTCTTATATATAATGCAGGAATTAGAGGAGCAGCTTGGCGAACAGAAGAAGTTACTGCAGTCTGTAGCATCTAGAGGGGAGGAGATTCTCTCACAGAGAACAACACCTAATGGAGACAGGTCAGTCCTGTTCACTCGTCCATTATCTACATCTTCAGATCTTTCTTTAGCACACTATAACTGCTCTTCTAAAAAACCAGGCCAGCCAGTTTAACACAAATTTGATGCAATATTGAAGTCGGCATGAAATGCAAAAAAATCCATATTTCTCTATTTTATATATTCTTAATGCATTTTATAGATCTTTTTGTGAACAATTCATCCATACATGCTTTTTTTATTGACCTTTGTTTAATTAAACTCTTAACTTCCAGTGAAAACAACTTGACTTGACTATGACTTGCTAAAATGTATTTGAGTTAAAGTTACAACCCTTTTAATTGTAAATGATCACTGTACACACCCAAACCGGTCTTCGCCCATGTAGACGATATACCGCTGATATGACCAACCAACCAACCAAAAAAGAAATCCCCTTCACACAAACCCCCCTTTTATCATTGAACGTTCTACAATCAGTGCAGCACATTATTCATATACCAGCCATTCTGGTACCTACGTAACTACTGCTTTTTAGTTGAGCTGTAGGCTTTAAACCCCACCTGTGCAAGCTTGTGTTCATCTCCTTCCACGTTTGAGTTTTCTATAATCTGTTACACTTGGATGTAGATCACTATACACAAGAAAAGATTTGTCTCTTTTAATTGAAGCAATTAATCATGGATCAGTATTCATATGGTGACTATTCTTAGCAAACATTTATGATATAGAGTTGATTAATTGTGATTTGATTACTAATTGTCATGTCATGTAAGCAGTTTCTTTTAATAAGTTTTAATTTTAATTAATTGACAGCTATATTGCAAACATATATGAAAGAGAAGTGTATGTAGCACAGACTCATAACACGCTTCTTTCTTCACTGTTTGTAGTTCTCCTGCAGAACTTTCTGAAGGGGTTGATGGTCAGTGGCCTGAGAGCATGAGCACAAAGGATCAAATGAGATTCAAATGGGTGAACCTAAGCAAAGACCTTAACAACAAACTACAGCTGTCATCAAACACAATGGAGCAGGCACACTGTCACACGGTACATGATCAACTTCAACACTATACTTTAGCTTTGCTTTTCATTTACAACCTTTGTAGTCCCATTTAGTGACTTATTAGCAACTGCCTTTTACAAGACAAGTAAAAGCTTTAAAAACATCACGAGGGGTATCACTGATGTATTTTATGTCATAGAATAAAAGTATAAAAGTATATTGACCTTTCAGGCATTTAAACAAAAACCCAAAATATTGACTTCAGGACGATGGAACCAGAAGTTCTTGCCTACAAAAAAAATCCTAAAAGAGTAAAACATAAAATTTACTTCTGTGCTTTAATTAAATAAGGACCATTTTCTCTCTTAGCTATACCAGCCAGTGTCCAGTCCCTGTGGACTCTTCAGAGGGGAGCAAGTGAATCAGGATATCCTGTCCCCCAGAAGTCTGTTTGAAGGTTTCAGCCAAGACCTGGAGGATTTGCCTCAGGTACTGCCACTGAACATTTTAACATGATGGTAAACTGCACCAGGATTTTGTATTACTGCATCTAGCAAAGGTTTATTTTCAACTATTTGTTCCTTTATGTCCTCCCTACAGACAGGGGGCGCTGACACTAAACGCGCATGTGCTCTGGAAATGGCTCTCTATGAGGCAGTTTCCTCAGCTTCCTCCTGGCTGGACAATGCTGAGAATGAGCTTGTATCTGGCCCAATATTATTATCTGATGACTCAGAGACTCACCTGGGCCACCTAGAGGTCAGACATAGTCATTTTCATGAGAGTCATAAAGTATTTTTGTTATAAGAAACACTAAATCTTTTTGGCACTATATATTTTCTGCTCTTGTCTCTTCAGGGTTTGGGTAAGGAGGTAAAGAATGTCAGCGAGGAGGTTTGTAAATGTCGGGATGTGCTCGGAGGGACGGAGCGGCTATGGGATGAAGGTGGAGAAAGTGTTTTAGTTGAGGGAGTGTTAGACAGTTTGGAGGGGAGACTAAAGCTGCTGGACACAGTGCTGGAGCAGCGATGTGACGGCATGAAAGACAAGCTGCAGGAACTCACTGTTTTTCAGGTATATGTCGCTTGAATCTGGTTATTTTTAATCAATATATTGTTTTTTCTTGCTTGCTTTTTCTCTCACAAATACATTTTCCTCTTTGTCTATTTCACAGACTGAGTTGAGACTGTTGCTTACTGCACTCGGTGACTCAAAGTACCAGCTTTTGCAGAAAATGAATGCAGCTATGGATCGGCCTGCTTCTAAACAAATGGAGGTCAGACACATTCAAAATGGCAGAAATGTTTGCATGTCCCCAAGCAATACTTTGTTGATCGATTATGAGTAAGATCAATGAAAATTTGAATGTTAACAGATTCTAGCAGAAGCTGAGGACAGTCTGAGGGAATTTGAGCAGAAAGTTTCTGAGATGAGAAGTAGAGGAGAGACACTGCAGCCCAGCCAGCTTTGCACTCAAGAGCTGCTGAAACTACAGGTACACATCTCTCTATTTATTTCTCCTGCTGTTTGCTTTAGAAACAGCAATTACAGTTGCTGATTTCATGATATCCGTTTTACTTTCCACTTGACATTGTGTTCTGCGGTGCAGGATGCTTATGAAGTTCTGGTGGAGATGGTGGGATCCAAACGGAGTGGGCTGAACCAGAGTTTGGTACTAAAGGCTCAGTATGAGAGAGCTCTGCAAGACCTGGTAGATCTGGTAGACACCGCCCAGGACAAAATGGCTGCTGACCAGAAAATGAAAGTGGGATCAGTGATTGAGGTTCAGATTCTCCTAGACAAACACAAGGTACAACAGCCGTATTTTGTGATTAATTGGTTTTATTATTATTATTATTATTATTACCAGTATATTATTTTAAATTATAATAATATCTCACACTTTTACTGTTTTTACTGTATTATTGATTAAATAAATATAGACGTAGACACATTTGTTCAAAAACTTTTAAAAAAATGTACAAACCCCAAACAATAGTTCACACGTATACATTTTGGAGTCATTCTTATCCAGGAAAACCAACCAAAAATTTCGACGACTCTCGTCTCATGCAATCAAATTCTCTCAAGAATGTGAATGTCAATGCCAACTCCTTTCTAAAATAATTTATTATATAGTGATGTTTGGTCCCCTTTTGGAGAGCATGTACTCACATTTTCTGTCTGTCTTTTGTTCATGCAGGAGTTTTTTCAGGGGCTAGAGACACATGTTGTCCTGACACAGGCCTTCTTCAGGCAGGTCAGTGGGTTGGTGGTGCAGCGGGAGGTCCAAAGCCTAGAGGAAACTGTGGCTCAGGCCCAGGCTGTACTTAAACAGGCTCACAAACGAGGAGTGGAGCTGGAGGGCATCCTGGAGGTTGTGTGGATTTGTGTTTCTATATAAGATAGATGCAGATTATAAGTGCATATGGAGTTGATAACTGTCTTGTGCTTTGTGTTATCAGTGGTGGAGCAGGTTGGTGGGTGATTATCAGGCCGTGTACAGGCAGCTGGAGGCAGTGGAAAGCAACATTCCCAGTGTAGGCCTGGTGGAAGAGACAGAGGAGAGACTGAGGGATAGAATTGCTCTATACCAGGTACACACATGCGTAGATCACTGAATCAGACATGGTTAAGCCATAAAATCAATACAACACCAACTGTTATTTTACATTACAGACATTACGTTGTAGTATCGCATTTGTGAAGTATTAGAAATCAAATTGAGAAAGCCTTTTGAATTAATAAATTCAGTAATTTAAATTGAATCTAAATTGAATCTAAAAAACATGATGTGAATTTGAATTTAATAAAGTCAAATTATACTTTACACCTTCATGTATTATTACAGAGTATAGATTGTGGTCAGTAAGATTTTTAAATGTGATTAAAAATGACAGTAAAACAGTAATATTGTGAAATATGATTAAAATTTATGTATATTATAATAATTGTTTTTTTATTTGAATATATTTAAAAATGGTATTTATTCCTTAATTAGCTTAATTTTAAGGAGCCATTACTTCAATTGTCACACGATCCTTCAGAAAACATTTTAATATGCTGATTTGCTGCTCAAGAAACATTTCTCATTTTTATCAATGTTGAAAACAGTTGTGCTGCTTAATATTTTTGTGGAGACTGTGATATTTTTCAAATATTTTTTTTAATACATGGAAAGTTTAAAGAAACATAATTTATTTGAAATAGTAATCTGTACTGTTACCTTTGATAATTGTTTTAATAAAAAATAAAAAAGATCTCTATTGTGGAATGGTAGGGTACATTAGAATGTTAGAAGATTCAAAAACAAGGAAGGGTAAATCTAAAACTAAAAGGAAGGGTGTGTTGACCATCCCACTCTCTATAGCGTCTGAAGGCCGGTATGTCTGAGTGGCAGCCGCAGTTGTATAAGTTGTTGGAGGATGAGAAGAGGCTGCCTTTACATGTGTCCTGCTCAGAGCTGGAAACTCAGCTCAATCAGCTGGGGGAGCACTGGCTCAGCACCACCACCAAAATCAATAAAGAGCTCCACCGCTTGGACTCCACCCTCAAACACTGGATCAGGTCAGAACATCTGATCACTTTCTCTTTGTGATTCTCTTCGACAACTGTAGAATCTTTATTGAATCTGACCTAAATGTTTATTCAGTTAATTGACGTTGCATGGTGTCTTCATATCTCATTGTAGGTATCAAAGCCAGTCAGCTGAGCTTAGCCAATGGCTGAGCTCGGCACTAGACCGCCTGGAGTTTTGGAGCACTCAGTCTGTTACAGTACCTCAAGAGCTAGAGACCGTCAGAGACCATCTTCATGCCTTCCTGGTGAGAACGGCCATTAAATATCCTAATAAAATAGGTTTAGGTCTCACTTGACTTTCACAGACACACTCTATATCATCTTTATATCTGCAGGAATTCTCCAAAGAAGTGGACGCCAAGTCGTCTTTGCGCACATCAGTTCAGAGCCAGGGAAATCAGCTACTCCGGTTTAAGAAAGTGGACACAGCGGCACTCAGGGCAAACTTGGCCCAGGTAGACACGCAATGGGCCGATCTTCTCACCCGAATCCCTGTGGTCCAGGAGAAACTCCACCAGGTATGATAACTGGGGGTGGTTGCACTGGCCCATTTCAGTTAAAGAAGGGTGTGCAGATAATGAACAGGCTCACGTGGCTATGCTAAAAGTTGCATCCATGTGACAAACAGCTGCAGATGGAGAAGTTGCCATCCCGTCATGCAATAACAGAGCTAATGAGCTGGATATCCCTCATGGAGAATATCATCCAAGAGGACCAGCAGAAGATCATGGGGGCAGTGGGATCTGAGGTTGTGCAAATGTTCCTTCAGAAATATAAGGTAAGAAAAAATTAGAAAAGGCAGCAAGAACTGTTTTTCTTTTCTTCGAAATAATAAAACATGGAATTAGTCATTTTGTACTCCATGAAAGAAACCAAATTTCTCTTTGTCTTTATTGACCCCTCTCAACAGGGTTTTCAGATTGACCTGTCCTGCAAGCAGCTGACTGTGGACTTTGTGAACCAGTCAGTTCTGCAAATCAGCAATCAAGACGTGGAGGGGAAACGCAGTGACAAAACTGACTTTGCTGAGCGTCTTGGGGCCATGAACCGCCGCTGGCAGATACTGCAGGGACTCGTTACAGAGAAGGTTACACATACATTTAGAAAATTTTACATTTTTGCTGTAACGTGCATCACTCAAATTGTTATGATGATATATTTTGTACTAGAAAAACAAAAAAAATGCCCAAAACAAGTGTTTTTAGATGTGGACTGTGACTTTTGGACCATAATTGTATGTCATTTACCTTTTAAATTTTTTTATCATATACCAAAATGGTGCCTTCTGTGTTTTACAGATTCAGGTTTTAGAGGGTCTGCTTAAAAGCTGGTTAGAGTTTGAGAATGTGGTTCAGACCTTGAAGACCTGGATCAGTGTACAGGAAGAGAAACTCAAAAAGAAGCACAGGATTGAGGATGTTTCCTCAGCCCAGAATGCACTTAAAGATTGTCAGGTAGATACTGCACCCTAGCTGTTAGGCTCTACATAATACACAGTAAACTCTATATGGATTCATGGGTAAAGATTGCATTAATAATACCAAAATAATCCAGGTGCTCTGTTGTTTTGAAAGATCGATCTGACTGTCTGTGTCTATGTATGCTAGGAAATGGAAGTGATGGTAAAGGAGAAAGAGAAGGATCTGGAGAGGGCTGAAGAGAAAGGATGCTTACTAATCCAGGATAAGAAAGGCGAAGCCAGCTCTGTTATTATGGACACCCTAAAAGGCTTAAACCAGTCTTGGGCCAATCTGGATCACATGGTATGTTTCACATAATGCATTTCAGTAAAGCATCTAGATTTGGCATTTGTAATCTGTATCAAATGTTTTATATCAAATAGTGTATCAAAAGTTAGTTAATGCATTTACTAATTTTAACTAATGAGATTTTATCTAAAGCCATTTACATTGTTTACATTGAATTTATTTCACTGAATTGATTCATAACTACATGTGATTTTTGAAGCTGTATCACTCACATAGTAATGGACACTATATGTACAATCACTCAGTTTTCATAATCAGGTTTTCACCAAAATATTCAGCCAGTCTTAAGTGGGATTTTTGTGTAATTGCAGGTCGGGCAGCAGACGGTCAGTCTCCGGTCAGTGCTGGATCAATGGAGTCTATATAAACAAGCATATGAAGAGATTCAAGGCTACCTGATGGAGGGACGTTACACCATCTCTCGTCTGCGCCTTCTCACTGGCTCCCCAGAAGCTGTGCAGGTTCAAGTAGAGAATCTTGAGGTACAAAACTGTGCAAAACATGAATGAGGTGTCATTAGCATTACTTGGAGCAAGAACCTAAAATCACCATGGGTATTTGTGTGTCTCAGAGTTTACAAGATGAGTTGGAGAAACAGGAGAGCAGTTTACAGAAACTGGGCTCCATAACGCAACAGCTGCTGAGAGATTGTCATGCCTCTGTTAGTGATTCACTCAACACAGCACTGGGTGATGTAAATCTCAGGTGAGTTTCGAATGCCTTTAGTATCTGATACTGATGACACTGATCAGTACAAAGTGATCCGAAATCATTGATCTTCTGCTGATCTGCTGTCAGGTGGAACACGCTGCTGGAGCAGATCTCAGATCAGCTGAGGAAGAGTAAGAGCCTGCTGCAGCTGTGGCAGCATTACAATGCAATTCATGCTCAGAGCAGCACCGACATTCAGAAACTAGAGGAACAGGTGGAGCATCTACTCAAGAGCGCCACCCACAGAGACATCACAGAACAGGAAGTAACGGTGAGGATTTTATAAATGCTTGGTAGGTTTGCAAGCCTCTTGAATATTTGTGTTTATGTCAGTGACACAAAAGTATGTAATCAGTTGGTAATTCTGACAACTGTGTGCCACTGTAAAATCTTTGTAGCAATTGCCACAGTGTTCCTCTTTGTAAAACTGGCGTTTTTTTTAGGGCCTCATGGCGGCTGAGGGATCCGTAGAGTCTGTCCTGCAGCAGCTGGATGAGTTTTCAGAGCAGCTGAGACAACAAGTGGACCCCTCTGCCATGACAGCCTTCCATACAGACCACCTGGCACTCACTCAGCGATTGGCAACAGTTGGACGTGCCCTCCAAAGACAGCAGTCTCTGCTAGAGGTTCGAATGATTCAGATTTGACCTTGTGCACGTAGACATTAAACTTTAAACAGAACATTTATACAATTTTTACACATTTAATTTAAATAAAATATGCACTACTGTTTAAAAGCTTGGGGCCAGTAAGTTTATTTGATGTTTTGGTTTCTTATGCTCATTTGTTTTATTAAAAAGTACAGTTCAAACTATGAATTGAAAGTTTAAAAGCAATTATTTGCTTTTACATTATAAGTCCTTACTGTCACTTTTGATCAATTTAATATTAATAAAAGCTAAATAAAAGTTTATTGCTAAATAAAAGTATTAATTTCTTTCAGAATAAGGTTTCCAAACCTTTGAATGGTAGTGTATATTTAATAAAATAATTTTCACACTCACTTTCATAGTTTTGACACTCTGCATTTTCTAACTTTCACAAATGCCAGACTGCAAAGCCTGTCAAATATAAATGATTTTTTTCTTTTTCCTTTCCTCAAGGTGGGTGTGAGGAACTATGAGAGGTTTAGTAAGGAATTGCATTCTCTGAGTCAATTGTCAGAAGAAGCTGAGAAGGTTCTGAAGGAACCAGACTCAATTGTACCTCCAGATATGTCATCTGTGCTGGAACACATGGAAAAACTTAAGGTAAAAATTGTTGACCATTTTTCCTGTAAAATTATTAGGTTGTATAAAAACATCTGAACATTCTCATACCTATGTGTCTATAGACCCAAATGTTAAAGCTGAGTAGTCTTTCTCCTGATCTGGAACGTCTGAATGAGTTGGGTTATCAGCTTCCCCTCAACGATAATGAAATCAAGCGTTTACAGAACTTAAACAGGAGTTGGTCATCTGACTCTGCTCGCATAATAGAGAGATTCAGGTATGTGTGGTTACTCTTGATCTACAGTAGATGTTCAATTTTGGTGTTTTCCATAAACATGTGTAATATTTAGTTGCATGTACCTCTGTGTATTTGTTCGAGCAGTAACCTTCAAGCCCTGGTACTCCAAAGACAGACCTTCTTGGAGAAGTGTGATGCTTGGATGAACTTCCTGACCCAAACAGAGGAGAAGTTAGCCGCTGAGATCTCTGGGAACTATCAGAGCTTGCTAGAACAGCAGAGAGAGCATGAGGTACTGATAGACAAGTATTAATTCATGTTAATAAATGAGACCTTATTGTAGTGTTACTGATTTCATTTTTAAAGAAGTCTAGTATGCTCACCAAGACTGCATTTATTTGATCAAATAATCATTAAAAATACCTGTTTTCTATTAATGTATTTTGATCCTCCAGAAATAATTCTAATATGCTGATTTAGTGTTAGAAATTCCAGAAATAGTTTTCTTATTAGGTCAAATGTTGTCTCCAATATATTGATGACAAAATTCAGTTTTTCATTTCAATACTCACATTATACAATGGCGATATTAGCAAGATGTTTGAATTTAAAATAAAATGTATTGAGTCATAGTTTAATGATCTACTGTACATCATAGAACTGCTCTACTCAACTTTTTTCTTTTCTTTTGTTTGTTGTGTGTGTGTGTGTGGGTAGCTATTCCAAGTAGACATGTTTAGTCGACAACAAATTCTATACTCTATCATCAATGATGGACATCAGCTACTGAATCAGGGACAAGTGGAGGACAGGTAATGTTAGTTTATTTGTTTATTCTTGTTCTTTCATTCAAAAATACTTGAAGTGACAGTCTTTTCATTTTGGCTTACACAAAAGGGATGACTTTGGCTTGAAACTGGCACTGCTTAGTAACCAGTGGCAAGGCGTAGTGAGGCGGGCCCAGCAAAGACGGGGTATTATTGACAGTTTGGTTCGGCAGTGGCAGCGGTACACGGATCTGATAGAGAAACTGCGCCACTGGTTGCAAGAGGTGTCACTGGAACCAGAAGACCAACAACAAGGAGCAACAGTAGCACTACAGCAGATCCGTGGAATATTAGACCATATACAGGTAAAGATAGAGCCTTAGGTGTGTAAAAAATAATACCCATCTGCAAATAGCCTTAAGCAATACGGATGTTCACTTTTCTCCCTCTAGCTGAAGGAGCGTGTGCTCCAGAGGCAACAGGGCAGCTACAACCTCACGGTGGAGGCTGGAAAGCAACTTCTCCTGTGGGCTGATGCCAAAGCAGAGGCCTCGCTTCACACTGAGCTCACTGAAGTGGAGGAGCACTGGAGGACCATTAACATCCGCCTCGATGAAAGGAAGAAAGAACTGCTTTCTTTGTTAAGGGTGAGTTAAGAGTAAATGTTAATTATAACATATTTAGGTGCATTGACTTGCGCTGACTTGTTGCTTATTTGCTTGATTTAGTTATTTATATAATTGAAAAAGTATAAAATTGGATAAGTTGAGTAGAGTGTTTGGTTATTTGCATTTCTATAGACAGCTTGCTGGATGTGTTTTACTATGAGTTGATTGATATTAGCACACGTATGATTAGCGCCGGTCACAGTCTGAGACACTGGTAAAAATGGCATTTTTCTAATATAATATTTTAATTATCAACACAACAATGTGATTGTAAAAAAAAGTTTATTAAATAAATATTTAGTCATTTAAAAATTTTTGTAATAAATTTAGTAATTTAAGAATTAAAATTAATTTCAGAAAAAAGTGATTTACAATTTTCTTATGATTAGTCACTGAGAAATAGTATAGAATTTTGTAAAATGTTTCTTTATTTTTTTATTATTTATTTTAAAAATGTTTACCTTAAAAATATTTATTTGAATTGTATTAATTTTACCTTCTAAAATGTATTTTTAGGCTTTTATTGTCAGGTTTTTGAATGTTGGCCCCCACTGTATAAATATGACATGCTGTTGCATTGTGGGAGAAGGTCTTGATGCAGTGTTATGTGATTTGTAAAATATTTAGGATTTTTATAGTACATCATATGTCACCGATTTTTAGGGGCTGTGTCTATAGTTAAACTTTCAAGTTTAGATTGTTTTTGTGTTCTGTGAAATCAGGGCTACAAGCTATTTTGAGCTACAAATATCAGAAATATGAAAATATAGCTGCAGTGTTAAATAATGCAAAACAATAATAAAATATACGTAGCGAAGCTTCTGCAAACCTACAAATGGATCTCTTGTTATATTGCTTTTCCTAAAAGAAAAGAAAGGATTGAAGGACTTTGCATCTGACCTTACAGAGCAAATAAAGGCAAGCTACTGTAGCATAATGAGAGGCAGAGTGAGCGAGTGTGCACATCATGTTTAGTGTGTGCGTGTGAAGAGGATGAAAGAGAGAGAATGGGAGGAAGAGGCAGCGAGAGAGCTGAAGGCGAGAGAAATATCTTCAGTACTGTGGGAGGGAGTCCGAGCGGTGCAGCACTGCCAACACAGGGCAGCAGAGACAGGGACACATCCGCTCCATTTTGACGCAGCACACTTGGGGACAAAAACAAATTTGGATTGCAAAGGAAAATGGCTCCTCTTCCCTTCGGGCTCTGCCTCTTTCTCTTTCTATCTCTCCCACATCCATCTGTTTTCTCAGATGACATGATTAGAAGGTATCTCACTTCTTTTATCTCTGCATGATAATATTTCTCTCTGTCTCGGGACCATGACCCTTTGCTCTGGCCACGTTTAAATAAAGACCTGGCTGGATTTGGTTACATATGACTTTCTCTATTACAGTCCTCCTGATTCCCAATGTGATGACCACTGTATGTCTATATCCGACTTTTCCTCGAGTGTTGTAATAAGCATGTTCATCAGTGCACAAAAAACTGCGAAGCTTGATGTTTCTTAAATGCATAATGGCATACCTTGCCAGACTGTGTACTGCAGCAACTGCAGAGTGGCATAAAAGGACGTGCAATCCTTGAAAATCATGCTCACTCTCTCTCACGATTTCACAATATTTTTCTTTCTTTCTGGCTATGTGTGAAGGACTGGGATCAGTGTGAGAAAGGAATTGCTGCATCGCATGAGAAGTTGAGGGACTTCAAGCTAAAGCTCTCTGTGCCTTTACCCGACCACCACGAGGAGCTGCACACAGAACAGATTCGCTGCAAGGTACACCAATGAATTCTGACTCATCTTGTGTCATATGAGCTTCTAGAAACGTGTTGCTTCAGCAACATCTAAGCATCTTTCTTATCATTTGTGTTAAAGCATTTCCTTACCTGATTTGACGTGATGACACATCAGCATCTCTGGTCTAGGCAATTATTCTGCATATTTGTTTGTGCAGTCTGCTGCTTTCAACCACTGCATTAATAATACCCTTCCTTACTTCATGTAGAATGTGTGTAATACCCTGACGCTTTGATTCATTTTTTATCTGCAAAGAAGGATTGTTTTGAGAGGTGTGTGTAGTGTAGCAGAAACTTTGTGAAAGTGACATCAACCTCTGATCTCTCTGAGCTAGACTATCAAGAGTTTCTTTGACTTTGCCTGAAGGAAAGATGTTGAGGTGCATGCTAATCATGCTACAACCCTTCATGTTAGCAGAGACACTGAGGTTTAGTTGGGCGTACTTATGCAGCAACAAAGCAAAAGTGTCGCCAACTTATACTATTCGAATTATTTCTTGACACAGATTATGTTTATGTGCTTAATGTCTTGTTGACTGTTGTTATTTGTGAGTCACATACCATATCTGTATTAGGATTAGACAGTGCAACACGCTGTGAATACTTACCGAGATATTAATATCAACAAAAATGCAATTAATGTCATCTGGTTTGTGTGTGTGAGGGGAAGAATATGTGCAGACAATATTCCTCTGTTTTAGATAAATGAAACCAGCAGATACAGTTTTATCTGTAATTTAAAGACATTCAAACATTTGATTTATTTTATTTTGCATCTTACATTTTGTTTAAATACTTTTTTAATTCCTAAAACTTTATTTTCACCAGTTACAATTTGAACTGTAATTTATATTGTATTAATTTAGTTTATTTATTTAAATCCATTTTTTTTAGGTAACACTTTAGTTTAGGGTCCAATTCTCACTATTAACTAGTTGTTTATTAGCATGCTAGGATATTGGCTGTTTATTAGTACTTTTAAAGCACATAATAATGCCTTATTGTCCATGACCATATTCTAGGTCCCTTAATCCTACCCAATACCTAAACTTAACAATGACCTTACTTTCTATTAATAAGCAATAATTAGGAGTTTATTGAAACAAAGGTACTAGTTAATAGTGATAATTGGGCCCTAAACTAAAGTGTGACCAGACTTTTCACCAGTTGCAGTTTGAACTGTAAATCTTTTTATTTTATCTTCATTTTGTTTTGTTTATGACTTTGTACTGTATGTTTGTGTGATAGGAATTGGAGGGCAGTATTGAAGGCTGGGTTGATGATGTAGCCGGGCTGTGTATTCTGAGGGAGTCTCTCTCCAGTGGCCTCAGCGCTGATGACCTCACAGTCCTACACGAGAGACTGATATTACTCCAGAGACAGTGGGAGGAGACCTGTCACCAGGTACACACATCAGCCAAACAGTCTGTCCCTTCACATTTGTTTTACACCATAACACAGTCTATGCACATTTGCCTGCCATGAGCACAGGCATTTCATAAGACTACAGCACAGAGAACAAACTCAGACACTGAAACGCTAAGTTTTCATAAAGTTTTAATAACTTTAGATAATGGCTATGTAAAGGGATGAACTGATTTGGAAATGTATTAAAATATTGGGTAAAATCAGTAGGTTGATTTTCTCATAAGATAGTATACCTCTTAGTAAAATAATTATTTATATAATATAATTATATATGAACAATAAAAAAAATTTTAGTTTAATAATTTTCTTAATCATTGACAAATTGTTGTTCTAAGCATAAATCGAACCAAATTTAGTAAGGCTTATTCTTATAACAAGAAAAAAAAAACAATAAATAAATGCAAGGTATATAATAAACTAGTCTTAATATGTTATGCAATTCTTCTCCTTAAGCAAATATATCTTGCTCTAAGGATGTTTAGATATTTTTACTTGAAATACTTTTGGTAAGAAAGGATCTTGGGAAGGAAGTTTGGTGCATGACACTTCCGAGATTGAAATACTACCTGTCCATCTGACATCTTCCTGTCGTTATTCTGCTCAGCAACCTTTTTGCACCTCCTCTCATTCTCATTTTCCTTTATGTCATTCTTTAATCATACTCTGGGCTCACTGAGCACTTCTTAATCAATCGTTGTCTGTTATCCCCGCAGCTGTCCCTGCGCAGGCAGCAGGTGAGCGAGAGGCTGAACGAGTGGGCTGTGTTTAATGAGAAGAACAAAGAGTTGTGTGAGTGGCTCACCCACATGGAGAGCAAGGTCTCACAGAATGGTGACATCAGCATTGAGGAGATGATTGAAAAGCTCAGGAAGGTGATATTAACATATTCTCAACACATTTATTTCTTATGAAATCACTGAGAAATTGGTAAATAATTATCAAAATTTAATTACAAAAAAACATCATGTGGTTTAAAAAAGTATATGTTATTTCTAAGTATAGATTCTATTTTATTTAAACTAAAGGAAGTCAAACTTATTTCACTGAATACAGTATGTGAAAACCAAAATGTATAGTCATGAATTTTCAACTGAACAAATGTGCAATCTCTTTGTTATCAGGACTATCAGGAAGAGATCTCAGTGACCACGGAGAGCAAGCTTCAGCTGGAACAGATGGGGGAGAGACTGGCTCAGGCCAGCCATGAAAGCAAAGCTGCAGAAATCCAGTACAAACTCAGCAAAGTCAATGAGCGCTGGCAGCATCTGCTTGACCTTATAGCAGCTAGGTGAGTCTCTAAAATGAAACTGCAGGACAATGGTTTTTATAATTGTTGTACATTTACAATTGTTTTACCGTTTGTATCTTTTATGCTTGTGAGAGTTGACCTTTGCCAGAACAAGCACAGAAGGTTTTAATTCATAAATACAAAAATATATTTCCAGATGGGTCAGTCAGTTCATTTGGCGCATGGGTGGAAAGGAAGTATTTTGCACCAGCACCTTAAACATGACACCATGTTGTCTCTGGATATGACTGGGGCAGTCGAGTTGCCTGCAGTCAATTCTGAAAGCTTCTCACATGTGTGGTGTTGATTTCACTGTGGCCCATATGTGAGAGGGTGTCATCCTCTCTCTCTCTCTCTCTCTCTCTCTCACTCACTCTCACTCATGTGCATTAGCTCTGTGTGACAGTTGCGTCTTGAGTTTTCCCTAAGAGTTTATGGAGAATAGTAGTAGAATGACATGATTTTATTTGGATTGAATTAAAGAGCTAAGTGCAGAGTTTTTTGCTCTAGCAAAAGTATCCACATTGTTCAGAAGCTGACATATATTCAAATCTTTCACACACACACACACTGACACATTTTTACTTGGGTATCTGAACAGGGACATTCCACAGACTTCTATTGTTTTTTGTTTGTTTGTTTTTTATACAGCTAGTTACACAGCTAGTAACTTAACCTTAACCAACACTCTAACCCTAACCGAAATTTGTAATGCATTTTTACCATTTATACAAATGATGATGTCACCAAAAGGGTTTTTCTTTTTGTGTCAGATTTAGCTCACTTCTGAGCACAAATACATCCCCAACATATTAAGTAGGTACACATTTCCAATGTTTTGGATTTCCAATTTACTTTCTTTCTTGTTTTTTTTTTTCAATTTACTTTTTTTCTCAACATCAACAATAATAGACCATTAAAAAAAGCTGTAAAACAAATTATTTCTTAAGTTAATTAAATTACTTTTGATTAAGAATCTAAAAATTAGTTGCTATGTTTGTTTTTCTCTTAAAATCTTTATTTAATGAATTAAACTTGTTTTAGTTTGTGTTTATATATATATATATATATATATATAATGAGGCACACATTCCCACATTCCAGTGCTCTGATCAGCACATGCTAATGACTGGCTTCTTATTTTAGTCACAGAAGTATTTGTCACTCCCAGCTGCTCATGCCTCCACTTGAGAACAGTTCACATACACACACACACACACACACTACCCACTAACAGGGCAGTAGAGAAAGCCTGGACACTGTTATTCAGACGAAAGAGAAGGTGACTTTTGACAGGGAAGTTTTTCTTTATTCTGGGACACTTGATTGAGAAGATTATGCCCAATGGTGCTGGAAATGGGCACTGATGACATGGCAGAATGCCCTGAACAGGACTCTGATTTGCCAGAGTGTGACTGCGACATTAACAGGCAGGAAAAGATATATTTACTTATAATTTACATATTACATATTCTGCTGATGTTTGAGATATGTGAATGAGGTACTGGAAGTTGCAGTGTATTGTATTTGATAATTTGTGTCATACTTTGACATGTCTAATTGTGAAGTGTCTAAAATGAGCTTTATTAGTTTATGTGGGTGAAATATATATTTGAGATGTTTAACTTAATCACCAGATATGTTACTGTTAAAATGTATATTATTGATCAGGGACACATTGTTGAATTTTCTTGAAGAAAACGCTTTACCATGCTGCATTGGTTGACCTTCCTTTGTTGTTGTGGTGGATTTCATTTCAGTGTGTCAGGTTTATTTCAGATTTTTATTTTTGTGCTTCAGGAATGTAGCTTAAAACACTGTCACACTGAACCCTTCAAATGCCAGGGTTACAATAAGGGCTTTATATCACCAGGTCAAACTCTGTCGATGTTTTTTTTTTTTTATTGCTACAGCAAAACCTAGCTGAAGTTGAAACATGAATCAGTGCTTTGCTCTATATCTAACCTGTGATAAGACATTTTTCTGAGATATAAATCTGGAATGGTGGCACTGCTGAAACATGCTATGCTGGTATGCGTGACTGTGACCGTAGCACTGCATTGAGCATGTGATTCAGCAACTATAGGAAACTCTGGCACGTACTGTCTCTGCTTATGTTGTTATATTTGCAATACAGCTTGACCTCACATCAGTTAACAAGTAATAAATTAACTTCATAAATCATAATTTTTTTTAAATTAAACTAATACAATGTAATGCAAATGTTGTATTTAAGAATATGTAAACTATGTTTATATTTACATTGAAAATGTTAAAAATATGCTAGAGAAATGCTATTGTAAGCAGTATCATTGTCTAAGCATTATTTTCAGCTTATTGTGCTGTGATAACTGTAGAAATTAACAATATTGTTGTTGTCATGGTCATTACTATTTAAACTGGTTTTATTCAGATTAAAAATAAATAGAAACTACTATAATACTAAATATGCATTATTAATATTATTAAATAATCATAATATTGTATTTATATTGAAATTAAATTGAAAAACTGTATTTTTGTCTGTTAAACTTAAAGGCATACTCCATCCAAAAATGAAAATTCTGTCATCATTTCCTCACCCTCAAGTTGTTGCAAAATTGTACGAGTTTCTTTCTTCTTCTGAACACAGATATAAAAGCGAGACCATCTCAACTCAAGTTACCTTGACTAAACATTAAATATGTTTGCACTGCGCATTCCTCGTTCATATAGCTTGTCATATTGTACTTTTTTCATGTTTTCTGTATTTGTGATTATGCTGAATCAGAATCTGATGTTAATAGAAGTTGTCTCTGGGGGTCTTTAGGGTAAAGAAGTTGAAGGAGACACTGGTGGCTGTGCAGCAGCTGGATAAGAACATGAGCAGTCTCCGCTCCTGGCTGGCTCAAGTGGAGACTGAACTTTCACGTCCCATCGTCTATGAGACCTGTGACTCACACGAGATCCAAAGAAAACTCAACCAGCAACAGGTAACGCACACAGAAATTATATTCATTCACAGACAAAGACACAGAAACATTTCTTACTATATTTTAAATTTCAAGTGAAATGAGTTTAAAAAAGATTTAGACAAAAAGATCTTGACTTCATCTGACCCAGTTACTATTTTAGCATTATCATGTGTCCTTACTTTACCCAGCAACAACCAGCACACGTCATCCTCTTCCTGCATTAGAGACAAATGATATCAATGTATGAAATCAATGTAAAAAAGGCGAGGATTCTACATTTTTTTTGGGCCTGATGATGCAACAACATAATTTATGGAGAAATGGATGACTGCAAGCTCTTCTGCCTAATAAACTGAAATGAAACAGAAACTGCCTATATGATTGTGATGTCAGATGTCTTGAGAAGCTCAGTACAAATCTTCTAACTCTGCAGGATCTGCAGCGTGACATCGAGAAGCACAGTACCGGTGTGGCGTCAGTGCTGAACCTGTGTGAGGTGCTGCTGCACGACTGTGATGCCTGTGCCACAGAGACTGATTGTGAATCCATCCAGCAGGCCACACGCGGCCTGGACCGCCGCTGGAGAAACATCTGTGCTGTTGCCATGGAGAGGAGGCTCAAGTGAGTGTGTTTCAATCTGTATAGTATGTTTTTACTGTGTTTCTGAGCACATAAATGCAGCCTTGCAGCAATATTTGACCAATAGTGATGAAAGTGAACCACAGTACAATCAAAAATAATTCTGTAAAGGTAAGAATATTGAAAGTGAGCTGTTTAGGATAGTTAAACCAGGCCATCAGAGGAACAGGTATGAGAGCATGTCATGCCTACACTGTAAAAAAAATATTGTTGGTTTTAACTTAAAAAAGTAAGTAACCTGGTTGCCTTAATTTTAAGTTGATTGAACTGGAAAAAGTGAGTTAATACAATGAAGGAGATTGATTTAATCATCAGAAACTCAAAATAATGTTATCTCAACTAAATAAATTATTTAAGTTGATTTGACAAAAGAAAAAATGTTGTGATAACAAATCTTGAAAATATTTTTTTACAGTGTACTGGCTCATTGAATGCAGGTTAATTCAGAGCTGACTTTAGTAGATGATGAAATGTTTAACAGCTGTCTTTTTAAAATGGATTATATTCTACAGTTATATTTCCAGGTACATTTTTAGTGTAGACGTTTGAACCCCACTGTATGTGTTTCTGCAGGATCGAGGAGACATGGAGGTTGTGGCAGAAGTTTCTGGATGATTACTCCCGTTTTGAAGAATGGCTGAAAGTGTCCGAGAGGACAGCAGCTCTGCCCAACTCCTCTGGAGTGCTGTACACCGTCGCTAAAGAGGAGCTCAAGAAGTTTGAGGTATAATGAGATCCACAGTGAGAGTCTCTGGGGTTGAGGTACTGAGTGAGAACAGGGGTCCCAATTCCAATCCTCACGCCTCTCCACTCTGCATAGTTTGTATATCGCCCATGTCTTACACCCCTTATTCAGATCATCTGCTCCATGAATGGGGGCCTCGTGATTGACAGGGTCCCTACGACGTGTTCACTGTCTCACTGCTATCATCCAATGACTACTATCCAGTCCAATTCAACATTTTAGTCTTTTACAATTTGAAAGTTGTCATTGTTGACTGAAACAAATGAATAAACCTTGCTAAACGTGCTAAAACTATATCTTTTAAAAATGCTTCACATAACTCAAACTAAAACTAAAGTGAGTTTTACCAATTTGTTTGTAAATCTCAAACTTTGTTTGCACCGTATGTAATGGTGTTATTTGCAATGGTTTGATACTTCCAGCTGGTCTGACTTACATTGCTATTATATCACAGGCATTTCAGAGACAGGTGCAGGAGTGTCTGACCCAGCTAGAGCTGATCAATAAACAGTATCGAAGGCTGGCACGTGAAAACCGCACAGACTCGTCCTGCCAACTACGACAAATGGTGCATGATGGGAACCGACGTTGGGATATACTACAGCGGAGAGTAGCAGCCATCTTGCGCAGGCTTAAGGTGATGTATTATCAATTTGATTTTACACTATTTAAAACTATTTTACACTATGTTTGGGGTCAATACGGTTTATTCAGGAAGAATAATAGAAGGATTTCATGTGGAGCATCAGTGACACTGAAGAGTGGAGTAATGATTCTGAAAATTCAGCTTTGCATTACATGAATAAATTACATTTTAAAATGTATTGAAATAGAAAACAGTTATAATTATATTCTATAAAATTACTGTTTTTACAGTTTTTTTATACTTATACATTACAATAAACAAATCTTGCCTTGTTGATACATTTTAATTACATTCAGAACCTCTGTAACAATCAGTATTGATGCAGAACCTAAACTACACTGAGGAGCTGTGTGATTCATTGACTTGTTCCTCTTCTGTCCTGCAGCATTTCATTGGTCAGCGAGAGGAGTTTGAGACAGCCCGAGATGGTATTCTGGTATGGCTGACCGAGATGGACTTGCAGCTCACCAACATCGAGCATTTCTCAGAGTGTGACGTTCAGGCCAAGATCAGGCAACTAAAGGTGTGTATGTGTATGTGCGTGTGAACGATTAGCATTTAAAATATTAATTACATATAAAATTTTCATTCCTAATACTATAGGCAAAAAAAAAGTTTTTCTCCATGTTTTTATTCATTGACATGCATGATATACATTTTAGAACTGGAAAACTCTTCTCTACATCTGTAGAACATTTACTTAATTTAAAATGAATTTAAACTGAATTTGTCATCACTTGTGTGCCAAAGGCATTCCAGCAGGAGATCAGTCTGAACATGGGAAAGATGGAGAGTGTTTTTGGGCAGGGGGAGGTGCTGATGGAGAAGAGTGAGCCTCTGGATGCTGCTGTCATAGAGGAAGAGCTGGATGAGCTGCAGAGATACTGTAGGGAGGTGTTTGGTCGGGTGGAGCGCTACTACAGGAAACTCACACGCCTGCCGGTGAGACATATTCACATGAATACAACATAGGTGCTGGGCGGTATGACGATATATAGTTGTGACGAAATAAAGAGTCTAACGTTACACATTTTGTTATATTGTTTTTAACGGAGAATGTGTAACACACTTTAGAAAGAAACATACATTAATGAAAAAATAAAGAGCAGGATTTGAATGATGTTAAAAAGAGTTAAGTACAATAATACAACTGTTTACACCTGGCCACTTCATGCGTTCTCTAAGATCGTATAGCTATCTGATTTATCAAAATGATTCTGCCCTGGTATGATGATATGAAACAGCCCTGGTAAGATAATTTAGTTTTTTTACTTTTAATGATGGTTAAAAGGCTTACTTTCACTTTGAAAGGCTTTGAAGGCTTACTTTTGAAGGCTTACTTTTACTTTTAATGATGATTACGACTTTTTTACTTTGATTTGCGATAGTTTGTTCGTTGACTTGATGAAAAGATGTTCAGCTGCTCATCTGCAGTGATTCGTGTTGCAGTAGCGCTGTCATATCTGGCTATAACGTTACATATAGCCTATAACACGCTCTCACACGTTTATTTCTATTTTTGGGATAAGTAAAATTTACATATGTTGTTTCAACAACCAGATGCATTTACACTTGTCCAGTTTCATCCTGAATGTGGCCCAGACCACCTCCTGAAGTGGTTTGAGCGATCGGATTCAAATTCATCACAAATGCGTTTCGGAGGGCATTTACACCTGGTTCAGAAAACGCACAAAGTGTAAACAGTCTCTTAGACCGCATCTGATCCCAGATTCAGTTCTCTTTCGTGGCTTATTGCATTTAAATGGACAAATAGACGCACAATTATGTCAAAAAGCCTATTGTGGGGAGTATTCATATGGCATAAACACAAATGGCTATGTGCTAAGTGAACATAAACAGTTGGGGTGAAAACCACATGAGTGTCATTGTATTAGATCCATGCATTCTGTCTAAAAGTGACAGCAGCTTAATACACCTCCTGCTGTCATTAATGTTAATCAAACGACAAAGAGAAAATCACTCACTGCTCTTGCCTGAATAACTTTTTATAAGGATCAATGTATATTCAATTCATACAGTGAATTTTCTTTTGCCAGAGTAAAGGTGGTTCTGACTTTCGTGCTACCTCTTGTTCACAGCTAACCGATGATGAGTGTGAAGGCTCAGATCGTGAATTGGAGCCAGGTGACCTCTCAGACCTTCAGTGGGGTGAGGATGATGCCATGTGCCAGACAACTAGCAGACCACCTTCAGTTGCCACTGCTCCTGCTTGCACAAACGGCTCTGGCCGGGACACCCCTGCCAGCGTAGACTCCATCCCTCTGGAATGGGACCATGACTATGACCTGGAGCCCATGGGCCATACCATGTCTTCAGAGCAGGGTAGACAAAAAGATGAGGATGAGGAGTTATTGTCTATGGCCACTGCAGCACTTACAAGTGAGTGTGCTTGACTTGAAGAATGTTCATGAGATAATGCTCCAACTGAGTGTCCAACACCCTGGCCTGAACTGGTCTTCTCTATAAAATGTTGGTTTGTCTTGTTGTGTATCTCTTTTTCCACAGATGTAGTGATTCCTGAGAGCCCTGAGGCTTATATAAAATTAACAGAAAAAACATTGAGGTCCTCCTCTGGTAGGCAATATGTTGTGGCATGCTACATTTAATGCTAATACTAAATTAAACTTCACTGCATGCTGAAGAGTCCCTTTAAATATCATGCATGAATTACATGATTTTTATGTATTTTTTTAAAGTGCATGTCAAACATTCTCATGGCAAAGGATGCTAATAGCCATTCGATTTAAAGAAAAGGGAGAAAATAAAGTTTTAAAGCACCTTCTTGAAAATAAACCAAAAGTGGTAGTTGAGATTTTGATGACAGAATGAGTTTTAAAGTGTAGTCAGTGAAAATAATTCACAGGATATTGTTCATTAAATCTACTAGATTGTACAGATAAGGCTGTGTCCTCTGTTGTATTTAATATATTGAGAGCAGAATAAAAGAAAAAGCAATGAATCTGAATAAAAGTCCATAAAAAATAACTTTTAATTACTTACCTTATTAACTTTTTTTCTTTTTATGTATTTAATTTTTTTTATTTATTTCTGTGATGGCAAAGCTGAATTTTCAGCAGTCATTGTCTTCAGTGTCACATGATCCTTCAGAAATCATTCTATGCTGATTTGGTGCTAAATAAACATTTTTTTATTATTATACATTTTCAGGATTCTTTGATGAATAGAAAACTCAGAAGAACAGCATTTATTTGAAATTGAAAGCTTTTGTAAGATTATAAACGTATTTAATGTCACTTTTGATCAATTTAATCCATCCTTGCTAAATAATTATTTCTTTAAAAAAAAATGATAAAGTGATGTCACTTGTGTAAAGCGGATCTTAGGTTGTGTTTACGGTGGCCGAGAGAGCTCAACTCACTGCAACTGAAGAAAACACATGCAAAAGAAAAAACACCAACACATTAAGAAAATTAAAATTTTCTTCATCAGTTTGACAACTCATGTGCTGCAAATACTCACAATGCACATACGACCAGGATGTTAAAATAAACAAAAAATCTTGACAACACCTCTGACAAGTCGACATTGAACATTAAGTATGTCCCTGCCAGGTTCACACTTGTTGGGGTGCCCTTTAAACATTGTGATCTGTGCCATGTTTCTGTATTTGCTTGCATTGTGAGTATTCGCAGCAAATGTGTTGTCAAACATGATGTTTTCTTAATTTTCTGATGATTTCTTTCTATTTGCATGTGCTATTTCTTCAGTATCTATTGCATTTCTTCAGTTGCAGTGCATTTAGCTCTTCCAGCCACCGTACATGCATGGATCAGATTTACATATACTCGTTCATTCCAGCATGTAACAGTCAACATTAACATTGATATTTTGTTTAATTTTTCACTGTTATAACTAAATATATTTTAAATATAGTACAAGCAAGTTCTCTGTATAACATTCTCATTCCATATCCAGCAAATAACATGAATAAAACTTAACATGTTTTAAAGCTTATAAAACTCCTAATGCATTCACAATGTGATCAGATTGATCCTTATTTTTTAAGATGGTCATGTGACATCCCACGCTAATCAATACATGAACTCTTGCAGGTGAAGCAGTTCGATTATTAGACAATATGCTGGACACCAGCCGTTACAGTCACCAGCAGACAGATGGCACTATGGGTTGCCACGACACCTCTTACATGGGCTATGTAAGTACAGATTCAATGTACTGCTCAGCCCGTTTAGTCTGTAATGACGGTATGTGGCAAAGTTAATAAACATTTGATTTGTTCCTTTGCTCTGCACAGATGCGGTTAATGGACGATTGCCGTGGCAGTCTGAAAGCGGTCAAGAGGGTTGAGGGCGAGCTGGAGGAGGAAGAGGACAATCTCTCAGGCCTGAGCAACCCTGATAACACCGAGACACAGAGCACAGGTTAGTCCAGCACAGAGACGCTGAGGTTGCAGAGTACACATTTATGTTTAAATGTGATGGCATTGTTATAATTGTCATATTTCAGGTGTCATTGAGCGCTGGGAGCTGATACAGGCCCAGTCTGCTGAATCAGATCACAGGCAGAGAGAAGACCTGGCGCTATGGCAACAGATGACCTCTGACCTGGACAGCATGGAGGCGTGGCTCGGCCAGGCCGAGGCCAAGTTAGCTGAGCTGAGAGGGAAAGATAGTGCGGATATACACACTATTGAGCAAAGAATTAGAAAACTCAAGGTTTGTGTTTCCTACTTTGTTTATAAGAACATATTTGTACTTGTGAATATGTGTTTGTGCGTATTTGAAAAGGTCACACAGGGATTTACAGTAGTAAGTGCTCCTTCCTAATGCTATTGGTGGGCTGCATAATTGGCCAAAGCTTTGGAAAATCATCGCAAACAAGATTTACAGCGCTATTCTGTTTATAGTCTTAAAATCCAGAGAAGAATTTGGATGGTAAACATTTCAACATAAAAGCCAACAATGTTATTATCACATGACCTTGTTATGCGTCGAATCAGAGTGTTCATTAAAGGCTATTTTGCTATGGGTTCCCTCTGGAATAAATAATGGGTTTTCAATTTTAGAGTAAAATAAGGTTTGTGGTTCACTGTTCTAAAAGCCCTTTAGAAATCCCAAGATGACCCATGGTGAATGCCATACAAATTGGCATCATGACTTACCAGCTCCGTTGCCGCTAAAAATAAGATGCCCTTCTAATTGGGCAATGAATCAGAATGAACATTCTGCAGTAGAAAGGTGTTTCTGTACACTGCTGTGCTGTTTAAACTTTTGGGATGGGTAAGGTTATTTTAAAGTTTTTGAAAGAAGTCTCTTTTGTTTACCTAGGCTGCATTTATTTGTTCAAAAATCCACTAAAAAAGAAGGTTACACTTTATTTTGATAGTTCTACTAACTATAAGTAACTTTTCAACTACATGTCAACTAAGTGTCATTAGAGTATTAGTAGGCTGTAGTAGACTGTTAGGTTAGGGTTAGGTGTTAGGGTTCAGGTTAGGAGAACAAGTTTAATTGTAGTTGCTAAGTTACTTACAGTCAGTTGAATGTCTGTTGGGTAGGGTGACCATATTTTGATTACCAAAAGCCAGGACACTCGGCCCAGCAAACACATGGGCCAACTCAAATGATACTCGAAGTTTACTCAAAGATACCTTATTAATTTCAATACATTTAAAGTAGGTTATGCCTCCTCTGTATGGATAGAAAATTGTTATATTGTTAAATGAAAACAGGACAGTTGGTCACCCTACTGTTGGGGGACCAACAAAATAAAGTGTTAGCAGATATTAAGCTGACAGTCTACTAATACTCTAATGATAGTTAGTTGACATGTAGCGGCAAAGTTACTTATAGTTAGTTGAATGTCTAAAGTGGACTATCAAAATAAAGTGTTACCAAAAAGCATATTGTGAAATATTTATAATTTAAAAACTTGTTTCTATTTTTACATATTTCAACATGTTATTTATTCCTGTGAAGGCAAAGCTGAATTTTTAGCATCATTTCTCTGGTCTTCAGTGTCACATGATCCTTCAGAAATCATTTTGATATGCTGATTTGGTCACAGGGCAGGCCCACATTGTATTTTCAATAGTTTCCCAAAATCTCATCGAAACAGTATGGTTTCTATCTTCTTTGTTCCTGAAAGTACAAATGTACTATTTTTATATTACTGTAAATATAATAGTTAGTCATGCCCGAACTGTAACATATATTTGTCACTGACAGCTCCATATGTGGGTTGCTCATATATCTACACTGTTAAATAAATATCATGGGCAGACACACAGACATTTCAAATCAGGCAGGATGTCAACAACAGAAATAAACAAGAGGAAATCCACAGCATCCCGTTGACCCATATACAGAGTGTATGTTGTATCCTGATTTCACCAGTTTATTTTTAGTTGCACACAAACTAAAACATGTACACACTCCAAAGATTGTAAGTGGACCTTCATTTCAGAGCAATTTAACAACAGAGATAAACAATTGAAGTCCTTCTTAACCAAAATAAGATTTGCACTAAATATCACAATGCAATCTCAAAAACCAACACACAACATTCTAAAACAAACACTTTATTTTGTTTCAACAGGAGTTACAGAAGGCCATGGATTCCCATAAGTCCAAAGTACTATCCATCAACTTAAATAGCGTTGCACTCCTCCAGTCAGACTCACAGGAGAGCCAGGAACTGAAAGCGAAACTCAAGGAGATGAACTCACGCTGGGATCGACTGGGAAAATCGCTTAAGGATTGGAGAAAAGCACTCCAGGATGCTCTGATGCAGTGCCAGGTACACATAGACACAGCACCTGCTACATTACCCATCAAAAATTTGAGGTCCGTAAGATCATTTCTTTGAAAGAAAGTATACTTTCATTCAGCAAGGATGCACGAAATTGATCAAGACATTTATAATGTTACAAAAGATTTTTTTTTTCTAATAAATGCTGTTCTTTGAACTTTCTATTAATCAAATCCTTCAAAATAATATATCATGGTTTCCACAAAAATATTAAGGAGCACAACTTTTTTAACATTGATAATAAGAAATTAGGTAACTTTTGAACGGTAGTGTACATTAAAAGCACACACACATGGGCAAATACTGTCACTCACACTTTTTGCTTCTCTACAGGAGTTTCATGAGCTGAGTCATGGTCTTCTTCTCTGGCTGGAAAACATTGACCGCCGGAGGAATGAGATTATCCCAATTGCGTCAGGGCTAGATCGCCATACAATACGAGCTCATTACAGGGCGCTAAAGGTACCTCTGAACAGGTCACTTCTTTTTGGTATGGATGGACATGAACTGAATACAAATTTGCGTATTTACCCAAAACTGAATGCAAAATAAATACAGTTTAAGAAAAGAGCACCCCATGAGATAGTATGTTGAAAATAATATGGCCATCTAGTGTACTTTAAAGTATGTTTTTTGGCATTACATTATAATAATAGTAGTTCATCCATAGTCTAAATGTCTGCCAAGCTTAACTACATTGATGCACGTTTGTGTGCAGCAAATCCAGCGGGAGCTGATGGAGACTGAGCAGAAGGTGGTCGGTCTGCAGGAGCTCTCGGGGCAGCTGCTGGTGCAGGCACATGGCAGCGAGTGTCTGGAGGCCCAAGAGAGGGTGCACGTCATCGGGAACCGTCTGCAACTACTCCTGAAGGCTGTGGACACAGACCTAGAGCTGCTAGAAAAACAACTCCAGACTTCTGAGAACAGACAGGTCAGCCTACATGCACACCCAATGGCTGATTTTCCATCAGTTTGACAGATAAAAAAGGGACATTGACCATAATATCAGACTCCATTTCTAAGCTAAAACTCAGATCTCCACCCAACTCACAGGATGCGTCCCTCTGGTCTGTTACGGATGACGCAGAGACTTCTGGATCGGTCAGTCCTGTTTCAGATGTCAGCGTTTCTACTAAACGACAATCGGTAATGCATCTCCTCTCCCTTTTTTTGCTTTTGTTTCGGGCATGCCGTGACTGCTAAAATGAGGCGGTTGAGCTTATATCGGGGGGCATTTTTATTATGTTAGTTCCACTTAAATATTTCTCATTGACAAAATCCCCTTGGATATTTGCTCACTTCCTCATCCCCCTGTAGAAGATTTTTATTTGTGGCTCTAGAAGTATTTATACAAGAAACACTGGCTTTACCTTTCAGACGTGCTTTGAATCAAATCAAGCCACAGTCAGTTTTAGTGGATTTGTTTGAAGGTGTCTGTGCGGAAAGCCAGTTTTCTTGCACCTTGCAAGATTTTTTTTTTTTTTGTCATTGCCACCTATTTTGCTGCCGCCTTTTGTTTTGTTGTTACTGGTTTGTGTTTATACTGATGGCCTGGCTATATGTCTCTGCTTGTCACCACAAGCTTTGTCTTTATTTGCTGGGACTGAAACATTCTTTCTTTCTTTTACCCCTCCCTCCCTCCCTTTTGCTCATTGCACAACAGCTACGAGGCAAATGTAGTGTGTCAGAACCAGGATCCTCAGCCAGGCTTCCACGTCACAGGTACCCGTTTCTCGGCTTTAGAATGCAAAAGGGATGTTGGAACTCATTTTAGATCCAGATCCTAGATCCATAAGCATCAGAACCAGAGGTCAGATCCTCTGCGGTAGGAGTTCACATGGGCTGTTCAGTTCTAAGAAATGAATTTGTTTTGGTTCCAAGTCAAGGATTCTTAGTAATCTTATGTGTTTTTCCACAAGAACATAATATTGAGTCTGACAATGTAACTTTGTGTACTTTGAACACAAAAACCATTAAGAAACTATGTTCAAAATCCTCATGGGTCCATCATCTTTCTCCATTTTTTGATGCCATGTGAAAAAATATTAAAATGTATCAGTCATTTTCCAAACCATGTACTTATTTTTTTTTTATTGCTTTCATTGTTTTTTGCAGTTTTATTTTTATGATACTCTCACGCTCGTCTCTGCCTTATATCAGAGAAAAATACATAAAGGCAGCCATATTGTGTAAAACCTAATAGTAACTTTCATTAACAACATTAGCAAACAAAACATGTATGTAATGCTTAACAAAAGTTTGTTTTTTTAATTTACATTCAAAAATAATGCCATGACACTTCAATTCATATATATTTAATATTTGAGTGTACATGAATTACTATTTGGTTAAGCATTATATCATGTTTTTTGTGACTTCTTAATGAAATATATTATGAAGTATTACAAAATATGGTAGTGTCTTTGATTATAATACAAATATGGGAAGTGATATCTGTCAAAGATTTAATATGTGCAATCTTTCAGCAAGTTATGATTATATGCAAATAGCAAAACATTTTCAGGCACTAAAAATGTTTTTGCTTGACTTAAGATGACGAATCACATGATAAAAGGAGTGTTACTCTAGACATTTCCGTGTGTGTCATTAGAATGGACTTATAAATGATGATCTATCGGTATGATGTTTTGTAGGTTGCCCAGCGGTACTGGCTGCGTTTCATCTCACTCTGGTTCCTCCGGGTCACAAGGTGGCGCTGCTGTGGCTCACTGCCAGCCCTTTCTGCTGCGAGTGCTCCGGGCGGCTCTGCCACTGCAGCTCCTACTGCTGCTCATAGTGGGCCTGACCTGTCTGGTGCCCATGACTGAGCAGGATTACAGCTGTGCCCATGCCAACAATTTCGCCCGTTCTTTTCATCCCATGCTCCGCTACACCAACGGCCCACCACCTGTATGAGACTTTACTAATGCCTTCATATGTTTCATATTACTCTGCAGGACACAGAATGGACTAGTATTAGCCAAAGCTGATTGTTCCTGTTCCTGTATAGTTACTGCTGCTAATTTTAATTTTTCACTAAACTGTGTACTCTTGAACTCATTGCAGTGTAGACCAGTGTTGGACAGCCAAACTGGTGAACCTCTTCTGTCCCACGGAAACAGAGGAAAAATCATATATAATTATGTATTAAATAGCACTGACATACGCATAAGGTACTGCACTTATACCGTCCAAGTAAATGGCCAAAATTATTTGCTTAGGCTAAAGAATGTTTTATTTTTATTTTTTTATTATTTAAAACTGTAGAAAAAGTTATTTTCAATATTATTTAAATAAGATTTTGCATGACAATTCAAAAGTATTTTTTATTTTATGGCATGTTCACAACTTTTTTTTTTTTCTCCAGAAATGTAAAACAGTCATTACCATCATCTCGTGAGATTAGAATTATAAGGTTCTATCTCCGTTTAGGGTAGTTCTGAGATATTGAGCATCAAAGTTTTTACATCCCAGCTGGCAAAACTGTTATGTAGTATAATCTTCTATTATAGCTTTATCTATTAATCTTTTTTTTTTTTTTACAAAAATAACACCACACAGGCATTAATAAACACCTAATGGATCAGATTATGTCAAAAACTCAATTTTGACCAAAAGTGGAGATAGAACCTTATAATTCTAAGCTCACAATCTGTTAATTTATGTGATATGACAATATGACAAAAAACATTCATTAAGATGACAATGTCTATGCCTATTTATCTATGTACAGTTTGCTAATGCTGACAATAAAGACACATCTTTTCATTTAGTATATTTTTCAACTATTCTTTATAATTAATTGAGCCAAATTATTGAGCTTCAAAATCAAAACTTGTACAGTACCAATCATAACATTCAAGTATCAAATATAATAGCTGATAAATGCAAAGTACAAGTCTACTGGACTATTACCAAACACATTCACAGATTTGCGAGAAAAGGTGACGATGTAGTTTACGTCGTAATGCGAGACAGTCAGTGTCCTTCACATTGAGGAAATTTAGCTCGTTAGCATTTGCATGTCATGTTAACGTGGCTATAAAGCCCAATTACAGCACTTTAAAAGAGCAAAAATAGGACTTAAGATTTTGTGATATCAGCCAACCAATAAGTAAACGTCTTTGTACAAAAAAAGATGCTACTAATGTCGCCACTGATCACTGAGCCATTTGAGTTAATGTTAACATTAAAAAGAGCAATGATTCGTATCGAGAAATAGCTCTCTAATTGCGAGAATAAATTACTTTTTTCTTGTTTTTCTTTGTTCTAAGAGTAACTTTTCTCCTCTGGTGTTTTCAGTTTGGTCACACTTTATATTAATGTTCATGTTACTTTTATATTAAGACCTGATTGTAATTATACATATAGCTAATGTTATTGCAATAATGTAAATAATTAGTAACATGAAAAAATTAGTTAACATATACCACTTGATAGATCAGATTTGACAGTGAAATGTCAATATAACAACACCTGTTTTCTAATCCAGTGGTGGACTAATCAATGTCTAAATGTTTAGCAATTAAACAGATTTTACTTGCAAATATGCTAGTTTCTAGTGCACTTCAAAGGCTCTTGGTTGTCCTTTTTTATTTTATTTATTGTTTGTGATGTTAAAGCTGTCACTCAATAGATATTAAAAGAAATCTTTTAAAAATTAGCAGTCTCTCAGTGCACCAGAAAGCAGTGTTGTAGTCGAGACCACCTCACTCGAGTCCGAGTCGACACCGAGACCAGAGAGAGTCGAGTCCGAGTCAAGACCGAGTCCATAGAGAGTCGAGTCCGAGACCAGAGGCGGTCGAGTCCGAGTCGAGACCGAGACCAGTGAGGGTTGACTACCTAATTTACTTTTATTTACTTAGAGAAATCCTTTTTTTTTTTTTTTTTACTGAATTTACTTAGAGTTTAAAAAATATGATCAGTTTAGGGTAAAAAAGGCCACATAGTAGGTGGTGTTAAAAGTAATTTTATTACAATTGGTCATGCGCAGTTGCGCACTAGAAAATCACCAATCACTGGGCGTGTCAATCAGTTTAAAGAAATATTTTATTAACATACATTAATAATCATGAAACATATTTTGAATTGAACTCGAGTGGACTCGGGAATAATTCCGAGTCCTAAAAAAAAATGTTCGAGTACGAGTCAATTCCGAGTCCAAATGGACACGAGTCCATGACAAGACCAAGACCATTAAAATATGGTCTCGAGACCGAGTCCGAGTCTCGAGTACTACAAGACTGCCAGAAAGCCCTTTTTCACAAGTCTGAGAAAATGTCTTAAATCCCTGTAATAAGCTTTGGGAAAAAAAAAAAAAAAATCATGAATCAAGTGAACAAGGATGAATAGTGTTTGGGAGCCAACCTGTGTGTTTCTACAAATAAGTTAATTTTCAAATGAGTTAATTTCTAGATTAAAATCTAAAGTGTACTCTGATAAGGCACAAGGAGAGACTCCACCGTTGTTTTGAATCACAGTTCTTATTCCTGATTGGCAGTCTTCACATTCTGCAGCTGTTGGGATTGTATATGGTACATAGGTCATGGGTCTGGACTTTGGCTGAGACAGCCAGTGTTGGGCTGCGTGGCTCCAGGTCCTCTGGTGGGTGGTGTGGACGGGGGGTCTTTCTCACTCTGTGCTCCCAGTCGCTGCACCTCTCCTGGGGATTGGAATCGCTGGGCATCCAGCATCTCCAGCAAAAGATCATACAGCGGGACTCGATTCTTACATTTCATATGATATAAGTGCTCCATTCCTTTGTTGCTTTCAAAAAAACAGAACATTGCGAATATAACATGTGCTTGACTGATATGAGCAATAATAAGTCAGCAACAATATATTTACTTATGGTAGCTAATAAAGGAAAGAAGTTCCCATCAACTGGGTAAAACACCCTTTTCAAATCTCTTATACAACAAAAACTAATATTGTGAAAATTATTTTAATAAACTGTTTTCTGTTTGAATCGATTTTAAAATGTATTCCTGAGATGGAAAGCTGAATTTTCAGGAACCATAACTCTTCAGTGTCACATGATCCTTCATAAATCATTCTAATATGCTGATTTGGTGCTTGACACATTTATTAGTATAATTAATGTTGAAAACAGTTGTGTTGTTTAATTTTTGTAGAAACCATGTTTTTTTTTTTTTTCAGGATTCCTTGATGAATAGAAAGTCCAACTGAACAGCATTTGTTTTAAAATTAAAAATAATTATTGCAAAAGTCTTTTCTGACATTTTTGATCAAATTGCATACATGATGAAAAATAAAATCTTACAGACCCCGATCTGGTAATGTATGGTATATGTTTTAATCTTTTGATTTGTTATCTGTCTGAGTTTACCTCATGTGTCTGATGTGGGAGAGCAGTAGCAGGAGCTGCGCCTGACGCCGGGACTGCAGCTGCAGAGAGGCACCGGATTTGCTGATCCCGTATATGAGGGCATCAGTGATGTTGTCCAGCATGCACTGCACCATGAAGCTGTCCATCAGGGGCTCCACTGGACTGGAGCAGAATGAAAATGCACCTGACCAGACAGAAAGGTGAAGTAATAACTACTTAAATGTTACATATGAATTGACACCTGGGACATGTTTAGGGTTGTGTATGTGATATGCATTATATGACATTAATTTATGCATTATTTTTACATTATTTTATGCATTTATTCATTTAAAAACATAAAAAAATCTTACTGATCTAAAACTTTTGACTGGTAGTGTATATATGTATAAACATTGTACACAGTCCGCCATGTTTATCTCCACGCCAGAGCATTTCTTCTTAAAGCTACTAATGATATATATACATATCCCAGTTTCTACTAAAATAGTAGCCTAAGCAGCACAACTGTTTTCATAATAATTTACATTGATAAAAATGAGAAATGTTTGTTGAGCAGCAAATCAGCATATTAGAATAATTGCTGAAGGATTATGTGACTGAAGGCTGGAGTTTTTACTGGATTTTTGATAAGACTTGGTGAGCATGAAAAGATTTTCAACAGTTTTTAAGAAATCTTACTGACCTATAAACTTCTATACGGTAGTGCACAGTTAAATGAGTAGCCTAAGAGATTCCAAAAAAAGGGATCCTGAAGGGGTTTATTTTGTGGAAATGACCGGCTGACTTAATTACATAAAAAGTTACATTCTAAACTATATTTATTTATTACATTTAAAATCACTACCCTTTGTTTGTTTTTAGCCTTCAGTTAGCAAGCTAACAGTTTGCCTTCTAGTTTAGCATAGCACTGGTTCAAAACAGCTCTTTTGTTTATCTAGAACATGACATGATAGCGCATGCTATGTTTTTGGTTAGACATTGATAAAAGGTGGAAGAGATTGTGTTGGAGAAGACTGACCAATCAGAATCAAGTATTCCAGGGAACTGCATAATTATGATTTGTTTGACTTTTTGTTACCACAGACTCACCAGAATTGAGAAGTATGATGGCTTTAAGACATACAAATTCCTCCAGCTTGAGTTTTAGACTCCGTAATCGAGCCACAGTCGCCAAAAGCATGTCGAAAATCTCAGCCATCCCCTCGACACATTCTCCTTCATTCCTGTAAAGAGGAAGACCAGCACTTTATATATGTTAGAAGATCGCTTGTGCCATGTACTGCATTACTGTGATATGTGCCTTAATATAAAATGGGCCTTCTTCTTTCTTTCTGTGAGCATTGTACGTTCTGTTTGCTGCTTGCGTGAGAGCAAAGACTGGACCTGTGATGGACTCTCTGTAGATATTCTGTCTTTCATCAGTTCTTATCCTATTTTAGCAGTCTCCTTTCTCTCGCTTTCTCTCTCTCTCTCTCTCTCTCTCTCTCTCTCTCTCTCTCTCTCTGTCCCATTCAACCATTTTATCTTGCTATTTCAGTCTCTTCCGAATTTTACTCTTCCTTCGTCTTCCAGGATGCTAAACCTCCAAGCTCACTTTGCTTCACTTTTTACGGATGCTAGTTTTGATTAGATTCATATTTCCTTAGTCAACGACGATGCTGTTCTTCAAAAGCCCTTTGAAGAGGCTTGTTCCCAATCAGGTCCTCTTTAATTACATGCTACTTGTGACATGGCCTTCTGTAGAGGAGCACAAGGCTATCAGGGAAAATAGTTCTTAACAATCTAGTTTTCATTTTACAATCATTCAATCTCATTTTATTAGGCGCATCCCTCTACTGGGCCAAATCCTTTCTGCGGGGATAAAACCACATGCAGCTCAATGTTCTTTAAGAAATTGAGGCAAAAGTAGGCACAAGTAGAGGCAATGCATCAGGTCAATGTGACATATCAAAAAGCTCCAATCACACTCACAGCATCAGTATCATGTAAAATTGTCTGAGAATAAAATAAAGCCGAGTTTCATTGGAGTACAACAGGTGTTCCCACAGGTTTCTGTCACGGCGTGTTGGTGTTTTGCCATTACTCTTAACAGTCCAGCGAGGCTAAAAGTAATCAAAACAACTAAATGTGTTTTCAAAGCTTCAAAAAGTGTGATTGCACTTCTCCATGTCCAAATAGATTAATAAAAGTGGTTCTAAAATAGTCATTAGATTAAGTTTAAGATATATTTTTTTTCTTTTGCCTAACTAAATGAGTTGAAAAGTGGAAATACTTAATGATTTTTTTTTTTTTTTTTTTTTTGCAGAACATCCAGTACCTATCGAGGATGAGATCCTGAGCAAAGATGAGTTTTCCAGGTGAATGAATGGACCTCCATATGAGGCCGATCATCAACACCTCCAGCCAAGAGCTCTCCAACAACTGAACCTGGTCATGCAGAGAGAGGTCCTGGAACCCTGGAGAGAACAGTCAAATCATACTTCATGCACTGTCCTTCACAAATTTGTGATCAGTAAGATGTTTTTTTAAAGGAATTGTTTCCTGAGCAGCAAATTAGCATATTAGAATGATTTCTTGGCTCACCCAAAGTTTCTATGCTATTCTGGTCCCTAAATATGGTCAAGGTCCTTCACTTAATGTAAATCTGTGGGATTTTATACGACCCTATAATAGTAAAAATCCACCCAATCCACTTTTTTAAATCCCCATAAATCATAAGCAGTGTCTCAGAACCAAGCGGCAACATTCTAATCTGAAAGATGAAGCCTACCCGGAAGTGCGAAAAACTGCAATACATCTCAAATCCGCTAGAGGGCTGTCCCAGAAGTGAGCAAATATCGATAGACGTCATGTTAAAATGTCCGTTTTCACAGTATAAATTCATATGTTTACAGTTTGGTCCCATGGACTTTTATTGTAATCTTCAATATGTTCCGCGTGCCTGACAATTTTGGAGTCGTGCCTGTGAATTTTTTTCTAACTCGTTAGTTTAGATCATATTTAGATATAAAATGTATGACAAATAAGGGCGGTTAACTTTGATTGACAGCTGATAACAGGCTGCGCCGAGTGAATTTGACGTCTCGACCATGATCTGACACAACACATCATACCACCTGTGTTTACAGTCTATGCTCAGAACAAGCCGTTTGCAAGTTGTAGCTTTTGTGACATCACAAATGCTTAGGCTCCGCCCATACCTGCTGACGGACTCTGCCCTATTAGCTTAGCTCCTCCCCTGAGTGAGCTGAACACAGTCCGCCATGTTTATCTCCTCGCCAGAGCATTTCTTATTAAAGCTACTAAGTTATTCAGTCAAGCGCAGTGAGTGATTTTCTATTTTACTTTTTTTTATTCATATCAACAGCATATACAGCAGTATGCTGCATATTACACCGTTTTCACTTTAATACACAGATCTAATATAAACATTCAATTTCTTTACTCGCTGTTTACATTCGCAGACATAACTGACTGTTTATGTGTACTTTGTGTGTTTTAGACATAACCTTGTGTGTATTTGACAGTTTAAGCGGAATAAGATGTGAAAGAGAACTAGTTTAATACTCACGGGATACGCAATCTGACAAACAGATTTCTGTGTGCGTGCTTCGAATGTGTGCACTCAGATAACCATATATTTAGACTGATATGGCTTTAAATGCATGCAGATAATAAACTTTCATGATGATGAAGAACTGCAATGTCATGTGAGCATGACCACAATAGAAATGATAATAAAAACCAACAGATCTTTTGTCAACAGATTACTCGCATAAAAATTTGTGCGCCGCGAATGAGGTGTAGAGTGTGGCGCAGTAGACGCAACGCCACATTTGCGCGTCAACTTCGCGTGAAGTGACCGTCTGGCGCGTTACACGCAAATGATTTTAAGTGCTTTTTGTGCATTCACACGTTTGACGCAAATTCATGCAAATTCACTGCCTGAGTTGAAAAATCTGAACTTTGGCATCAATTCACGCCGCGTTAACCAATCAGGAGCCTAGCTGCTTGCTGCTGTAACATAGTGAAGTATCTGGATGCTTCAATATATTATTTTGTAAAATGACTAAATGCCTGGTGTGGTTCTAATGCACAACAAAGCAAATATTTTATCACATAATACTTGATTTCAATATACACTCCAGTGTTGTAGTCGAGACCACCTCACTCGAGTCCGAGTCGACACCGAGACCAGAGAGAGTCGAGTCCGAGTCAAGACCGAGTCCATAGAGAGTCGAGTCCGAGACCAGAGACGGTCGAGTCCGAGTCGAGACCGAGACCAGTGAGGGTTGATTACCTAATTTACTTTTATTTACTTAGAGAAATCCGTTTTTTTTGTTTTACTGAATTTACTTAGAGTTTAAAAAATATGATCAGTTTAGGGTAAAAAAGGCCACATAGTAGGTGGTGTTAAAAGTAATTTTATTACAATTTGTCATGCGCAGTTGCGCACTAGAAAATCACCAATCACTGGGCGTGTCAATCAATTTAAAGAAGTATTTTATTAACATACATTAATAATCATGAAAAATATTTTTAATTGAACTCGAGTGGACTCGGGAATAAGTCCGAGTCCTAAAAAAAAAAAATGTTCGAGTACGAGTCAATTCCGAGTCCAAATGCACACGAGTCCATGACAAGACCAAGACCATTAAAATATGGTCTCAAGACCGAGTCCGAGACGAGTCCGAGTCTCGAGTACAACACTGATACACTCACCGGAAATGATTATCAGGAACAACCATACTAATCCTGTGTCTGACCCCCCTCCCCCTTCCCAGAATCTTCAGAACTGCCTTAATTCTATGTGGCATTGATTCAACAAGGTGCTGAAAGCATTCTTTAGAAATGTTGGCCCATATTGATAGGATAGTATCTTAGTTGATGGAGATTTGTGGGATGCACATCCAGGGCACGAAGCTCCTGTTCCTCCACATCCCAAAGATGCTCTTTTGGGTTGAAATCTAGTGACTGTGGGGGCCATTTTAGTACAGTGAATTCATTGTCAGGTTCAAGAAACCAATTTGAATTGATTCCAGCTTTGTGACATGGTGCATTATCCCGCTGGAAGTAGTAGCCATCATAGGATGGGTACATATTTGGTGGCCATAAAGGGATGGACATGGTCAGAAACAATGCTCAAGTCTCTTTTTCCTATTTGTAGTGGAGATGAGTGGTACCCGGTGGGGTCTTCTGCTGTTGTAACCCATCTGACTCAAGGTTGTGCATGTTGTGGCTTCACAAATGCTTTGCTGCATATCTCGGTTGTATCGAGTGGTTATTTCAGTCAAAGTTGCTCTTCTATCAGCTTGAATCAGTCGGGCCATTCTCCTCTGACCTCTAGCATCAGCAAGGTATTTTCGCCCACAGGACTGCCGCATACTGACATTCAGTTTGGAGTTAGTATGCGACACCCCTAAATGCATTGAAGCAACTGCAATGTGATTGGTTGATTAGATAATTGATTTTGTATTGAATGCTATTTATTTCATATCTAGATTGTATGAAATATTATTATAATGTAAAGACAACCAAAATACTATAGTGCATAAGTTTGTGTCTGGACAGTGTTGTGTGAGAGAGAAAAAAATCACCGAACAGGTCAATCACTTTTGGAGGCTGGCTCCATTTATCATCAAAACAAAAATAAATGACAGATTACGTGGATGAGAGTGAGGGTGATCTGATGCGGGACAACAGGTCATCAAACTAAACGCAGGACAGGCAGAGGTACCGCTGAAATCGGTCATTCAGACGCAGCTCCTGGAGCGAGCAAATGGTGAAACTCGCCAAACTGGTTTAGCCACCGAAGGGTCTGGTGGACACAAATGCTCTCCAGAACAAATACAGAGTGGTGACTCTCCCGATGAATGCTCGATCAACATAAAAAGATAGCCGCCAACGGGTTTCGATTCAGACGCGCACAAAATTCCGCTGTGAACTTTTGTTTTTTACGTGTTCAATTTCGCTCTCAACGCGTGAATGGATTCAAAGTGTTGAAGCGTATAACCAGACGTGGTAGGCACGAATTTGACATGCTATTCGCGTCTGGTGGCTCTGCCCTCTTCTTGAAATTAGGGCGGGGAGCAGCAGATCATTTGCATTTACAGATACATGCACGAAACCAGCATGTTTTTCCTTCCACTCAAAAATGGCCATTTACAACATGGTAAATGATCTGCGGGGTATTTTGAGCTGAAACTTCACAGACACATTCTGGAAGCACCTGAGACTTATATTACAATTGGTAAAATGGGCATAATTGACGATTTGCAAAAGCCACACCCCCTAGTTATTGTTCCTACACCCTTCAAACAAATGGTCAAACACGACCAGTGCGACAGATTGCCATGACGGGAAGAGGTATACTCGTGCGTGTCAGTGAATTTTTTGGAGCAATACCTCAGCAATATCACCCAGATCGAGACAAAGAGCTTTGCAGAGAAGGTATATATTCAAAATATAAAAATAAGCAATGAAGGCGACACGACTATTATCGAGGCTAATGCTTAGTCTCAAGCGAAATCTGAGAAATCTCATGACCTGTTGCCTACCTCAAATGCAACCAGCACAGCCTTGAAGAAGATTTTATAAGCTGGTTAGGTGGCTAATTGTTTGAAGTTATAAATATATAACTCGCGCTGCCTATTTAGTAATTTTGCCACCACAGATACAGGATTATACATTCGCTTTAACAAGCAGGTTGTTCATTACCACGGACAGCCACTTTGTCATGTAAATGTTTCAGTAAATCATTCTGGAATATGAAATTTTGGCGTTGTCACCCACATATGACAACATTAAAGTCTTGTCTGCTGTATCTCATGAGATAAATTGTTTACTTTCTCCGAGGAGGGTTAATTAAGAAATCTGAACATCAAACATAATGTCACCCTTAAAGTCCCAGCAGGTGTCTTTATGTGTGCTGAGCTCAGCTGGGGGCCAATCGAACTGAGCCGCAGCACAGATCACTGTAATAACACCATGCTCTTTATCTTTGTGCCTGTGACCTCGTCATTTGAATCTCTGCCACCTGTGCTGTTGAAAACTGCTACCACGGTTACAAAAACTGTCAAGGCTGTCACCGGGGACACTTTCTCAGAAGTGCCTCCTTCACATTTAAAAACATTTTCTTTGATGCTGCACTCACAATTAAAGCAACTTTAATTGATCTTTGAAAGATTTCACCTGGTACTTTCTTAGCCCAGGCGATCATGTGGACGAGTTCTTTGTCAGCCATGTTTGTGAGCAGGGACATCATGGTGATCTCGGTGTACGGGGGGCTGTGCTTCTGACGTGAACAGACAGCCGGTGGCTCTGCACCCAGAAGCAACACCAGCACCTGGTCAGGTGGCATGCATAAAGCACTGACCACCTCGGCGCTGCTCTTCTTCCTCTTGTCCTGAGGTGTCCTCAGTCCAACACGGCTTGACTGCTCACTGTAGCTCTTATCACGATCCTCATTATCGCTCTTCCTCCGCTCACGCCTGATAGCGCGGCCACCGCGGTCTTTACGAATACCTGCAATGGAAAAGATGCGACCCAAACAATTTGAAAAAAGAGAAAGATGAAAGCCTCTGCAATAGCCTACATGTGAATAAGCTTGTCACAGCCTGATTATATGAGGTAGTTGATGGGAGACGTGCCATTACACAGGTTGTGTGTAACACATGTTGGGGTAAGTTCTAACAAATAGACAAAAGAAGTAAAAAAAAGATGTTATAACATATGATATTGTTCAAAATATTTATTTCAATTTATTTCTTTATTTCTATTTGGCTTGTGTGTCACTCTAAGAAATGCTGGGTTATTTTAACCCAAATTTGGGTCAAATGTGGACAAACAAAAATGTTAGGTTAAAAATGTAATTTAAACATTTAACCCAATGGCTGAGATGGACCCAAAGATGGGTTAAAACAACCCAGCATTTTTTAGAGTGTGTGTGTGTGTGTGTGTGTTTAAATGTGTCAACTAAACTTAACGGTACACCTAATTACACTAGGCTACTACAATGTATATGATTAAATAACATATTTGTATGTACATCTTTAGGTCTAACAAAAAACAAATCTGCGTGTGTAAAATTAATTTAACGTATATTTAAAGGTGCTCTAAGCGATGTCACACGTTTTTTAGGCCCAAACATTTTTTGTCACATACAGCAAACATCTCTATCCGCACTATCCGCGAGCTGCCTGTCACCTAAACACACTGTAAAAAAAACGCGGTCTATGCAGACAACCCAGGCTTCACAAATGGCAACAAAAGCAAACTGCGGCAACCTGCTCCACAAAACATAAACTGTTCCAGCCAATAACTGACAAGAAGGCCCTGGGGGTGGGGTTTGGGGGGTCAGTGGAGATGAGGAGGAGGGAGGGTCTATCTAGCCTGCGTTATGTTTGAAAATACTTTAAACGTCAACAAGAAGTCACATCACCCGACATTGCATAGAGCACCTAATAAACACTACTTCATGTACCAGATTAAAGAACATCTTTGTGCATCTTTAAGTCTTACAAAAAATAACATGTCAATGTGTGTGTGAGTGTGTGTCTATGTGTGTATTATTAATTAGAGTCACAGTGCTGACAGATGAATGATGCTGGCAACCAGTGCAGTCCTTGATGGGCCCAGAAACTGCATAATGGGCATTTCACCCAAACCTTCTTTGGCTTTGAGTCATTAAATTGCAGAGACACCTTTGTCAGTCTTTCTTTCTCATGCCCTATAGTCATTCTGTAAAAACATTAAATCAAGAAAATTCTTATAGTTATATTCTTTGTATGTAAGGGAATGGTTGTAACGCTTTTTAAATAAGTGTTACCCCTGTCAGCCAATGATTAGAAAGCAGTTTTAGCATAGTAGTTTGAAATTAGCAGGGGAAATATGCATCATATACTGCCTAAGAAACTACTATTTAATCTAATATAAGTCATACAGTTTTATCTGCGATAGTACAGATGCTAAACAAAATAATAGTCTTGGTCAAAAATTTTACATTCTGACCTCAAAATCAGTTTTTATATATTCTGCATTTGCCTGTTTCCAGCCTTGACAATCACCATGCATCATCGGGTAGGAAGCAGGAAAATACTAAAGTGATCACATGACTATCTTATCTCTAATTGGTGAAATTGATGGTGTTACAACTCTCCCCATGTTACAACCATCCCCAGTCTCCCATCAATTCTTAAATTCTGCATTACGCCCAACCCTACACAGAGGCTATTTAAAATCATGATTGTGAGGGAGCTCATGTTTATGTCAGACTTAAAGAGAGAGAAAGGAAGAAAAAAGTAGGAATATATTTTATGTACCTCCTTTCATCATGCCTACTTCATAACACTTGCGTAGTCTGCATGCTTGGCAGCTCTTCCTGCGGTTTCTGTCAATAGTGCACTGGTTGGTTGCTGGACAAACATAGTCATTGTGACCTAGATGCAGAGGAACAAAGTAGAGCTTGTTATTGATCATTCTTTTATCCTTCAAGTTCTTGCTTAAACAGAAAAATGCCTGCCAGATCTTTCTTTGTTTTACTACTTTAAGATCAGCTTTCTGAGATGTTTAAAAAAAAAAAAATGTATTAGAGATGTGTAAATATTGTTCCGTCACAAGCGACAAACAGTGCAGTGCAGTGCATCAGTGGCCTTGGATCTGATTAAACACTGAGAGCAGGTACATGCTGTTCCAGTGCTCCAGATGAAATTTTAAATTAGATGAGTGTGTCACAGACAGAAATGTCACAGACTTACACACAAACACACACTGACATCAAAAACCATGCACATAATCCTATGAGGCATGTTCGTAATAGGATATTATACAACAGAGAATTCAAAATATTCAAAACAAAATTTGGATTTGAAAAAAATTATAGTAGCAAACACATTTTAGTGACATTTTGGGTGGCTAGCAAAGATGCCCTGGAAACTGTTGAGAGAAATTCACACCACCATGCCCATTAGAAACACTCCCTGAAACCACTGCGCAACAAAATCACTTTAACAATTTCAAATTCCTAAACCGTCATCTACAATGCTTGTTAATTGCTTCCGATCAGCAGTGATGACAATTTACCAATAGTCTAAACTATGCCACAAGGTAATATGTCAGAAAAAACAGTGCATCGCACTCTTCTGCATATGGGACTGTGTAGCCTCAGACCAATCAGAGTGCCTGACCCCTGACCACCATCAAATGCCCCTACAATGAGCACATGAGTGTCTGAACTGGACTTCAGACCAGTGGAAGAACGTCACCTGGTCTGACGAGTACCGTTTTCTTTTATTTCACGTGGATGGCCGTGTATGCACCATTTAACTGGAGAAGAGATGGCACCAGGATGCATTGTGGGACGATGACAAGCTGGTGGAGGGAGTGTGATCTGCTGGGAAAACCTGTGTCCGACCATTCATGTGGACGTTGTCAGGGTACAGGCTCAGAGACAGAGGTAAGTGAGTAAACACAAAGCTTTATTTAAGTGCATCAAGTTCAAAAGGTGAGTTCTTTCAAAGTTCAGAGGTGAATTCGATGAGGATTACTGTGCAGGAAGGATTCCAGGTGAGAAGATCCTCTTCAGTTTATCCAATGTCAGATAAACACAGTTCGGTGATATTTGTCGCTTCTCTTTCAGATACATCCAACACGATGGACTCAGGAGGAATTCAAGGACACGATTTCAGAAACAGATTCTGGGAACATCAGAACATGGACACAGAGATTAATATATTTCAGGTGAGTATACAGTACGTTACTTGCTGGGTACAGGATGAATCAGAGACTTTGTGAGACAGTTGAAAAGTTTCTGTTACTGTTGGATACTTGACAAAGACTGAATGTGAACTGGGTGATAGGTGCTGGTGGTCCGAATACTGGGGAGAATGACTTCAGGTGTGCCAAAGAGGATTCTGGGCAATGTAGTGCAGAGCTATATGGTGACCGCAACAGACGTAAATTTGACACGTGCCTCCTACCTAAATATTGTTGCAGACCAGGTATACTCCTTCATGTAAATAGTGTTCCCTGGTGGAATTGGCCTCTTTCAGCAGGATAATGCAGTCACACTGCACACATTTTTCAGGGACGATTTGAGGAACATGATGAAAATAGTTATAGGTGTTTCCTTGGCCTCCAAATTCCCCAGATCCTAATACAATCGGGCATCTGTTGGATGTGCTGGACCAACAAGTTTGATCCACGGAGGCTCCTCACACCCTGCAGGTGCTCACATCTGCTGATAACATCTGGGTGCCAGACACCACAGGACACCTTAAGTCCATGCCTTGGTGGGTTGAGCTGTTTTGACAGCATGCGGAGGACCAACAGCATATTAGATAGGACGTCATATTGTTTTGCTGGGAATCTTTAAAGTAAATCTTAAAAAAAAAAAGAAAAAGAAAGTAAAGCGTTTGTTTATTCCTCATAGAATAGCTGATATTAAGGTTTTTGTAAAAAAAAAAAAATCTTAAAATCTCAAATTCAAATTATATGAAACAATTATATAAAGGATACTCAAATTCAAATCGCAGAATGTAAAAATGTATTATTGTCTATTAATTATGTTTTATTGTCTTGCTTCTGCTCTTCTCTCTGCTTTCCTGTCCTGTCTGTCTTCTCTCTCTTGTCATCATGTCTCTCTATCATTCTGTACTCCCTTATTCTCACTGTAATTCCCCTCACCCAGTGTGTCCTGAAACCCATTTGCCAAGCACACACTTACAGTCATTTTCCTCCAGTTTCTCGCTCAGTTTTCCTCACCAAAATGGCAGTTAAATCAGCAGCAGTTACCTGCCCCAGGAAAGAGCTCATCAGGAGCTTGTGTGTCAGGGTCAAGTTAAAAACATCTACAACTACATCTCACCACAACCACCCAGGTCTACACCTGCTCCAACAAATTACAGAACTGCAAATAAGGTGTAGGCAGATACATCTGTGAGCTACCTTTGTACATGTCAGCCTCTCAGCAGATTTACCACGTGTGAGATTTTCACCTTTTTCTGTCACCTTTAAAAAGGGGGATAATAGTGAACATGCAAGGATGATTACATAGGCTACTGCACACTTTCACACATTCAAAATTGTATTTGAAAGCACAAGGGCTTGACTTGAAAATAGAAATCTTATTATTTTTCTTTTTGCCAGCACCCATATATTTTTGGACATCATATTAGGTGACTGAGAAAACGGACTCGGTTACTAAAGAAACCTCGGTTCTCTCTAGAAGAGGGAACGAGTACTGAGTAATATCTTACGCTAGGAGAAAACCTCTTTTCCACAAGATATTGAAGGCAAAAATTATCCTTAATTTTGAATTAAAGTAAAACACATTGCGGCAGCATGCAGACATAGGCAAGGCTATCGGGAGAGGCCCTTGGTGACGTCAGATCCAATGGGGGCACTTTGCGCCTACTACGTCACCTGCCGCCAAAGCTGGGCCTATAAATATAACTCGATGGGCTGATCTGTTTTTTAATCGCCGAAGTGAACCTGTGCGTGATGCAAGCACAGCAAAGATAAGCTGTACTCGTTCCCAGAGAGAACCGAGGTTACGTTAGTAACCAAGTACATTCTCTTACGAGAGGTTCTCTCGTACTGCACAATATCTTACGCTAGGGGAACACAGTGTAAAACGCTGTGCGTGCTGCGATCCAACACCAAAGTCCAAAGGGCAGGTGCCCAGGGCTCATATAGTGCATAATCACCAGGGACTCACAAAGAGTCTGAGGAGAGAGACTAGAAGCATCATTCCCAATAAGTTAGCGTCCTAAGCGAGCAAATCACATTAACAGTGTTCCACACAGTCGGGGTGAAAACTGTGTAACAGTATGGGTCTTACTTTTGCCCATGGAGTAATTTTATCGGAGTGTGCTCTAACACCTAAAGGACACTTCAAGGCTTTAGACTTCAAGCCAGTGCTATGGCATCAACTATCCATCTGGATAGGCTCTGTTTCGATGAGGCTAGTCCCTTAGCACGTCCGCTGAACGAAACGAAGAGCTGCTCAGTCTCTCTGAAAAACAGACGAGTGAGACAATAAGCTCTTAATGCCCTGACTGGGCAAAGGATGCTTGCGTCCATTGTAAACTGGCAGGACAGACAGGCAAATAACCTAAGCCCTGAACGATATGTTGAGGGGATTTAGGCACGTACTCTGTCTTGGTTTGAGTATGACTTTCGAGTAATTTGGCCCAAATTCCATACTCGCCGCGCTTACTGAGAGCGCTTGTAAATCCCCTATGCGCTTCACTGAAGCAAGAGTCATAAGTAACGCTGTCTTGAATGACAGATGTTTCATGTCCGACAAGTTGATAGGCTCGAACGGGGCATCTTTCAAGGCTTCCAAAATCGTGGAAAGATCCCACATGGGGACTGAGGGGGGATTCAGCCTCTTAGATCCTTTAAGGAAGCGAATGACCAGATCGTTCTTCCCCAGTGACTGCTATATAAACTTTGAGCATGGATGGGGTTCTGCCCTTATCCAGTAGCTCTTGAAGGAAGGAGAGAACTTCTGTAACCCCGCAGTCTAGGTAGCATGGTAGTTGGGGTAGCATGAGATCTGGGCTCTGGCCGCAACATAGTGGTGACAGGAGAGCTTTGGTGTGCTGTAATGTAAACACTGTGCTTGCAGCGTTTGAGGCGGGGTGCGTGCCGATCGCGGCGGGGGGGTTGCTTGCTTTCGGGTTGAGCTTTCCTCGACTGCGCTGCAGTAAAGTTTGCCAGGTAGAAATGACAAACAGGTTGAAATTGTATATGGTGTGTGCATTGTGTGAATATAATGCATGATCTGGAACTGGTCAACATAGATTATTCATAAAGGAGTTTGGGTCATGCAAATTACGGGAGTTTCCCAGGAGAAAAACAAACCAGGAGGGGTCCGGGAGATAGGGCTAAAAAATGTGAGAAACCCGGGAAAAACGGGAGTGTTGACAGGTATTTAAATAGCCAACTAGAATTCAATCAAAAAATTCAAACTTTTATTGAGCTAGTATCTTCTTAAAACTCTGGTGCTTTCAGTTTGGTCTACTGCCGAGGTTGCTGTGGCCACTGACTGTGTACGAGGTTTCTTTTACAACAGTGGATAAGCTGGAAGCGTTAATAAGTTCATACATCAGGAAATGGTTGGGAGTTTCACGCTGCCTCAGCAGAGTGGGACTTTATAGTAAAGGAATATTGCAGCTGCCAGTCTCTGCTTTAACCGAGGAGTTTAAGTGTGCCAAGGTCACACTCGAAATTACCTTGGTAGAGTCACGTGACAAATGTGTAAGGGAGGCAGCCCCTGTGTTAAAAACTGGTAAAAAGTGGTCAGCAAATAAATCTGTAGAGGAATCAAAGGCTGCCCTTCAAATTGGGGATATTGTGGGACAGGTACAGCATGGAAGAGGGGGGTTTGGGCTCAGTTTACCTCCTCCTAAATGGCACAAGGCAGGCCCAGCTCAAAAGGGGAAGCTGGTAGTCGACGAGGTGCGAAAGCAGGAGGAGAGGATGAGGTGTATAAAGGCCATTTCCCAATCCAAGCAGCGAGAGAGTGGATGAGATGGGAGAGTATGGAACAACGCAAGATGGGCTGGCAAGACCTTTGGTCAATGGAAGAGGGTAGGGTCAGTTTCCTTATCAGGTCAACATATGATCTTGTCCTTTGTGTTCATCACCTGCCACATTAAGGCACATTTTTACAGGATGTAAGGTGGCTCTTAGCCAAGGTCGGTTTACTTGGCGGCATGACCAAGCACTGCGATGTTTGGCTTTAGCATTGGAAGGCAAACGTAGTATGACCAATAAGTTGCTGCCTGTTCTGGCAAAACATTACACACAGAAGACAATATTTCTCCGCCCAGGCGAGCAACCACCAAGAAAAGTTGTTAAAACCAATTCTCGCCCAGGACACCTGGAAGCTGCTAGGGACTGGAAATTGCTGGCTGATCTTGATCAACGGCTTATTTTTCCACCTGAGATTGCCAACACTAACCCACGACCAGATATTGTTTTGTAGTCTGGATCAGCAATCATTGTTCAACTGATATAGTTAACGGTGCCATGGAAGGATGCGGTAGATGAGGCATATGAGAGGAAGAAAAACTGCGTTATTCTCATCTGGCCACTGAAGCAGAACAGCAAGGATGAAGAGTCCAGGTTTATTCAATTCAAATTCATTTGTATAGCGCAATACACAATACATATTGGTTCATCCAGTGGAAGTGGGTTGTCGAGGATTTGTGGCACACTCTACAACTCAATTCCTCAGAGACATCGAATTCAGTGGACAAGAGTTGCATCGCACAGTAAAGAACTTATCTAAAGCAGCAAAAAGAAGCAGCAACTGGCTGTGGCTGAGACGGAAAGATTCTAGCTGGCTGTGTACAGGACGTCACGCTATGGTTTCATAGAATTCTTGAAAAACGTAAAGAGTCTGTTGGTTTATTTGTTTAGGTTGCATAGTAGCTACAGTCATTACGTTCTTGTGTGTATTGCGTGAATGACGGGTGATGTTTGGGCAGATAATGTGTTTTGCGGTAGGTAGTATGCCATACTGAACCGTTCCCAACGAACCTGCTTTAACGACGACAGTGGGGCTCGACTATGAGATGCATAGTTTACTGTAAAGCTACGTCTTAGTTTGTGCTTATCTTGGCGAAAGCCGAGTACAAATCAGCATGAAGTTTAACATCTACTCTCGTGTAATGGAAATCTTGAAAGTCACAATGAAGTTAAACTGGCCAATTCTTGTTTTTTAATGGAATGTTGCACAATTTATTATAAATGATTTGCCCATGCTCATAATTATTTTTTAACTCATATGCCCTCATAACCTTTAAAGTTTGCATGAAACAGAATTCGCGATAGTCTATCCGAGTCAAATATCACATAAATTATTCAATATTCCATAAAAATAAGAATTGTCAGTTTTGATTTCATGATGATTTTAATCAAAATATCCCAAAATAAATTAAGAAATGATGTTCACTTCATTATTCAGTAAAACAATGTTATTGCAAATATTATTGTTACTTGTTCATTGTGTTAGTGTTTTATTCACTGACTTTAGCTAGCTTCTTTGCACGAAGAACAACAGAGTTACGAAACACGCACTATTTGTACTTTGTCCTTTTAGCTACTGTAGAAACATTTCAATGTAAGGGGACCCACTGTGTATGTAGATAGAAATGATTAATTCTGGTTATAAAAACTAGGGCTGGGCAACGATTAATCGTGATTAATTGTATCCAAAATAAAAGTTTTTGTTTACATAATATATGTAATTTCACAAGTTCACACTTACATCAATTAAAAAGAGAAAAGATTGTGCGTATTTGGCATGCTCTCCGGGGGGAGGGCTCCGAGCTCAGATTTTTTAGCCGAACCCAGAGTCCTCCCCCCCCATTGTTGTAAGAGTATTTAGGACAAGAAGTAAGGAGATGGAGTGGTGGAGGGATGCTGTTAAACTGTCAATGAATTGAGGTAAGTTAGTTGTGCATACACCTCTTAACTCGTTGATTGGGTTGATTAACAGAGTGTGCTCCACTCATGTCTAATTAGGCTTGATCACCTGAATGTTCTCCACATGTGTTTAATTATCATTTTATTAACGTGCTCCTCCCGAACTTTGTTAATAAAACATCATATATTATATATATGCTGTATATATAGTTATACATAATTTATATAAAATACAAATATTAATATTTTATATATTAATAACACATATTCTTAAATATAACATGCATGTGTGTGAATTTTTATTTACAAAATAATTATACACACTACACACATTTATTATGTAAACACAAACTTTTATTTTGGATGCGATTAATCATTGCCCAGCCCTAATAAAAACATAACGGTTCATTATAAAGGCTTTATACATCACTGAAAACATAGCTATGTATATTGTATTGCGTTTCTATCTGCAGATCCTAAATATTACACAATGCACCTTTGGTGTCAGTGTTCTGAATGTCAGCAAAGCTTAGCTGTGAGAGTACTTGCAGCCGAAACACAGTCATGCTGATGTTCAGAACCGCAAGGATTGTGCTGGTTACCCTGAATGCTTCTCTTGAAGAAAGCTTTGCATCCCTCACAGGACCAGACTCCATAATGATAGCCGGAAGCATAGTCACTGCACACCGCACAGAAGCGCGTCTCCTTCTCTGAATCAAATCCTCCTGCAGCTCTTGATCCGGTGTACATCTCCTGCCTGTCAGTCGCACTGCACAACACCTCACACAGACCAACACCTGCCTGCTGAGAAGACACCACACTGGACCTGGAGACAGACAGAGGTCAGATGTCAATATAAAGTGGATAATAATGACAACAACCAGGCCAAGTTTCAACCACCATTGAGGACAAACTGACTTTTGTGTTTTACTTACTAGTTGGCACGCTTACAAATAATTCAGTAGGCATATTAAATTTCTGGCGGATATTGATAAGTGGTTAATTATTTCCATTTTATGGTCGATAAATGATAGATTTTGAAGACGTTGGGAATGTAGGCCTCACAACATTATAAAAAATTGTTTGTGAGATTTGCTAATAAATTATTAAATTACAAGTGCAATTAAAAAGTTATTAATTAATAAGTGATTACTTTCAGTGAGCATATAAATGTAAAATAAAGTACACAATTAAACATCCAACAAGGGCATTTATTTAAAATAAACAAACAAAGAAATTGATAATCAATAAACTACTGTTATTTTGTACATCGCTGTTAAGGTTTTGAGATACAAGTTTGTAAAATCCTAGGAGAACATGTACGTGACTGCAAACAGCGGACAAGTTAGACCATCCCCGTTTCCTTTTGACCCCTTGTTACAGTGTTTGTAAATATTTATTTTATCTTTAATTCTAATGTCCAGTAGATATATTGCATAACCTCATAAATGGACTTCGGTGATGTCCAATATCACCAAATGTCCAACTGAGGTCTCCAAGCACCCTAAAGCAGAGATGCATTGTCAAACTGAAAAAAAAAAGATTTAAACAACAGGTTTTACTAAAATGGTCTCATGTGCTGTGATATTTTTAATTCATTATTTTCTTCTTAGTTAATTTGAAAGTGAAAAATATGCTCCCTGTGCATTCAGACAGGATGTGATAATTCCAATTCCACGGTTGTTTTCACTAATTGTACTTTCCCCAAGGCCAACAGACAGAATTGAATCAGAAACTTTACAAATGTGCACTCTTTTTGTGACTTCTTTTTGTGAGTCCCCATGTCGGATAGTGGTGTATAACCGTAACTTTCTTTTCCAAAAAGCAAGAAATACTAATAATTAACAGCACAAACATAAGTATCATATCCTGTTCTAACCACAAGATCAGCATGTATACTTTCTGACCAACATCTCATCACCTGTGAGTGTAGTCACAATGTCTGTAAAGAGAAAGAAAATTGTCCTGCAGGGAAAAAAAAGCGTGTGAGAAAAAGTGTATCAATAAAAGTGTAAATGATCGCGCATGCCAAAGACCAACTAGCATTAAATATTAAATATTACACAACTCACAAACCTATAGCCATAACAATTAGGAACATAAAAGATCTTTACTCAATTCAATACTCTATTTACAACATATATGGAACACATCCGCCTAAAAATTTTGTTTCACCTTTAAAATATTGTAAAATCTGTAATGGCTTAAACAAAATACTTTAGTGTAAATGTTCAAATGGTAAATTTTGGCTAATAATGGTACTTAAATGGTTATTTAGTAAGCATAATATTAAACATGTTGACAAAATGAATAAGTGTACAATGTGCCAGAATTGTTTCACCAGGTTTTATGTGAGGTGTTGTTTGTAAAAATTAACCTCGGTAAGCATGTATCCAAGCCGGATTCGAGTGCTAGACCAAACATTATGCCTCAATGAATCATATATCAGGTGTAAATGACCCCCAGAACAACCTCATCTGATTAACTGGACATCTGACAATATTTCATGTCTTTTTCATGATCTTAAACATCTTATATAGTTCTCTTTCTTGTTATATTTACTATAACCTTGATTTCAACATGAAAATGGCCGTATAAACTTGATTTTAAGAGAAAACAAATGATTTTCAGTTTCCACAAAATATCTTAAGACCATGTAACTTGTATACCAACTTTATTTTTTTAGGTCATTTAGAACTTGTACCAACAATGGCGTCCAAAACATCAACACAGCCATGGCTCATATTTCAAGCTGCACTGACCTGTAGACTGTGCTAGACGAGGTGTCCAGGTAGTAGGACACCTGGTGGGTCGAGTGGTGTCCTCCATGATGGCTCAGGTACGGGGACAGCTGAGGGCTGGTGGGTGCAAACATGAGAGGGCTGCTGGATTCTCCGCTGAACGTCTGCATATGTTCTTCGACAGGGGGTGCGTGGTGGTCCGTAGGAGCCAGGAAGTATCCGACAGAGAGAGGCTCTGCGGGTGACGTGGTGCCATAGGTCTGTGTGGGGTCTGGGTACTCATAAGCTCCATCAAGGTAATTGACAGAGGAGCTGATGCCCTCTGCGCTGTGCTCCTCCTTGGGGTACATAGGCGAGAGTTTGTGGGCAGTGGGCGGTGAGGAAAGTCCCTCCAGGTCTTCTCTCTCCGGGTTCAGGTTGGTCCTGTGTCGCTGCCTGGTACCAGCAGCCTCTCCGCTGGTCTGCCCTCCAGACATCACCATGGAAACACACACGCAACCTTAGGGTACAGTCTGTTCATAAGCAACCACCAAAAGACTGTTTGTCTTTTTAAGCTCGGTCTTTTTTTCCACCTCCCACTGTCTTTCTCAAAATCTCTCTCCCTTGTTCTGCTTTGCTTCCGCCCCACTCCTCTGCCTACTCCTCCAGTCTTTTTTGGGCTGAGAGTCAAAATGTGATGTTTTTTCTAAAATATGTGAGGCTGCTTTCCCTTTTCCTTTTCATTTTTTTTTCTTAAAATACCTTTTCCTTCCTTCATTTTCCTTTTTCTAGCTTAAAATATTACACTGAAGGAAGGATAAAACACAAAGAGCAACACTACAACTGAAAGGTGTCTAGTCTGAGATGAAGTGCCTTTCTATTAAACAGGAAACCAAGAGGACAGGAAACTCAACTGAAACCAATAGATATGCAAACGATATGCTTGATTATAAACCACTAGATCAACAGAGCACATGGAATATAATCTATTTTGAAAATGAAAAACAAAAAAAAAATGGTTGAATCCTTTACAAAGTCCTTACCAAAATTCAAATCAGCCCTCTGATTTATAAGTTTAGCCCCATCACAAGAAGCGTTGATGCATCCCCACACTACAATATCACTGATTTCCTGTGCCCTTCTTATTTTCACTGTCTGTCGCTTTGGCTAAAAAAAGAAGAGGCAAACAAATTAAAGACAGGTCGATACTGACGGTCACTCGTCAGAGCAGGTCATGGCAACCAGGTAAACAAGAGATAGGAGGTCACCACCTGATTCCCTTGCCAGAACCTTTGGATTTGCACTTTACATGCTACAGACATGGAAAATTATGCAAAAATAATTTTGTTGAATGATTTTTTCAAGAGGTTCATGAGTGACAAACAAGTCTATTTGATGATAATCAGTTCCAGCTTTTTTGCCCATCATTCAATTTTGTATGGGAGGCCGTGGCTAATTGAGTTTCTAATTCTGTTTAAATGGTAAAACATTAGTATCTACACTACGGGTTTAATGTTTAGGGTCAAAATATATATTTTTAAAAGTATTTACATTTATTCAGTAAGAATGCATTGCATATACATGTATATGTATATGTATATATATACTCACCTAAAGGATTATTAGGAACACCAGTTCAAATTCTCATTAATGCAATTATCTAATCAACCAATCACATGGTAGTTGCTTCAATGCATTTAGGGGTGTGTTCCTGGTCAGGGCAATCTCCTGAACTCCAGGACTGAATGTCAGAATGGGAAAGAAAGGTGATTTAAGCAATTTTGAGCGTGGCATGGTTGTTGGTGCCAGATGGGCCAGTCTGTGTATTTCACAATCTGCTCAGTTACTGGGATTTTCACGCACAACCATTTCTGGGGTTTACAAAGAATGGTGTGAAAAGTTAAAAACCTCCAGTATGCTGCAGTCCTGTGGGTGGAAATGCCTTGTTGATGCTAGAGGTCAGAGGAGAATGGGCCGACTGATTCAAGCTGATAGAAGAGCAACTTTGACTGAAATAACCACTCGTTACAACCGAGGTATGCAGCAAAGCATTTGTGAAGCAACAACATGCACAACCTTGAGGCGGATGTACTACAACAGCAGAAGACCCCACCAGGTACCACTCATCTCCACTACAAATAGGAAAAAGAGGCTACAGTTTTCATAAGCTCAAATGCTCACCTTGTTCTGTACTGTGTTGCGCGTTCGTGACTCTCCTGTTCGAACTCGTTCATCAAAATGAATGAATCTTTTTTCATGTCATTTGGTTCATTCAACGAACGAAATTAACAAATTGACTCGGAAAAAGATTTGTTCATTTTGATGAATTCGATCAGGAGAGTCAAAACTTGAACTTTGTTGTTGTTGTTGTTTTTAAATGAGCAATTGTTTCGCTTGATAAGACCTTTATTCATCACCTGGAATCTTTTAAAGCTCTTTAAAAGGTTTGCAGTTTGCACTGAAACTGTCTTGAACCGTTTGGTTACCAGTAAAGTGCATTATATGGAGGAAAAATCCTGGAATGTTTTCATCAAAAACCTTCTTTTTGACTGAAGAAAGAAAGACATGGACATCTTGGATGACATGGGGGTGAGTAAATTATCAGCAAAAGTTTTTTTTTAAAAGTGAACCACTCTTTTAAGGCAGTTCTGAAGGCAAAGGGGGGTTAAACACAGTATTAGTATGGTGTTCCTAATAATCCTTTAGGTGAGTGAGTGTGTGTGTGTGTGTGTGTGTGTGTGTGTGTGTGTGTGTGTGTGTGTGTGTGTGTATATATATATATATATATATATATTTCAAATACGTTGTTCTTTTGAACTTCCTATTAATCAAAGAATTCTGAAAAAAATCTATAACTGTTTCCACAAAAATATTTTGCACAACTGTTTTCAACATTCATGGTGATAACAGGAATAAAATCACAGGAATAAAATATTAAAATATTCAGCTCTGTCCTCAAACATACTGCAACTAATTAAAACATTAGCTGATTTTTATTTGTCTATATTTATTTCTTACAGCTTAAAAACACTACATAAACAACAATAGATCTTACAATGAAAACTTTAGGGTCTAAATCTGAGCTTAACTCTTGCCAGAAGAGAACTAGAACAGTTCAAAGATCAAACCATGGCCTTGATTTCCAGGAAAAAAAAAAAAAAAACGCATACATGCAGTCCTCAGCTGACCCCTAAACACAAAAAGATAGCGTTCATGTGCTTATTACGTAACATCACTACTTTTAGGGTTCTTTACTGCTCTGTAGAGGCAAGGCTCATTGGAAAACCCAGGAAGCATCCACACACAACTTAAAAAAAAAAACTAAAAAAACAAGACCGATCAAATAGCAGAATGGGTCATCATGACCATTTCTGCCAGCGTAATTTCATATCTGTATCTCTGGAACGAATTGTTAAATACGATTACATTGTAAGAGTTAAAGAAAAATGTAATTTGCAAACTTTGTTCAATTGCATTCAAAACACAGAATAACCATTTTAACAAATGTGTGTACATAAGCATCCTGACTAGCAACTGTTTCCAATTTGCTCATAAATAAGCTTAAAAAGAAACAATCTTGGTGCACTTCTCCACACAGCCCATAACAGTAAACCAGTTTTTAAAGAGCAGTATGAAAAAACAAAAACACTGTGGTGTATGGCCAATATTTTCATCAGACAGAAAACAGAATGTGTTAACATGTATTGACATTAGCAAATAATTGTGATTTAGTGCTTGGCTAAAACAAAAACCTTGGATTTGTTTGCGCATCTGCATTTCATGAAATTCCCCTTTAAATTTGTGTCATCATACATTCAGTTTTGCCATTAATTTACTAGAATTGTTTTATTAAAACAGTATTTCTTTAATGTTTTCTTTTTCAATTATGTAATCAATACAAAGCCCACAAACTATTAGGCTACAAACCCCCTCTTTGATATACTTTAAAACACATAAACATTTCTCACTAAAGGTTCTCACAATAACATTTAACAGCAACCAAACAAGACATCTGTGTAGTTTTATGGATGTATAAGTCTAAATGTCTTTAATAACTGTAACTGTACTTTTAGACAATACACATCAGCAGTACAAACAGAAAACCATATACTGTAAACTATGAGCAAAAGATAGCCAGGTTTCTCTTCAAACCTTCATTGTTCTATCAACAAGTACATCATTTAGTTTCATATTACATTCAGTGTTTGATATGCAGAAGCGTTACGGTTCATTAAATAATTTGCTTCCAAGCAAAAAAAAGTGTTGGATAAAAAAAAAATACAAGCAAAGCTAAACCATCATAACACATTTGTTTGGCGTGTTGGTAATTGAAACAGCATCTTTAATTAGTGCATTTTATCACATCATCACTTGCTTCCTGATAATTCCCTCATCAGTGAGGACTCTCTTATTTTTAAAGACACCTCTACCGTTCTCTCTGTGGACTGGAAAACTGAACCACAGCATATTTGCCATTAGTCATCCAGTGTGGATCCTGAGAGTTGAGCTTCTCTGCCTGGCCCGGCTGCAAGCCCACCTGAACATCAGCCTTCAGTGTCCTAAGACTACAGAGAGGGGCAGGCTGGAACCCCCTCAACGCCCGATCGAACAGAACCGTGTGGTCCCACTTCCTGTCGCCAGTCAGCTTCCTGTAGTTCAGGTCTCCTTTGAAGAGAATCAGGTCAGAGCCCTGGAGGTTGCCGTAGAGATCAGCTGCATCCAGCGCCATGTCGCAGAACTCGTGGGGCATGGTCCAAAAAGGGTGGTCGTGGTAGGACCAGGTGCCATCCTTCATGAAATGCTTCCATTGGACACCGCTAGCTGACATCCACTTGTGATTGGCTGCCATGGTCTGCATGATGGTCCACTCAAAGTCTTGTTTGGTGACGTCTGAGAGGAACCATGGCATGGACTTGCCATGAAATCGGATTTGCTTGGCTAGTCCGGCAGAAACAAGGAAGTCAGCAAGGACCAGATCGGTAACAAGCTCAAAACCAGCATTGTCTAAAACAATGTCCACTCTTGCATGCTTCTTCCCTGCGGTTCCGGACCCTTGAGCAGCAATCAGCGTTGACCAAACCATGTTGGAGTCATCCACTAGGATGAAGCGCTGGAGATCAGACAGAGAATCGATGGGACTGGACCTTTGAGAGTTGTCCTGACCGGCGGAGATGGACAGATCACACTTGTTTCCCCACAGAGAGACCTACAAAATACACAATAAACAAGATTATGTGACATTACGTTATCCCCAACAGTCTAATATCAATAAAGCAGACGAGCACATGGTGAAAACAATAGCCACCCCAAGGCATGTTATTTGGCACCACAAGCTTGATGTAATTTTGGCTAACAAGATTCTTTGTTCTAAATTATAGATGAGAGTAATTAAGTTAATGGTCACGGCTCAGTGAAAATCGATTTTCCTTGTTTTTGATGTTGTGTTCTTATGTCATAGTAACATAACCATGTCGCATAAACATTTGTTTTTAATGGCAGGGATCATTGAATTATACTGCAGCTAAGAGCATGGACATACTAACCTGAAGTAACTTGAGAAAATTCTCTCGCAGCTGCAACTCAGTCATGTTCTCCATGTTGGTGATGAGATCCTGAAGGTATGTACAGACAGATTTAATCGCTTGTTGAGATTCAAAGAAGCTTTGCATCTTTCCCTCCTTAAAGCCGTCAAAGTTATCCATCGGGGGACTTTAGGAAACAAAGTAAAACAAACAAAATGAATGAATTTTACAATTCAAAATGTATCAATACAATGGAGAGCATTTAAATCAATTACCCTTGATTTAACAAAATATACAAAAATACAACAACTTAAAGCACAACACTTGACACTTGAAATGATTCTTTGATTTAAAAAAAATAGACAATATATATATATATATATATATATATATATATATATATATTTACTATTAAGATACTAAAAGTTAATGTAAACTTGCTTTGATTTTGGAGTAAAATTGTGACAGAACTAATTTCACTCAAGTATATCTCTGATCTTTTTTAATTTCAAATTGTATTCATTATGTATTAAGCTGATTTGTCTTACTTCATATACAGAGCCTCTTGGATCCTTCGGTACATGTAGCACTCCATATAAAGCCATGGTGACTTGAACCAGCTGACAGGCTGCCCGTCCTCCATCAGGTCCTGCTGTCTACCCATGTATTCATTCCAGGCCTCTGTGTCCTCAGCATTATCAGTCAGAAGCAGCACAGGTTTGTCTGTCTGCAGTTCATTCCTCAGCTTGGACAGGAAGGAGATGGCTCTCTTCTCTGCCTGGATGCCCTCCTGATCAAACACATCATCTAGAAGTTAAATCTGAGAAAACTCATTTCATATTTTATGAATAACATAAGAAAATATTGAATATTGTAAAAATGTTGAACCTAACAAATGAAAAATCATACATGCCTTTCCATACTCTTTGAAGAAATTGTCTTTATTACGATGTAAAGAGTCTACCACTTTTGTGAGTATGGTTGGTAGTCTATCTCTCACAGTCAGATAGGCAAAGGACCTAAAAAAAGCAAATAATTAAAAATTTAGTGTGTAATTATTATTATTTTTAACTTTATGATAATTCTATGATTCAGACAAAAATATACATTTGTTATGAAAAGAAAAACCAAGCTGTAACGCAAAGAGACATAACTTTCACTAGCAATTTGAGGAATAAGAAAGGCTACATCTAAAAAGAAGTAACCTAAAGTATATTATGTGATAAAAGGCGGTACTGGTTGTCACTGTCACAAAGTGTCTAAAAAGCTGGTTAGTCGCATACAGGCATATCTGCGACGTTTTCTTCATCCACAGTTTCTGTCCCATGACCATTATGTTTTACTTCTGGCAGGCGTAAAAGTGGATGATCAGACACTGTTTTTGCTCTTAAAAACACGAGACGCACAATAGTTACTTATACAGTACTGCTGTGTTACTATAATACACAGTATTACGTTAGCTTCTAATACCGATAATCTCTTTTTTCTTTCTTCTTCATACACATCATCATGTCGGTAATTTACAGGTTACAACTCCCTATACTGTAAAATTGCCAGAACTGATTAACTGGTATTTTTGAAAATGTCATTTTCAAAAATGATCTGTAAACTGTAAAAGACAGTAACGTGTGAAAGGGGCTAACGTTAATGATGACAGGCTGCCTATTTGGCTAAACATGCATTCATTGCAATTGAACAACACGATGAATTTCTTGCCGCAGCCTAATCATTTAAATGACGTCAACAGTGAGCATGGAAGCTAAACTATGTTTAAAAAGACATACCCCTCAAATTTAGCAGAGAGTGACAGCGGGGGCACGTTCCCTCTGCCTCCATCTTTGCAATGCAAACAGGAAAGACAAGATATTTTCAACAAACTTTATTTAAGAACGATGGTGACCAATTAACAATGTAATGTAAAGGTATAAGATAATTTAATACACTCTGTGTCATTCACTCGCATATCGCGGCAATATATAATCACACTAATGAACAAGGTATTTTTTACGATGAATTATAAGCCAATTTGAGCTTTCAGTCTCTCGCATAGACTGTAAAAAATACTGTAAAAAAAAAAAAATCTCTCGTCGTGATCATTGACACTACTGTCCTCTAGTGGCCGGTCTGTGTAAGCCATCTGGGTCACACGAACAAATCAGACATGACAATATTCAGATTCATTCACAAAGTACATTGTGATTTTTATTTATTTAATTATAATTCAATTTAACCAGGTGGTTTCAAATGGAAAACATTTTAACCAGGTGGTTTAGCTGGCTTCTCAGCCTGCTGTGTTGGCTGGTTTCAGAGGGTTTGGGCTTTGGGGCACTTTTCAGCTGATCAAGCTGGGTGACCAGCCGGGCACAGAGATAAACAATAGCTTGTCCAGAAAAGACCAGCATAGTCTGGTTTAAACACTTTCAGCAGGTTAGTAGTCTCAGGATATCCTTTTCATGAAAGAGACCTGAAATATGGATAGTGGGTTGTTACTTATTAACGGTCATTGATTAAAAAAAAAAGAAGATAAATCAGGTCTCAGGTCTTAGGTACACACATGCATGAACATGTTGCTTGCTTGATATCATATTGGTACTATAATAACTTACTAAACAGTTACATTTTATTATTGCGTCTACAGACAAGACAATTCTAAACAATATTTTAGGATGCTAATGTGATTTTCAGAAATTGGAAACAGAAACCATTGCCCCAGATGCCGTTATCGCCCCACCAGACCACATGGCCATAACAGACAGCTTTTTTCTCTGTATTGAGACACCACCCCTCAACTTCCCTTTCCTTGTTCTTTTTTTCGTAAACCCACAACTTAAAGTTGGCATTCTCATTTTGCTGTCATCGTGAACTTCCAGGCTGTAGACTGCTCTTTTATATTTTCTTAACATAATTTTCTCATAACTCTTGCATGCATTTGTTCATCAGTGTTATTCATTTCCTGACATCTTTAGCAGGCCTGGTCAAGCGAGCTCACATCCTGTTCCCCTCAGCATCGTGAAAGCTCAGAAACTCTGGCAAGGAAATATGTAAATCTTTTCACCTCTTGCACTGTTCAGAATGGAACTAGGGATTTTCTCAAGGTAGCGATATTGTGGAATTAAATTAATTCGTCTTACAACAAAATGTAGCTATTTAAAGGCTAAATGCATTTAAAGGCATTATATTTAACATATAAAGAACCTCAGGATGGTCCAAATAATTAAATTAAAATTAAAATTAATTAATTAGTGAGAACATAATGAGATCATCTTTATGGTATCATAAGGAAAATAAATCAGCTTTTTTATTCTGGTATTATGGTAAGATTTTCAAACAAGTATATTTTAAAGACGTTTGACCAAGACAATGAATAGGACTCTTACCATTTATATATATATATATATATATATATATATATATATATATATATATATATATATATATATATAAAATGAATAACACTTGAAGAGTTCAGATGCAAAAGCCTCTAAGTGCCATTTGAAATTTTCTTCTAAAATGATCATTTTTATCAAGCTTGTATATTTAAGTTCAATAATTTCACTTAAATGGCAATGACGATTACATATTAATTGTCATTTAAGTGAAATTACTGAACTTAAATATAGAAGCTTGATAAAAATCATCATTAAAGAAGAAAATTTCAAATGGCATTTAGAGGCTTTTGCATCGGAACTCTTCACTTGTTGCAAAAAAAGATGTAAACCAATGGAGGACTAAACCTGAAAAAAATTTAAAAAATAAATAAATAAATAATAAATGGTCTTCTCGAAACGATTTTTAAATACACTTTTCAGCCATATTTTAAATAACTTACGGTTAAAAGGGACTATACTTATTTTACACACTCACACACATATGTGTGTGTATATGTAAGGAGTTATATATAACATTACACACAATTATGAATAAATAATTAAATAGACTATGGATATTTTTTTTTTCCATATTCATTTGTTCGAAATTTAAAAAAACAAATATAAGGCTCATTAAGTTGAGTGTAGCCTGTGGGTGTGAAATCGTCGTTCTTCGAATAATACGAGCGTTTCTCATGGCTGTAAAAGTGCTCAGTCTGTCAACTGAAATGCAAATAGCCCTGCTGCATGTATCTGTCTCGATACGTTATCTTCATGTGGGGGTGGGTAGCGTGACCTACGGCTATCCAACTCCACTAAAATCCGTTTATGTGTAACGTTCACCAACGATCGTCGCCTCTGAATGATAGCTCAACATTAATCTCCGACGCACCGTAAACACATGAGTAGAACGAAAGACACACATCGTTCACCAGTTCACTCATTTTAGCTGCTCTTAGCGCCAAAGACGGTTTGTTTTAGCATCCCAGGGAAGTGGGTTTTACAACCGCTGTTTTAAGCCCTTTTAGACAGTCATGTGATTGTAACGTAACCCGACCGGAAAACACCGACGACCATCGCCGCCAATGCTGCGTTTGAGAGGAACAGAGCAGCTGCGAGCCCAACGGACAAGTCCCCCGGTACCAGACATCGACTCGCCGAACTCCACACGCTCCAGCGGAGGAAAGGTACGTGCGTGTTTACACCAGTCAACCTTTATCGTTAACTGTTCGTTTCTGTATTTGTTTGTTTTTTAGTTTAGTTTATTTACTCGGTGACCACCCCTTCCCCCCGCCGTGTGTGTATGTGTGTGTCCGTTTCACGAAGCTCCGTTTATTTTTGCTTCTCGTCTCTGATGCTCGCTTAGCTCCGATCTGGATTTATATTGTTGTTATTGTTGTGATTTTAAGCTATTTTCGAGATTAGGTTGTTGGATGATGTGCTGGTTGAGCAGCGAGCGTCTGCGCGTGATCGTATCAGTCATCACTTTTCAGTTTTTGACGGTTTATTTTCTATTTGCGAAGAAAAGCAGATTGCGGAAGTGGTCGGTCTCTGCGGGAGATTTGTCCGTTCCACGTGTCTCCGTAGTGGGAGGGGCTAGTTTACAAACCACAATGAGAGCAAGCTGAAGCTGTAGCGATTGGTTTGGAGCTGGAGTTATGAGGAACTGCAATGCTCGTTTGAAATATGTTTCGGTACCAGGAAACACCTGTAAACGGTTTATAAGTGTTCTTGCATAAAATCTGTCTTTTCATTGTTTGTAACAGTTATATTCCGTACAATTTTGATGATTGCTGGAAGCTTGGTGACTTGAGAAAAAAAATTAAGTTAAAGGTCCACTCAATAAGTTTTGCGAATTAAAAGTAGACCAAAAAGAACTGAACAGGCTTTTATGAAATATTAGAAAGTATGTACACCCATTCGACATTAGTATTCTAAAAAGAGCAGTTTATTCTACTTCCTCATTAGGTGCTGCCATATTGACATCACATGACCAAATGCAGTGAGCAGTAAAGTGCAACTGTCGGTTTCACAAAGTAAAAATTCCATTATTTTCTCTATATGGGAATTGATTTTTAACAATAACTTATAAACCTTTACAGATAGACAAATATGGTGAGCTACAAGATTGCAGTCAGTGATATATGCTTTTGATGAAGCCATTAGTGTGCATTATTTCAATTTATAATCCACTTCAACTGTAAAATTTCTGGAGGGAAAAATACATTACCCATGATTCTGCAGAGAATCTCCACCAAACAGAGAATCGCCTGCCAAAACATCTTTTTAGTGCCTGCCAGCTCCCATGAAGCTCCACGAATGACATTCATTCTGCGTCCAAATATGCCTTATTCACTGTTACTAGCCGAAAAACAGAATGTGAGATGAGTAGTTTATTCATATTATATAGAACATACTTTTTAACAGTTGCTTTATATATAAATATATAATCAGCATATTTAAATAAGTAGGCCACTATTATATTTTCTTCCTTTGTTTTTAATTTGACTCAATTTAATTTGCAATGCTACATGGAATTGTATTTTTTTCTCTCATTAAAGCAGTTAAATACCTCATACCTTTTTAGTCCAATTTTTAAAGTACCATTTTTTGCTTCAATTTCAAATGTTGTAATTTAAAAAAAAAAAATTTAGTACCTGCTATGAAAAAGCTATTAACCAAATCAACCACTTTCAGACAGTGTTCAAAGTTCTTTACAAAGCAACCGAACATTTTTTAGAGCATGCCACCAATATCACACCAATAACTATAACATAAAATATAATGTGGATTGAATCATTTTATGAAATAATGAAATATGTGTATGTGTTGAAGATAGAAAAAAAATGATAATGAACAAAACAAAAGATAAACAAACTGCTTGGATGTGAAGCAGCAGCAATTAAACAAACTTCATCCAGGCCAGTCGGTCTCAGTATAGTCCAAATTACTGAAGGGATTGTATGATTGAAGAAGAGAACACACACACACACACAGCTATTGACGTTACAACCCATGCTTTCAAAGACCACTGACAGTGAGTCTGTAGACTCTACGGGTGCGTCCTTTCTCCACCCAAGAGGGGTTGTGTGTAAGTAAGTAGCCTCAGGAATGCTGCCTGAAGAGTCAGTCATGTGACACACAAAGCCAAAGCCTGTGATCGACCTTTAGGCTAATGGACACTCAAGGCACAGAAGCTGTTGAGCTGGTTCTGGTAGTTGAACCTCAGGGATCAGGGTTCAAAGGTTTCCTGAGATATTTGGCCCTTGGCTGTATCTGACCGCTCTGTTGGGACTGTGTTTTCAGGGTTACAAGTCTGAGTGTCTTTGCAAGCTGAATAACCAGTTGGTTGTCTTAAATATCTTTTCTAAGGAATTTTTCTTATGATATGAGAATATTCAGATAATAAAGTGTTCTATTGTTTTTCTCTTACCCTAGAATTAAAACCTTTCCTATCATTTTATTCTATATGAAGAATGCATTTAAACTGATAAATTCGAAACTTATAATTCGAGGTCTGAACATTTTTCAAGATATATCTCAAACAGCGGGTCAATATGATAACCACGCATTCAGCTGTTTTTAAATGGCTAAC